CCGCAGTACGCCGCCTAACCCGGCCTGCTTCACCGCTGTTAGGTGCCTACCCTTGTAAAGTCCTTTCTTCCTTCTTCAGCTTAGAATAGTCAATCGACGGCACCTCTACGCTGAACAAGCCTAGGGGCCAGCCCCTTACAGAAATGTCGTCTTTATGGGTTCCATGTTGACTAACATAGGCATTTTAGCCCGCTCAACAAATCCATCCCATAGTTGAAGCGAATATGCGAGCGAGTTGCCCAGGCCGGATCGGCTTATCAATCAATGGGATCGTTCCCGATCTCGGGACGGACGCGGAGTAAACGGACCCACGCGGAGAAGCAACCGGACAGCCAGATCCCTGCCATCTCGCCCGACTCCACCTATCGGACTGCGTCAATTTGTTATCGCAACCTTCTTCGGCAAATGGCTCGAATCGCGTCTATCAAGCCCGTCCTACCACGATAAGCAGACACCCGCCGGCCCGGTCTCTTAACTCAGTCTCGTCAACTCCAACGTCGACCCGGCCCGGTCAGTTGGTGATATTCATTAAGTCCCCCTCCACTCCAGCTTGGCAACACCCAATCGTGAACCCCGCAACAGACTTCTCCGCAAACAGCCTTTTTTTCACAATGGGCGACCTCGCACCCCAAAACAGCCCGTTGGCCAACGACATCCTTCTCGTCTTCCTATCATCACCGCGCAACGAGGAATGGATCAGTAGAGTCGAGTCAAACTACCCCGGCCTTCAGGTCCGCTGGGCCAACAACCATCTGCCGGACGGCCGTTTCCTCTTGCCGGACGAGCTTCCCGATGAGGTCTGGGACGGCGTCACCATGATTATCAGCTTCAACCCCCCGTCGCTCGAGAGACTCAAGAACGTCCGCTTCGTGCAGTTGACATCCGCGGGCGCTGACAAATGGCGCGACCACCCGGTATACAAGAACCCGGATATCCCGTTTTGCACGACTAATGGATGCCATCCGTGAGTAACAACTAGTGTCGTCGCTGAAGCTGAAGACAACATAAGTTAATACAAGAATTAGTCCTCAAATTGCTGAGTGGGTAATCGGCAGCTGGCTCGCTAGCCAGCATCACTTCCTGCGCTACTCAGAGAACCAAAAGCAAGGCTTCTGGGAGGGGCCGATGGCCGTCGACTTTGAGGATTCAGTCGGCCTGCGCATGGGCATTCTTGGCTACGGAGCCATCGGCCGACAGTGCGGAAAAATTGCGCAGGCCATGGGCATGGAGGTGTACGCCTTCACGCGCAGCGAAAAGGCGACCCCCGAGTCTCGCAAAGACGACAGCTACGTCGTCCCCGGCACCGGAGATCCCGACGGCCTCGTCCCTTCAAAGTGGTTCCACGGCGCTTCCAAGGAGGCCGTCAACAACTTCCTCGCTCAAGATCTCGATCTCTTGGTCATTGGTATGCCACTGACTTCAGAAACAACTGGACTCATCGGGAAGGAGCAGTTTGAGATTTTGTCCAAGAAGAAGACTTTTGTTTCGAACATCGCCAGAGGACCTCTCATCCAGACAGATGCGTTGATCGAGGCGCTTGAGACTGGCAAGATCAGGGCTGCTGCTTTAGATGTGACGGATCCTGAGCCGCTGCCAAAGGACCACCCCCTGTGGAAGGCACCGAATGTTTTTATCACCCCTCATGTGAGCTGGAGGACAAACGGATACTGGGAAAGAGTGCTGGGCGTCTTGGAGACCAACCTGGGGAGAATGCATGAAGGAAAGCCTCTGATCAACGTGGTGAACAAGCAGTTGCATTATTAGACTTGGTTAATAATAGATGGTGCGAGGGCGACCTGCAAATCTACTGCCACTCAACACTTCATTTGTTTCCCCGGCGTACTTAGAAATTCGACAAAAAGGTAACTAAGTCCTTACAGTCACTTTTAGCAGCTGACGACACAGCAGTGTTACCAAACTTATCAACCGCATTTGGATCCGCCCCCTCTTTCAAAAGAAGTACTGCAACTTTCTCGTTGCCAAATTCTGCAGCTCGGTGAAGCGCAGTCTTATCATAGATGTCGGCAATATGTATGTCCGCGCCATGTTCTAGGAGCAAGCGGACAGTGTCCTCGTGATTAATCGCAGCTTCGTGCAGAACGGTCTCGCCCAAATCGCTACAGTGGTTGACCTCAGCGCCATACTCGAGAAGCAAACGGACAAACTCAAGCTCCCCAGCTGTCACGGGCTTGAGAGCTGCCCACAAAGCGGTTCGGCCTCTGTCATCCACTACAAGATTAGCATCAGCACCGCCCTCGAGGAGAAGTTTGGCCATTTCCAAATTGCCCCGGTAGATTGCCAATTCCAGTATCGCTCCACGATCTCCAGCGGTGCTTGCATTGACTTCGGCGCCGCGTTCGAGAAGAAGTTTCGCCATTTCTAGATGACCCATTACCGCTGCCGCGTACAGTGCACTCCCTTCCCTAGCATTGATTTCGGCCCCGTGATCGAGTAAAAGCTTTGCCATCTCTACCTGGCCCGTTTTTGCTGCCGCCTTAAGTGCACCTCCGTCGTAGCCATTGACATCGGCATCACGGTCGAGAAAACACCGCGCGAGCTGCATATTACTGGCGTTTACGGCAACAATCAACGCTGTTGTGCCGCCGGCGATTTCGTTAATCTCTGTGTTTGACTCGTCAAGTAGGATGGACACCACCGAGGAAAGCCCGAGATGAGTTGCAAATTGAAGAGGATTATAACCAAAGCGAGCTCCAGGTCTATGAAAAGCGGAAATTCTCAAAGCGTAGGGGCGAAACCGAAGCATTGCCCGCACAGCTTCCGGCGGTATCTCTTTGCTTTCCCGGAAGTGATCTGGCCAGAAGCTCGCCGCATAACGCGCCCAAGGGAACATGCTTTTCATGCGCGAGACGAAGGAATAATCCACCATATGAAATGGAAATCCTTGGGCTTGTAGTGCAGCTGACTCGTCAAACTTATCCAATATAGCGAAGCAAATTCGTGCCGCCTGGGTGTTTATGTCTTTTGCTTGGATGTGGTATTGAGCAACATTTTCCCGCTTCTTAATGCGGTTAGATTTGAGGTACTCCTGGACTGAGAAGTGCGCGATCCGTACGCATAACGTCTCTTCCTCGTTCGCCTCACGGAACCCATAGTGTTCAATGAAACCAGGACAAACTTCGAGAACAGCATCCGCATCATGCAACATGCGGTTGCCTCGAAAAACTGCCAGCGGTCGGTGGCCGTCGAGAAAGAGGTCGTCTGAGCCTACATGGTCTGAGTCGGCATCTTTTGAGTCGTGTCTGATTCTGAATCAATTGAATCGAGATCAACTGCCATCCCGTAGATGAGCCCATCTATGGTCAAATGTCTCATAGCGCTGCATAGCAACATTAGCATCTGCCTGGCGTAATCTTGAAAGGCGGGCGGTATTGCGCGAAGCATCCTTTCATAGGTGTCGTCCAATGTTCGGGGTAGCGAAGTAAGGAGTTTGTTAAGATGTTCTTCAGTTCGAGGGCAGACAGCGATTTCTCGGAGCTGGCAGTCAACCCACCTGAAACTGGATGGTATTAGCAGTGGGAATTTCTCAAGGCTTTCATTACCTACACTCCATCTGCCTGGGTTGTTAAAGTGGTTTCGATCAGTCCATGAAACCCTTTCCACTTGCGGAGCTGTGGTTTATCCCGAAGACCCTGCGTGATATACAGCGCAATGTCCTTGTTGGAAGCCTCGTTCCTGACAGCAATGGATTCGTCTCGTGATGGATCAAGAGTGTCTCGGATGTCGACTTCGTCTCGGCTGGTGACCAATAGATGGATTGTAGGCTCCCCCCACCCGCGCATCGTAGTCAAAACATCTAGTACATCCTGGCGATGCTTGTCCCGTGGGCTTTCGTCAAGGGCATCTATCATAATGTACGTATGCTTGAATGACCGGCATAGCCGGCGCAGGCAGTCAAGCAGTACTTGATTTCGTGGTGTCGAGTTGCGGTAGCTATCGTACAGGCGTGAGAGAAGTGAGGAACGAAAATCATTGCTTTGTTGTTTATTATTGCTCTGTTCTCCAGATAATTGTAGAATCAAAGCACGCAAAAGAGCGGATACATCTTGTTTGCTTGTATCGTCGAAAGCGAAGTAGAAGATGGCAACACCGATGTCTTGGCTGAATGGAAAACGTGTTGTATGGCCGTGGAGCACAATATCGATTTACCACAGCCAGCGAAGCCGTAAAGCCATAGAAACGAGCTCCCTTGTTGGAGCCAAGTGTTGAAGGACTGTCCATTAATAAGCCAAGCGCCCGTCCCAGTCTGCGACTTTTCATAAGCTATGTTAAAGTTTATAGTGGCATCTGGTGCGTTGAGCCATTTGACAGTATCCTGGCTGACGTTGCTTGACCGATGTAATTCAAGCAAATATTTTGTGTCCTCGACATGGTTGCGAATGCTGCTGGTATCCTCGTTCTGTAGTAGCTGCAACGAGAAAACCACCTGCTGGAAGATGCTGTCGACGTTTTGCTCAAGCTTCTGTAGCATGCCATGCTGAAAAGGGTACGTAGCCTGTTGTACTTTTGCTTTCAAAGCAGCCCTGAGACCATCAACCTGGGAACGCTCAAACTTATCGGCCACTTTCTTCAGCTCCTCAATGCATTCTTTGCATTGAAATATACGACCTTCAATACAAGCCAAGATAATGATATCGTCGGAACGAAACTTTCGGACGTCAAGCTGTCTCCTCAGATTTTCGAGCAGATGGTGAAGGTGCGACAGGTTATTGTGGATGCGAGCGATGTCAGAGCTCTGGTCCTTCAGAGTGCTGCAGTACACATAAAGACCTTTCACGATCTCAAGTCCGAGCGAAACGATGCCCGCAACCCCTGAGGCAATTGAAAAAGGATCTGACATAATTGGCGAACACTTTTGCGCCCAAAGAAGAGTCGCAAATAGTCGCAAGCTAAAATATTGCGTAACTGGGAAAGACGAGATGTTGGTGACGATGAAAGAAGTAAGCGCAGCCTTATTTTCCCTAGGTAGCTCGGGATCATCCCCATTCCTCCTAATTTTCAGTTATTCAAGTAAGAAATTGGGTACTTCTCTAGCTAACGCTACAATGTAGGTAAGCAGTATAACTCATGGGGTATCGACAGCATCCAATCATGCAGGTTGGGTTTCACTGACCCGTGCTTGGGCGTGATTGGCAGAATGTCAAGTGTCCAGGGGCATGATGAATACACACATGCAGCCAATGAATCTATCAGTCGATGAAATAGAGGGAGTATTGCCTGGTACACCTTATGAGAGATGCCAAAAGATAGAGAGTTATGGAACGGACGATACAGACCGAAGATCATGTGGCGAGGAACAATTTGATGCAAGACTTCGTATTTGCATGCTCGAATTCAGCCACGATTGAAAATCTATGAAATATTACTACTCTCACTACCAATAAAATCTGTCAACTGAGCGCTGAATACCGAGAATACTGTGTACCTTCCTCTCGTCTGGTGATGTTTGGCACATGCTCCAGGATTTGTGGATTTAATTGGATTAGGACGTCGGAGCTTGTATTGGATTTCGGATTGTAAAAGAAACCAGATGCTACGGTATTGCACAACTATCTCAACCTCTATTTCCATCCATTTCAGTATTCACGAAAACACGCATCAAGCTTCATACTTCCGTTCTTCCTCAAGCTCAATCGCCTCCGTCTTGTCGTCAATAGTATCCTTCTGACGTAGATTTCCCTCCACCGCCGCGTCACCAAAGACCGCTGCAATTTGCTCCAGACTAAGTTGATTCGTCTCGGGAAGAAAGAAGTAGTACGCTAGGCCAGCGGAGACATTTGTGGCTATGAAGATGAAGTAGAACTTCCACTCTAGCGCTTCAAATGCCGTGGGCGAGACCTGGCTCAGCCAGATGGCAGTCACAGCCTGAGTGAAGATGGCAAACCCGACCCCAGTGCCTCGAAGATGCAGCGGAAAGATTTCCGAGACCAGCACCCAGTTCGTGCTGTTGAAGAAGACGGCGTATAAGAAGGAGAAGATGAAGATGAAAACTACGCCGGCTGAACTCCCTGCCAAATTTCGGTCGTCGGGGTAGTACTTTGATAGGGCCAGCAGAACTATGAGAGTGGCCGCGAGTGAAGCTGTTCCCGTACCTATGGTGCTTGTCAGTTAAGTCTTTGAGTCACTTTTGCCGCATGACGTACACATTGTCTTTCGACGCGACCAGGTATCTGATACCCAGATCAGATTGAATATCTGTCCTAGGATACCCATTGTACCATAACATCCAGCGATGAGAAGAACCGTTTGGCCTTTGAAGCCGAGGGCCGCGTACATCAAGCTCTGGTAGTTCTGGATGACCTGAGATCCCGATAGCTTCGTCATGTTCACGATGAGACATGCCAACAGCATCCGCCTTGCGTACTGTCGAGTGAAAAGAATCTTCAACGACGATTGGCGACGCAAGTCGGCTTCGAGTGCGAGCTGGTCTCGAATCTCGACGTACTGGTGCTGGACAAAGTCTTCGCCGCGGGCACCGTGGAGTCTCCGAAGAACCTTTACCGCATCTTCGTGCCGCTCTTGTTTGACCACTTTGATGCCTCATTAGCAAGGGCTATGACCAGCGGATGGGTGCCACTCACACCATCGGGGACTGAACGGCATTGCAAAGACCAGTAACCCAAGCCCAACAGCCGGCGGTGCTTGCATCGCTAGTGGAATTCTCCACTGCCCATTCCCGCTCGCGAACGATCCCGCATATCCAATCCAGTTAGCAACGAAAAAGCCGCCCGCATTCGTAAGCCCTTTCAGCCCGACTAAGAAGCCGCGGTTCTCAGGCGGAGATATCTCCGCGAGGTAGATTGGCGTGACGGAGTACAGAACACCCGTCGACCACCCGCTGAAGATGCGTCCCGCAATCATCATGCCCGGGTTCACGGCAGCCGCCTGCAACGCAGCGCCGAGAATACTGACCACGGCGCCGATGAGGACAGTGTATCGACGGCTCCATTTGTCCATCAGCCAGCCGGACTGCAAGCCGCCGATGCAGCCGCCGGCATAGTATGAGGCTACGATGCCACCAACGAGAGCGGGAGGGCCTTGGGACCCTCCGTACATGTACGTTTTGAAGGTGGACTGACCGATTGTTGTTGCTATGATGCCGGTGTCAAGGCCGTAGAGTAAACTGTTACGTGAGCTGGACGGAGTTTGAGAAGGACCCGAGAATCACTGACCCTCCCATACTAATACCGATGGAGGCGAGAAGAGCCTGCTTTGTGTTGCCATGGTGGCCTCGGAGTGCCTTGGGACCTCCCATATGTGCAAACGTTAGTTTCCAACTTTACACGGCCCGTGTTACTTTGAAAGAAGTTTGTGAATGACGATGTTGAGAACGTTCATATTCATCTGAGTCTGCCATGGCAGTCTAATACTGCTCTCCGCTGGTGTGACTTCGCCAGATCTTCGCTTGTAACTCCGCGTCTCCCCCCGCACCCCGCGAATCCTTCCCCGGAATCTGCCTGCCGATGTGACTCTAACGCAAGGATGGAATAGGATTACCACCATATCCGTCTCTACCTTTTCCGTCGCCTGTTTGGGAAAAGAGTCGGTAGACTTATTCCCGTACTCGAAATAAATTGACCAGCAACACAGCCCCATGGCCTGCATTGCGAGAGGTGTTCCACTTCACCTCACTCTTTACGCCATTCTCTTTCCAAACATTACCGTTGAAACGTAGGAAGGACATGGTTCTTAATGAACAGTGATCTATCAGCTATACAGTTCTATAGAAAATGAGAGTCTATCTAGGATTTATCGATCACGTTGCGATCTACACAAACCAATGAAAACACCCTTTTATCCGCGTCTAATGCCTAACCCCACCTCAAGGCCATTTCAACAACTGTACCTCTCTGGCTAAACATAACATCCAACGCGAAAAGGTCTTGCGGAACGGCTCCACCCTTTTGCGCTTTAGTCCTCACGAGCTCTCGTGCAAGGCTGCCCATCCCTGAATAGGAGACTCATGATGTGTGCGTGGTTGTTGATCATGAGTTCGCTACCGCCCTGAGTTAAGCGAGAAGCACTCTCCATGGCGATGTCGCGCGCACTTTTCTGCAACCGGTTTTGGCTCATTGGATCAGCTTGATACTGAAGCAGAAGCGCGACTGCTCCGGCGTTCCCGGACAAAACAGCGTAATCGAGAGGGCTGCAGCCCTGGGCGTCGCGCTTATTAACCAGGGATTTAGGTCCCTGCTTCAGAAGGAAATTGAGAGCGTTGATTTGCTGCTGAAAAGTCGATGTTCTGCGGATGGATAGAAGCTTCGTCAAGACAGTGTCTCCGGCTGATTTGCCGATTGATTTGAGTTTATGGCCCTCCTCTTGCATCGCAATAACGAGACCGAGGAGGCACTTGTTGCGCTTATCGCTCGGGGCTTTCAGACACTCCTGAATAGGCGACTCGAAGAGCGAAGAGTGTTGCTTGAACTTCGAGGCGCTGTTCTTGAGGATATCAAGAACCTCTTTGACCTTTTCGTTCTTGCATCCCTTCTTCAATTGTTTCTCAAGCTTCTCGCGAGAACCTTGTGACCAGATTTTGAATCCAAGCGAGAGATCGGCTTCGGGCTTCTCGGCCGATGACAAGCTTTCCCAAGAAATGTCTGCCGGTTGGGGGATAGGGCCACGTTGGGTTGGTCTTGAAGGCGCTATTGGCGGAGGGGGTGGATTGCAAGGCCCTGGAACGTATGGATTTGCCGGCAGCTCATAGACCCGGGGCGTTGGAAGAGGCGGCTGCGTTACATCGAGGTTGATGGGAGATTCTGGACTCTGTTGCTGAGGCTGAGAGTGCCAATGAGCTGGCTGCCGCTCCGCAACAGGAAGCTCTACAGGACCAAGCAGCACAGCTGGAACTTCAGAGGCTTCGAGCTCGGGGTAGAACAGCCGGCTACCGATCTCCCGGCCAGCCGTGTGCGGATGCGCAGAGGATAACCGGTACTGTACGATGTATCTGCCCCCTCTGTGAGCTCTGTTGACTGGAATTATGTCGTTAAATGGCCCAGATCCGTCGTCACTCGTTGTTGGTGTTAGACCAACATCCGAGTTTCCATTGTGCGACCAGCCGGTTGAAATAGTCGACGGCAAGTAGGAACTAGTGCTTCTGGAGCTCCCAAATAGTGCTAGAGAGTCCGAATCCTCGTCTAAGTTGTGGCCATGTCGGTAGTCACTAGATTGAGAGTCTGGGTATGTTCCTGGAAGATCTCGTCCACCATTGTAATGAACTCTTCTCGGACGGTGGGGAGAATGGCCTTCGTCAGGTCTAAGTCGATGATAACTGAGGTTGTCGGCGAAGTCTTGATCGTCCTGGTTAAACGAATCTAGTCGACGGTCATCCTGAACAGGATAATTGAGCGGGTTGTGCGGATGATGTGGGCCTTCGGGTTGGTTTCTATCAGGACGGGCCGGGCCTCCGCCCCCGCGGCCGAAGAGCCATTCAGATAACCAGTTGGAGGACATCAATCGATTTTGTAAGAAAAAAATGGGCAAGTGATTTGTTTAGAAGACTATCTACGTGCAAATGAGGTGTGGTTTTGGCGGATTTCGAGTGATTGGTAGCTTCCTCGACCACTTAGAGGAAAACATGTCGATTATATGTGCTCCGCATCTACAACTGTTGGACGGCGGAGCAGCGGGATCACACTTACTAGGAGGCCTTCCACTATTTCTCGGTGAGAATGCTGTGAAACCCCAATTAGCTACAGAGTCTGCCTTCACCTGGCTTTGGGGGCCGCCAGTTGAGAGAAAGATGGTGTAGAGGAATGGCACACCTTGGATCCTGCAGCCTTATCCGCTGGTGAGTTTTGCTCACTTAAAAGGTCACCCGACTGACTGCCATCCTCCATGACCAATAGAATTTATGGTGCCAAGCTATCCTAGAACAAGGCTTAGCACGATTAAATCTACTTTTTTGGTCCTCAGCTATTAAGGCTTCCGGTTGCCTCCCTCGAGCTGGCAGACTTTTCCGCAATTTTGCACTTTCTGTGTAGCTTGAAGATTTTTTCTGCAAGTTTTCTTCGGCAGAACTTGATCAAATGATGCAGAGGCATGGGTTTCGCGCGGTGTTTTCACTGACTGCTTCGCGTCATCGGACAGCGCCCCAGCACAACCGACGTGGCAGAAGCCACCGCTAGATGCCCCAACTTCCTAAGCCACATCGTCGGGTTGGAGAGTCCACGAGCACCGTGTTCTTCACCGCCGTCTCAAATCTCAAGTAAGAAATAGAAAAAGAAGTAGTTGAAGAAGCGCGATGCGAAGATTATGGTATGACGAGCTTCTTGTCAGCTCGTTGCCTGGGGGAGACCACCATCTCAGCGAGCACTCATCGATGCGCAGCTTGGCGTACTCGGCAGGCCACCCAGTAAGTATACGGAGAAAGTTCCCTTAGATTCCACGTAGTTCCAAATTGCGAATCTTCTGGAGCAGCACCGGCTGAAACGAGTACGTACAAATCTGTTCCGGCCGGAGATCGGGTCCTGTCCGGTTCCAGAGTGGATATCCCGGGAAAGTGGGCCTCGGCCTGATCTTAACACCGGGCATTGAACAAGCTCTGGGACATGGACCCTGATGACATTTCAATCGCGACCTCTTTGATCTAAGACATAAAATCCAGCCATTTCGAAGAAGTCTGCTGACCGCAAACAGAAATTTCATTGCAGGACATTAATAGGCGCTAGGCCCTCTCTGGTCCTCCAACCCTTTTTCCCTTCAAAGAATTCCGCTAATTTCAGGCGCCTCCCATGTCAGCTACTTGAGACATCATCGGTCTGGCCAGAACTTGAAAGCAATCGGCATCAAAACAATCTCGGCCCGGTCATCTAACCACCTCTTCATCGCATTTCAGTCAACCGCGAACTTCGCACTCGGCCTGTCAATGCGCTTTCGCTGATTAAAGCTTTGACTCTTTCTTGATCGACGGGGTCTTTGAGCTAAAGCTTCTAGGCCACGACTCCCTAGTCATCGCGATGCGTTCCACGCGCATCATCACATGGCTCCTCCCGTTCCTCGGGGTCGTAGCTACCCAGGCATCGTCGATAGAAACCGTCCCGACATGTGCTGTATGAAAGCCTACGCGACTCTACCTTTCGGCCTTCGACCTGTAACTGACTGAATGATAGCAACCATGCATCGCCGAAGGTTTGAACAGGACAGCCTGTCCTACGTCGAATCAGACGTGTCTGTGCCAAGATCCGAACTACATCGATTTTGTGGAAGATTGCGTTCTCGATCACTGCTTGCCAATCGACGCCCTAGGTAAGGAAATCTCCTCCTCAGCTAGAAGCCATTAATAAGACCCGATAGCCACGCAGAACTACACATGGTACGAGTGTGGGTTTCCAGTAGAAAATGATTTCACCTCGACAGTAGTTCCTCGGCTGGTCATGTTTTTCGTGCTGCCTACTCTGTCAATAATCACCCGGATGGTCGTCAAGTTTTCACGTGTCTCCGTATGGGATGCCGACGATTTGATGATCCTAGCTACGTTTGTGAGTAAGCTGATCTAGTAGTCTTACCGCATCTGACTCTCGGGCGCAGTGTTTCCTCATTGCGTTCGTCCCGTTGAATGCAAATGGTAAATAGCCGTGCTCCCAGAAAACTGCTGTAATATTCTCAAAAGCTAACATCTTCCTCTAGCGGGAAAGAACGGTGCTGGTCAAGACATGTGGTCTTTGACTGTTGATCAAATCACAGAGTATTTCAAGGCGAGTGGCTGTTTCCCAGTACATGATGCAATATCTAACACGAACCAGAACTTTTACATTGTACAAGCTCTATATTACAGCACCATAGCGTTTCTCAAGGCGTCCATTCTCTTCATGTATCTACGAATCTTCCCTGGCGAGCGGTTTCGAGCAGTCCTTTGGGGAACACAAGCGTTCAACCTGGTAATCGGCGTCACGTTTCTTCTCCTCGGAATATTCCAATGTCGACCAATCCACCTTGCTTGGACGGCTTGGCGACGCGACTCCGAAAGTCTGGGTACATGCATGGACGTTGTCATCATTGCGATGGTCTACTCGGCGATCCAAGTTGGAATGGATATTTGGATGCTCATACTACCTCTCACTCAGATTCTGGGCTTGAACATGAAGTGGAGCAAGAAGTTTGGGCTTATGTTCATGTTCAGCTTGGGGATTTTGTAAGTGGCTCGAGTGAAGTCTCCAAAGTGAACTGGTTTTTGTTAACTTCGATCCTCCCACCGCAGTCTCACAGCAGCTAGCACCATCAGGCTGAAGCTTCTTGTCCACTACCATCAAGGAACACACAATTTCACAGGTAATTGACTCAACCCCAGTATCTCGTCATTCTTGCTAACTTAGATAACAGTGGGTTCGCTTCAAATTGCTATATGGTCGGACATTGAGCTTTGCGTGGGTGTTTTCACGGCATGCATATCGACCACCCGACAGTTCTTCCGCGTCTTTATTTTCGGCAGGCCGGATGGATCAGCTAGCTTGCATTCAGAGCACATCCATGCCAGGAGTCTCGAGGGCAGTCCAAAGCGGTCTACAAGGCAGGCTGCAGAGGCGGTGGACGAGCCTAGTCCGCATACACCCTGACATGTACTTATGTATTGAATGTTTCCTAGCGTCATTCTTCAAGTCTGACTTGTTTCCAAAAACGATTTTGCTTCTCTCCTCCTAAAATGTGTCTGATGGAGGGCGGACCGTCCTCTCACCCTGGAGAATCGCCCACCTCCTAAGCACTCGCCTCAACTTCCGTCAATTTCCCTCAACTTCCAGCAAAAGCCGAGGAAAGCTTTTGAGCGGGGGCCAATTTGGCGTTCGTTATCCACAGTCTTGATGCTATCAGTTACTCGGTCCGTGGGTGTCAGCAGCTTGCAGCCGGTGGGATGAAATATGCCTTCGACAATGGGTCATGGTCTTGATAACAGGTGTGGCACCGGGGCTGCCCTGTTTCAAGGGAACAGAGTGTCCAATAAGGGTCGACGTTGTCTTAGGTTCTCTCGAACATCCACCCATGGAGTGCAGAAGCTGATATTGGCCCATCAAAACCGTCAGCTTCGTTGACTTGCTCAGGGCCCGACGCGACTTAAGTCCGGACCACGTCAAATAAAGATGTATGCCGCCAAAACCACTGCAAATACCCGTTAGAAGTACAACTATAAGAGCCTTCCGTCGGATTTATATGATAAGAAAGTTATTCTCATCGCCATAATCACGCATACAACATTCCTCTGAACTTTCGACGAAATGAAGGTCTTCCTCACGGGCGCCAGCGGCTTTTTGGGAGCCCAATGCCTGTCACTGCTTTTAGATGGCGGGTAAGTTTCAGTCACTCTCTTCGCTATGAAAGCCAAATGATGGAATACATCTTTTGCGCAGTCATGATGTCGTTGTCGCGGTCCGATCGGACGCGAAGGGCCGCGATATCCTGGCTCTTCATCCCAAGTCAGAACTTAAGCTGTCTTACACTGTCATTTCAGATATGACAGTGGATGGCGCTTTCGACAAGGCTATTCAAGCAGAGCCAACCCTGGAGGCAGTCATACACACTGCAAGCCCTTTCCACTTCCAGTCCAAGGATGCCGAGACCGAGATGCTTAATCCGGCCATACGAGGCACCATATCTCTTCTCAGCGCCGTCACTGCCTATGCCCCAAATGTGAAGAGGGTTGTGATTACCTCGTCCGTCGCCGCAGCGGTCAACATCAAGGCGCCCCCTCCGGTCTTGACCCCTGAGATGTGGAACCCGATCACTCGAGAAGAAGCCTCGTCGAACCCATTCTTCGCATATCTTGCCAGCAAGACATTCGCAGAGAAGGCAGCCTGGGATTTTGTCAACGATAAGAAGCCACACTTCGCCCTGTCGACGATTTTGCCGCCTCTCATCCTCGGACCGGTTGTACACCATCTTGACAACCTTGGTTCAATCAATACTTCCAACTCGGCGTTCGTCGATATCATTGAGGGCAAATGGAAGGATTCGATTCCTCCCACCGGGTCTCCTCAGTGGGTCGATGTGCGCGATGCTGCGTTCGCTCATGTCCAGGCACTGATTGTGCCCGAAGCTGCTGGCAAGCGGTTCCTCCTCTACGCGGGTGACTTCAGCAACGCTGAGATTGCTCGAATTGCCCGAGATAATTTTTCAGAGCTGGCTGATAAGGTCCCTACCAACATCGAGAGCGACGTGACCGCCGCCGAAGCTAGTATTGATGCCGGGTTGTCGAAGGACATTTTGGGTGTGAAGTACCGCTCTCTAAACAACAGTGTGGTCGACTCGATCAGGTCTCTGTTGGGCCGCTGAAGGCCGTTGATGTACATAGAACCTATCCATTTGGCGTTGTTGGATTAGATCGTGACTCTTGAGTCTTCATTTAATAAGCTCTCTCCAGCATATGGTCATTCACGCCGGTGGCCGTAGTTTGTTGACTGTCTTGCAACCGCTCACTCATCTTTCATCTTCGTCGTCCGGGAAACATGGACCATTCTGAATAGTTTTATCGACCCTGCAAGCCCGTAATGTTCCTCTAGCGCGACCGCGATCCTTTGACAGGGCTGTGGTGGAGATTTTCTGAGCACGTCATGATACCGGATATCGCGACACGTTGAAAGCGCCGCTATCGGGATAGGGGACTGGAGACTCTGTAAAAACAAATCGGAAGTCTTATTTGTTCTCAATTACCAGCGCCTGGCATCGTAGGTTCGTACAATCGATTCATCAAGTCTACCAAAAAAGCTCAAAGGGTAGACCAGCTATCCGAACATCATGAGTAATCCTAAACAACTCCCTCATGAGGAAACCTCACAGACGACACCTGACGCTGAAATCGCCATCATCGGGGAACAAAGCCACACGAAGCGGACATGGTATAGAACGGTATTCTTCCAGGCCACAGTCATTGGACTCTGTGCCTTCTTTGCGCCTGGGCTGTATAATGCCATGCAGTCTACTGGAGCTGGCGGGCAACCGACTCCATACCTTGTCATGTCCGCATCTAAGGCACTATGCTGCATTAGGTTATAATCTGACTTAATCACAGGTCGGCCAACGCTGTTCTGGGGGTTATGATGGTTGTCACTTGCTCAATGGGAAGCGTAATGGCTAACAAGATTGGATTGAAAAATGCTTTGATTTTCGGAACAACAGGATAGTGAGTAAAATGGTAATTACTTCACGTTTCGGAAGGCTACTGAAGAAAGCCAGCGCCATTTACTCAGCGTCGTAGTACACGAACAACAGATACGGCAAGGAATGGTTTGTGTATCTAGGCTCTGCAGCCTGTGGCATCACAGCAGGTATCTTCGTCCCTGCCGACCTTCTTTTCACAGCTTGCCGCCTGTGGACGCACATCGTTTATTGTCTTGTGAATCTGACGAAGAAATAAGGTATCTTCTGGGCAGCTGAAGGCGCAATCATGATAAGCTGTAAGTTGCGATCACAAAGAAGTGCTACAACCTGTGTCTTGACTGACTCATCTTGCGTCAGACCCCGAAGATCAGAACCGTGGAAGATATCTTGCGTATTGGCTTGCCTACCGTAATGTGAGTTTACCAAGGATTTCAACTCAATGGCGAACGTCGTTGCTGACGAATGCTAGGGCGGTTCAATCGTCGGTGGTGCCATCAACCTCGCTTTCAGTATGCACTGCGCCAACACATTGAAACCTGATACTGACTGGATTCAGATTCCACTGGGAAAACAACGGGAAAGTCAGATTGGAGAACATATGTTGTTTTCGTGGCCTTGCGTGAGTCGGCCGGTTCATTGATGCATACGTCTTGGAGGATCTTCTGACTTGAACTGTTCTAACAGAATGCCTTGGCCCCTTCGTTGCCATGCTGCTTTCACCCCCTGAGAAGGTCCAGCGTCAAGATGGCAGGAAAGTCTCCCAGGCCGAGCAAATTCCGACGACTGCTGAGCTGAAGGCCGTTGCTAAGATTCTGGTCCGGAAAGACTTTCTTTTTGTGTAGGCTACCAATCCCTCACTCGATATCTCACCTAAAACAGAAGCGCTAACTAAATTTTAGCTTCCCTTTCTTCTTTTACGCCACATTTCTACTGTCATACGCAGGATCTTATCTCTCGCTCTACTTCTCAGTCAGATCAAGAGCTCTAGCCTCCTTGGTTTCAGCATTGGCACAGATCACGGCCAACTTCTTCTTCGGCCACTTTCTCGACTGGACCAGATTCACCATCAATCAAAGAGCCAGATTTGCGTACTTCGGTATGATGGCCCTGTTTGGTGGGACCTGGATCTGGGCAACTGTGATTCAATGGGAGTATGGTCAACGTGCCCCAGCATTGGATTGGGCTGACCATGGGTTCGGCCGAGGCTGGGCTCTTTACATTCTGCTTCAAGTGAACTTGTGAGTACTTCATCAAGTACATCCTGTCATCGATACTTAAACTAACTAAAAAATCAGTGCTCTGGCATACAACTATGGCTATTGGTTGGCTGGATACATGGCCCGAGGTCCTGCTGAGGTTATCCGCTTTACTTCAACTGTTCGCGCTGTTGAGGCAGCAGGGGGTGCTGTGGCATCTGGCATCAGCTCTACACACGCGCCTTTGCTCGCCGCTGTTGGAGTCAATTTTGGCCCGTGGGGGTTGGCACTTATCCCTACCTACATAGTCGTGAGGTCTCTCAACATCAAAGATGACACATCGCGTGATGAAGATGAGGTTAGCAAAAGCACAGGGGAACCCTAGAGCCACGAAAATAACAGGCCTGCCATATATACGAGGCTGCGGGAAATTGTGTAGTCTCTGTTGGGACCATGATGGAATGTCGAGCCCATTCAAGTTTCTAAGTACATGTATATCTCACGAGTAATCGCTACAAGCAAAATCTCACAATCTATGCAAGCAAAATGCGTGTTAAACTGATCGATCAGAAAGAAGGTGTCGCCTTGAGGAACCCACCTATAGTCGACTAAAACACGACGACCTACCCGTAATGGCCATTGGACGTCAGAACCAGTGCCGGCAAAGTTCCGATAGTTAAGGGACCCGCATCGGACTGCACCCGATCCCGACCTCGCAGTGTCGTGATTTTGCAAAGCGATGATACGTGACAATGTAATCGTTTATGGGGTCTGTCGGAGCACATAATCGAGGTTACATGTTCCGTGATACGAGATGCCGGATGATGCCATACGACTCAAAGGCCTCCGTGTCGAAGTTCCATGAACTGCCAAGTTTTGTTCCTTGTTCTTCACTCCAACTTTGCGTTCAGCTCAACAGCAACGACGGAGAGTTTACAACAAACGTCACGTTCGTCCCCAGCATTAAAGCACGAAATGGCTCAAGAATCGTGGCGTAAAAGTTTCGAAGAAGATGGATTCGCTGTCATTCCCGACGTCATAAGTCAGGAAAAGGCGGTCGAATACCAAAATCGCGCTTTCAGCTGGCTCAAATCATTCGACAACTCCTCACTCGACTTGCAATTCCCTCCTACATGGACGCCAGAAAATCTGCCCTTCGTTTCTGGGATCAACACTTTCAATCATTATGGGGTTGTTCACGAAAGGTTCATGTGGGACATCCGCCTCGAGCCCGGAGTAGTCGACATCTTCTCTAAGATATGGAAAACCAACGAGCTTATTGTCTCCTTCGACGCCTTGAACATCACACTCCCGAGAAGGGCCGGTCATGTTCCGCGTGAGAAGTGGCCCCACGTTGACCAAAGCCCGTACCGAAATGGCCTACAGTGTGTGCAGGGTATCGTGAACTTATCGGAGTCTGGACCAGAGGATGGAGGCTTGACCGTGTACCCCGGTTCACACAAGGTGACGGAACAGTTCTTCCGAGAGAATACAGAGCGATCTGAGTGGACACGAAAAGACTTTTTCAGATATTTACCGGATCAGATTGCTTGGTTTGAGAAGCGAGGCTATCGTGAGCACAAGGTCATTGCAAAGCCAGGGGACCTTATCATCTGGGATTCACGACTGATCCACTTTGGCGCGGAACCTACGGCATCAAGTGACAGAATTCGGACCATAGTCTATGTTTCATATGCGCCGGCCTCATTTGCGACAGAGGAAGTACTGGCTGCAAAAGCAGAGGCCTTCAACCGTTGGCTCGCTACCACGCATTGGCCCCACGACAATATCGTTCTGAGAACAAACCAGCCCACTCTCCCTGATGGAACCATTGATAAGAGGAGGTCCGAACCTCTTGAGAAGCCAGAGTTAAGCGATGATCTGCTGAGACTTGCTGGGATCAAGGCGTACTAGGGGAGGCCTAACAAGGAGGCTGATACAGATGGAATCAGGCAACAAGCATGTACAACTGGATTCTACGTACTTACGTATGTATGCCTTTATCATCAGCAAGCAGGAAGTAGCGTCTCCATGCTTATGAACTCACCAATTAACATCACGTGCCCAATTAAGTGTAAGAAAACCCAGACACGCAAGTCATGCGACGATGCTGTATAACAGTAATTCAGATACTTAACTCGCTCACAAGGACAGGCCAATAGTCTTGGTTGGGGGGTTTAAAGGCAGAAGCAAGAACATTGCTACAAGGAGCAAATGATACTGGAGCTGTCACTTATCACGTCTGGGTCATGTGGTACTTTAAATAGTTGATATGGAACAAACAGATCGCTTTTATTTTGGTATCAATGCCGTCCTCAGATGTGAGAACCAGCTTTTCTAACGTAAATTCCCTCCACAAACTTGACCCGTACTCGATTTGAGGGTCTAGAAGTGTGACCAAGAATAGCATCCAACGTCGCCTATCTAGCTGTGCGGGACGAAAGCAACTCCGGCGCTGTAGCTCTTACCGCCAACAGGGGGAGTGTCCCTGCAGCTAGAGTCTGTGCCAGTGGCTCCAGCAGCCTGGCACATCTCGCGCCATTGGCAGTTGCTGTAGCCGTAGGGATGCCAGTACTTGCCGATCCTCGCACCCTCGGGTCCAATGTACTGGCACTCCTTGGCACCATCAGACCAGGCGTTGGCATCAATCATCTTCGCCAACTTTGTGTCGTATCGGTTGCAGACTGTCTGAGTTGCGGCGTCGTTGGGCTTGCCATCAGAGTTGTAGCAGTGGCAGAAGAGGTAGCCATCGCAAGCAAGCACGCTCTTGGAGAGAGCGACGAGCATAAGGGTGCCAGCAGCGGCAACAGTAGGAAGCTGCATGATGAAGGTGGTAGTGAGTGACTTTTGGGTTGTTGTAAGTGAGTGACTGGTCGTAAGCGACTGAATGGTTGGAAACGAGGGAAACGAGTGTCTGTGGGTTGCACTAAATGCTAGAACATGGCTGTCAAAGGTTCAGATGGTTTTTATAGTTCATCTCTGTTTGCTCGCATTATGCGACCGAAGTGTGGTTTGCGGGACGATTCAGTGAGTCCAGGGGTGAAAGCTCAAATCAGATGTGATTGACAGCCCCTAATACAATCGAAACTCTATTTCTTGGGTTGTGCAAGGATGTCATGTTAAGATCTCATGATTCAAGCAGCAGAAAATCTCGCGGTGACGGCGACCCCGAAACCAACTGCCGCAGTGCTGGGCTACTTCGTAGTGTAGAATAGTGCCCCCTTCCCCACAAACCACATTGTGGGAACCGGGATGGGTAAGGGAAAATTGAATGCAATGCCTCCACACGTCAATCAACGAACACTAATAAGCCAGACAGGCTACTTCCAAGTGCCTTGGAGAAACAAGTGACTTGCCGCACTGCTACCTATCGCTCAGAATCACAAAGACATCTAAAAAAAAGAGTTCGTGTCCCGGAAAAGTGTCGACTGGACCGACTGTAGCCTCATAGATAACTCTTCAAATTTCAGCGTCAGCGATAATACCGTAAACTTGGACAATACATGCAAGGAAGATAGAGGTTACGCTGTGACCCTCCACATGTTTCCCCGTCAGAGTCATACGGCAGTCAACAAGGTGCGCCTCCAGGCGGCAAACTGCGGAAGAAAAATTAGAAGGGAAGAAGGACATGTAAGGAAGAACTAGTCCAGCAAAGCAGATGAAAAATCGACTTCCGTAGCATCGGCATGATTCAATTCGCTCAACTGACAAGGTCACCTCACGGAGCAATATCGACCAATGTCTAGTGTCTATCGGTGCTGGGCAGCTTGCATTGTCGTGCATTGTTACTTAGTTTGGCCCCCAAGCTACCAGTCCATCGCCCTCTCCGTTGCCCCTGACTCCAACAAATGCTACCTTATGCCGGCAGATCATAGTCAAATACTGCCCTGTCGTTAAGTCAGCAATACCTGTTTAACTCCACTGCAACCAACGGCATATTCGTCAGAGCACTAGGAATGGATTTCTACACATGAACTCGCGTTTCTAGCATGGAACAAAACATTCAAAGATCTGCTTGTAGTTACTGCCGGTTAAACAAGTCACGGACAAAGCCGATGCCAAGTTGACGATGTTGAACTTTCAGAGTAGGAGTTGCAAACTGTAAGGATGCAAAGTATTGATGTGGCACATTGCTTGTGCATTGATGCCTAGACTTAGTAGTGTCAGACTCTACATGGTAGACTGAGATCAATTGACGCCTGGTAACTAAGCCAATTCCTTGCCAATCTGATCGAACTCCCGGCGCCACTCTGTAACCTTCTCGACCCTCTTGAAGGGGTCGAAGTTCATTGCCTCGCTGTCGACGAACACGCTGTCGCCAAGAGTAAGGGTTCCACGGCCGACAAACTTGCCCAGCTCATAGCAAGCCCACTTCGAACTCTCGTCAGATCTGTTCTTGTCTTCCCATACCCCTACCTTGAAAGTCGCCCCCGGACGGAAGAAGAAATTCGATCCCCTGGCAGCACCACTGCGCGTCTCCGTGGTAAGGACCTTCGCCTTAGTGTGTGGCTCAGGGGTGTCATCCATGTTGTGCCCCTTCGCCTCGCCATCACTGTTTCCATTTGCATCTTTCTTTGGGCACCGCGAACAAGTAATGTTGGACAGATATTTCTTCTGTGCTTCATTCACCACATTGTTTGCAAAATTGTTGTTGCCATTGCCGTACCAGTTGCTGCGACCGTTCTGGTACCAATCCCTTGGTCCGTTCTTTTGGGTAGCTTTGGCCTCCGCAGAAGCACTCTTCGAAGCATTCTGGCGATGATAGTCGTTGTGGGCAACGATCGCGCCATTCTTGCTGCCGATCTCGCTGTTCGGTGGGAAAGGCTGCATCGGGGCCTCGCGGACATCTTCGATGAGCAAGACCAAGGGCTTGTTCCAGATTCCGGGGTCCATGTCATTCTCATTGTAGAACTTGAGGTCACACCGGCCCGCCGAAAGCTGCGTGTTCGGAGCGCGGACGATCACGTGGTCGATGTTTGCCTCCGTTGCTTTGGTATTTATCAGCGAACCGAATTCATGCAATCTTATCGGAGAGACTCACGGGTTCCGTAGAGGTAGAATGGCATGAAGGTGCTCGGATACTCCTCAAGCCGCCACTTGGAGTTCAAAGGTCGACTCACAACCGTCTTGCCAAGCGTGACTGTGACATCCTGGATGACGATACCTCTGTTGGTGCTATTAGCGACTGCCCCAAACCATGATGTGCCTTATTCAATGAAGTGCTAGAAAGGACGCACGAATCTTCTGTCATAATCTGTCCTTCGAACTTTCCGCCCCTCTCCGCAATGTCTTTAAACATGACCTTTCGCTTCGTCACGAGAACGAGGGGCTCCGATGGGTTTGAATTCTTCATGTCGGCGTATTTTGCCTCAGATCGATCATCAAATTTGGCAGACATGATGACTTGCTGTCGATGATTTGCGACGTGGAACATAGGCCTGTGAATGAGGTAGATCTTCTCTGTTCCCTGGATGAGAAATTTGTGGAAGTCTGGGGCCAATGTGTTGCGCTTGCGAACGACCTGAGAAGAGATATTAGTCCAAAGCAAGTACTGATGCTACCAGACAGGTCGCCTTACCTCAGTCTCAGCTTCAACCACCTTTTTGAACTCCTCGGCAAGATCGTTGGTGAAGTTGCCGTCACTTGGGAACGGAGACATGACGACGTTCCGCAGGACCATGAGATCTTGCGTGCTCGGTGACAGGCCAAGTCGCTTCACGAAGTTTGCCTTGCACTTCCCGTAGAGTTCATCTGAGAACTCGGTAGAAGTGAGGTACAGAGGAATCTTGGTGGGATCATCAGTGGGGCTGTCGACTGAGAATGTCTCCACGACTCTCTGCATGAGGTAGTTGGCTTCTTCGATGTCGTCGTTGAGGCATCCATCCGCGTATCGAAAGTTCAACGAGAAAGCGTTGATGTTCAAATCAGATCCAAGCGCTCGCATAAGCTTGATAGCCTTCTGGTCGTCAGGTCGGTGCTGGTCATCGTTCATAATGCTTGCGTTGCTCTTCAGGACGATGTCATTGCGGATGCGCTTCTTCTCGGCCTCAATTCTGTCTTCCGTCGCATTCTCCTCAAGCTCAGACGGAAGCATGTTGAAGGGTACACAGATGTAAGGGCTGGATGCGTCGGTCAGGGATGCCCACTCCGCGGAAAGCTGCATCACAAACATTGTAGTCAGTACATTGAACGACGTCAAACACGAAGGCAGGGCAGATCATACCCGAGTGCAGGTCCAAGTGACCTCTCCCAATAAGGCGCCGTATCCCTCCTGGGTAAGACCAATGGTCTTGTTGGAGAGCCAGGCTGACATAGCCGAAGCTCCAGGCTTACTGTCCGTGTCTTAGCTTCTTTCGAAGGAAGGTGTCGTTGTTTTGGAATGCCACAAACCTTCCCTCAACACCATAGATTCCGATGCTGGTGACAGATCCACGGGATAGGTAGGGACTTGTCCATGTCACCAAGAAACGCATGCGATTGTCGCGATAGCAGAGACCACCTGCGGGGTAAGGAATGTAACCGGCCTTGTGAGGGTCAACAGTAATGGAGTCAGCAAAGCGCATGGCGTACAAATCTTCCTGAGTTTCAGCGCGTAGGCTGGCGTCAGGCACGAACCCATCAGTCGTGCCCATCTCAGTGGGAAGGTTGATGACATCGCCAGGGCGGTAGTCTTTCGGCAGCATGGAGCAGAAGTATCCACCCCACGCGGCATCAGCATGGACGAGGAATGAGAGGCCTCGTGACTGAAACTGCTTTCGCAGAGCGAGAATGCTGCTGAGGCTATCGACGGCACCCTCTGCATGAGATAGATTAGTATCTGGTTTATTAGAAAAGAGATGGTCTTCGGGAGCATACCTTCAGTCGATCCTATGATTCCCACAACTGCGTAGACCGGCTGCTTGTTTTCAAGACTCTCCCAAAGCTGGTTCTCTAGCTCGCTAATATCGAGGCGTGCTCCTAGATCTACCGGAATACCGACGACGTTCTTGGAACCCAGGCCGCAGATAGCTGTAAGAGTCCAGACACATTAGTGTCCACAGCGTTCTTCTCCTTCATTCAAGACTTACCAGCTCCTTTGGGCCATGAGTAGTGTCGAGTGTTGGACAGCATGTATTGACCTGGCTTCTCGATACCAAACTCCCTTTCCAGATCGTCCTTGCCTGTGGACTGAATGGTTAAGTCGTCCATGAGATCAGAGAGGAACTTGTTGGAGATTCCATGTTCCTGGTAAAGTCTATCAGGGAGGTCAAGGACGTCAGACGGCTTGAGGTTCAGCAACTCCCAAGTTGAAAGATGGGTGAAAAGCTTTCTCTCCCCTTGGCAGGTCTCGACATGGAAGCTATCCTTGAGAAAATCCAGCTTCTGACCTTCGTCAAATGCCTTGCGAAGCGACAGCGGGTAGAACTTGAGATTTCGAGCTTGGACGCGGTTGGTCAATGAGCCAGGTATTGGGCAGATACTATTCATGACTTACCGACCCTAGACCACGCATGTTAGCTTGTTAAATTCAATAATCAACGGGGTTCTTACCACATGGATTCGAGATTAGCTACCGTGCCATCGCATGTGACGTGACCCCAGCCTGTTGGGGACTCAGTGTCATCTTCGTTGATGTTGTAGCCAAAAAGATCGCAGAGCTGCTCTCCGACCTCAATTTCAGCGACTGTCGTAAGAGGACTTGCTTCAAGCGCGACATTGTTCGGATTGTAGAGCATCGTCATGAAGTAGCCGAGTAGTGAGGACATGCTCATATCAGTGCACCTGATAAAATCTGTTGAGAATCATCCAAGTGGCGGGCGAATGGATGGTTACTCACATATGCGCCTGGTACCGAGGTGACCAGAAAGGAATGCTTGATCGGCCAAGAATCTCCGAGGCCTTGTCGACAGCATTTTTGAGCTTGTCCTTGGACCTCTTGAAAGCTGCAGATTCCTGCGTTTTCTCGTCGATGAATTCCTGTCCTGTATCAGATAAAGTGCGAAAGGTGGTGAATTGGAGATCAGACTGACTGCGTCATTGTCAAAGCGATAGTCCAATCTGGCTTGCTTGAGGTTGTTCAAGATGATGTCGATGTTCTCCTTGAAGTATGGCAGGTTCTCTGCCCGAGGCCCAATGAAGTATGATGAGATGATCTGATGAGATTCATCCTCGGGGACTGTGGCTGCATCACGTGTGGGATTCTTGAATCCGTTGCTGGAACCCTTGAGGGTTTCTTTGAGGTAAGGATACGACCCGTTCGCAGCGGTGGTCTTGAAAGATGCCATGATGAAGGTTTGTCAGAAGGATGAGACTGGTTGATGGGGCTTTCACGGGAGAGCAGCTGAAGTGAGGGATGCAGCTCTAAGTATAAAGAATTCCTCCAAATCCTGATACGTCCTTCTTTTCCGTATTTTACAAATGCTATGGCTCGCTGATGGTATTTCCGTCTGCCGTGGCATGCCGCTCCAAAGCCGCCGCGTCCATTCTCAGTCTATTCTCGCCAGCTTCCACCACGTCATGTCGTAAGAACCTGCAGATCAACGGCCGGGCTGTATGGATACGAAGTGCCACTCACAACAACAGCCTTGAGACAATGTGGTACCAATCTGGCGATGCTCACATTAGTTCAGGCTAGTGTTGCAGCTCATCTCTGATCTGAGAGCTCCTCAATTACGATTCTCACCTATAATTGACTTCAACCGTTTCCATACTTGCATCTTCGAACCTTGAACGGGCATGGACACATAGTTCAGAACGACCTACCTCAGGTGCTCTGAATACTGTCGCACCACTAGCGCGTACCTTGCCGATGTTAGTTGACAACCCCGCTTGGAGCAGAGTTAGATCGAAACGGTTTTCAGTGACTCTAGGAGGCCAAGACGTAGACAGTCGTGAAAACAGACGCCAGCAGTGGTTGAGGGCAATCTGTGTCGCTGTGGCAATATGTGTAGGGCAGCAAAGATCATGCCATTTGACAATAAAATGCATATGGCCGCATGTCGGGCGACCTACCGCACGGGTACAGCCGCAGAGCCTAAAGGGGTACAGGGTTAGGAAAAGAAGCATTGGCTAATAGGATTCAGCGATCTCCAGGGTGTCTCATGTAGTGTTCAGTTGGACCGATGATCAATGTGGAGACAGCACTCGAACGGACTTCGTTGGCACAGTGGCACACCGGTAACCGGTTTCGTGTAAGACAACGAAAACTATCATTAAGCAGTGCAAACGTGTGACTAATTTGGTTAGACGCGGACAGAGCTGAAAGACGATGCGTCACTGTGCCTTCCTCATACGTGAGGGATTCAGATACACCCCACTGGTCTACGCGACTGGAGGCTTTTAACTATTGAGCTAGGGGAAATATGCATGAGGCATCTACTTCAGTACAAGTGCATGGTGAATGGAAGACCTATCAGGGTGGACTGGGATAAGTATTTAATTCGCGCAGGTCCTCATTGCTCAGGGCGGATGCTAGAGATCTACACCGAGCACGATCTGAGACAGCTTCCCAGCCCGTTCAGAAGTCCACGCGTCCAAGCCTCCACAATATTGACCGGTTTACAGAAGAGCGTTCGGCCCGTGTCCAAGCCAGGTACCAAGAAGCAAATGGACGTTAAGCTCTGAAATGCCAGCATCAGCTCATTGGCTTTCTGGCGAGGCGAAGTGGGACGCTGAGCAATGCCAGACTGCCTCGGTGAGAAGCGACGGCTTGGCGAAACATAGTGACATGGGCAACGAAGCAACAGCGACGCTCACTACACCCGAAAACAGCCAGTCTAAGAGATCCGAATGGTGGGGAAAATCATGCATGGTGTTCCCATGGCAAGATGTTTGTCCCAGCCGAGGATAGCCGCACTCTCATATTGATGCGCGAACGTCAGTGATCGATGACACCGTGAAGCTTATGTTGTTCTCGTTCAATCGCCCTTCAAGAAGGAATCAGTGCTCGTTTAGATGAGTTCTTCTGTAGATGCTCATCGCAAAGCCTTTGGACTACGCACGTCGAATTGGGCAATGTAACTCGAAGAATGACCTCAAAGATTTCTGGAACCTCTCAATACTTCCGCCTAAGCGACCCTCCGTTTTGCAATGGCCAGTGACACATGTAATGCATTGAGAACGTACGATGCCGTGGAAATGCATTCTATTTCACCAAGATCTATTGAAAGCCCAGGCTCCAAGGTTACACTTTTGACCTCACCGCAATGCGGAACACGCTACGTGAATATATCAGTGAGAGCTCAATATGACGTCAAAAATGAGGGGTTCAAGAGGCATTTTGTGAGGAAGCCGCTCGACGAACGTGAACCCCTTACTCTCATTGGTTCCCGAAGCAGAAGAGGGGGAACCGGTCACATATCGAACGGTTGATCGCATGTCTGCCAAGGCATCTCGGAACGATTCTCTGTTAGTTCCCGAGACATTCAACTCAACCTAGCTTTCACCAGAAACACCCAGGCCAAAGTACAGCACATGGGTGTTTGGAAAGAAATGTCACGAGTTGGGACATCCGGAGTTCTCTGTGGTGAAGCATCATTCCCATGCCCTGTAATTCTGAATTCGTCTAAAAAGGGACTTTTCGCCGTCGTTAGGAACCGGCACGTTTTCTACCGTTAAAGACGTTGCGCACGATGAAATTCTAAGACATCGGGTTATGACGCTCGCTCACCACCACAGTGAGGTTCGACATGTGCACGCCGACACCGGCTGTATGACCGCGATCGTTTGAGACAGTGGCTTTTCTTATCGGAAACACACACAAGATTTCCATTTCACATGCCGATCTTCCAACATGGATGCTAGACGCAAACACCTAGCACCGTCGACCTTTTATGGGTGAAAGTACCCTCATATACATCTTTGAGGAATGATATCCTTTACAACTTCCAGCCGCTTATCAGCTTCCCGCTGAAACGTACCTTAGATGTCTAAGAGATATCTGCTGTGCACAGGTGTAAGGGGTCATCAGCGGAGGGGATGATAAGACCAAGATCTCGATCTTATCTTCGCAAGTCCATGATATAAAGCGAAGCAGAAATCTATCAGTTCCATTCACTTCATTGTCACTATTTACCGCAGTTTTGAAGCTAGTCTTTAATTCACGTATCCTCGTCTCAATTACCTACCTACAACTGTAACTGTCACCACCATGCTTAAGTCACACGTCATAAAGGATATTGAGACGCTATCTCAATCGGAGCGTGATACTCTGATTAGAGCTTTCGACTACATCGGCAAGCTCAGCCCGGAAGATCCCAACTCGTTCTTCGCTCTCGCCAGCTACCATGGCTTGCCTGGGCCTGAGGGAAACTCGCAGGAAATGTACTGCTCTCATGGGAATGTACTTTTCCCAACTTGGCACAGAGCCTACCTTTTGCGCGTGGAGAAAGCTCTGCAAAGTGCTCCAGGGTGTGGGCATCTCGCTTTGCCCTACTGGAACCAGACATCTGAGAGCTCTCTGAAAGGTGGACTTCCGTCCATTTTCACAGACAAGAGCTACACCTTTGCAAGCGGTGACACCATCAACAACCCGTTGTACTCCTACACCATGCAGAAGGCCGTGGATGGCCTCAAGTACAGCAGCAACGCCACACACGCGAAGCCTGTTGGTTACACCACTGTTCGTTATCCTTACTCCGGAAGGGTGGCTTCTGAGGAGGTTGCGGAGGTCAAATCCCGCAACAGCAGCCTCGAAGCGCTGCCTCAGAAGACGATCACCGGAGCTTTGGATGAGAACATCAGGAAGTGGCTTGCACCTGGGTCTTTTCCTGGCGTGGCAGAGAACTACCACCAGTCCCTGGACGCACCGAGTTACACGGTGTTCTCCAACATAGCTTCCGTCCAGGAATGGAATACGATGAATGCGGGAAACCCTCAAGTCCCCACTGTTGTCCCACTTGAGTTGCCTCACAACTCCTGTTCATTCAGCTTCGCAAGGCGACATGGGAGAGAATGAGACGGCAGCCTTCGACCCCGTCTTTTACTTCCACCATTGCTTCATTGACTACATGTTCTGGAAGTGGCAGGACCAGCACGACCAGAAGGATCATCTCGACATTACCCCCGGCATGCAGGGTACCAAGGGGGCTGACATCGACACGCCACTTGAACCATTCACCATGGCAGATCCCAATACGGGAACCGAGCGATGGATGACCTCGAAGGTGAATAAACCCATACTTGGTCCGGTCTGCGTAGATGACTAATAAGATCAGGATGTAATCGACACTGTCAAGCTTGGCTACGACTACGCAAAGCCCCAGTGGCAGAAGGTTAATGCAACAATTCGGGAAGCCGACGCGGTCAACGCCCCGAAGCTGACTGTCAGCGGAATCAATCGGTCAAAGATTCGTGGATCCTTCATTGTCTCCACATGGGTGGAAGGACAGAATGGGGGGCCTGAGAAGGTTATTAACATTAAGCCTATTCTGAGTCGGTGGGAAGTCAACAGCTGCGAGAACTGCCAGAACTATCTGGATGTGAGGTCCCACACACAGTTGACCAACTTCACCGACGAAGAGATCGAAGACATGGACTTCTTCGCTCTTGTGCATACCAGAGAGCACCCCGATGGCATCGACACAATCGATGGGCGACCTATTGAGGTCGAGTTGGGTGCGCTGAGGGGTTGAATGTCGGATGTTGCTCTGGCGCTGCCAGAAGCGTACCGCGGCTCTCAACATGCTGGATCATCCAAAGAGCTGCCGGTCGGAGATGGACAAGGTTTCTCGTAGCTTGGTAGCAGTAGTTTGCTGTTGACGCCATTCCACTCTTTCGCCTTTCGTCTTGTTCAAATCCTTCTGCTCGACCCTCCCCGTGAAAGAGGCTGTGACTGATACGCATCGCATTGGTCAGGAAATGAATATCATTTCGGTTATGTTATTCCGGGCGACTTTGACCTGCGACCAAAGATCATATTCTCGGCTGCGGGGTTACCGGCAGCGACTGTATAGCTGAGACTTGTGCTTGATGCAGTGTAAGCAGCAGTGGCGTGTTGAGGTACATTCAATCTTGAATGAGAGGCCACATCAGGTCTCAGGTGTAGGATAGTCCTAGATAAGACGGCGCAGCCTCTTGCGAACTTGTATGGCAACGAATGGCTCACTAAACGCATATTACAAGAAATAAGTAGCCGCTAGAATACCATTCTTCTCGGTTTCATTGCGGAGCATGGCTTCTGAGTCTGCAATCAACCCTCGAGTTCCATCACTGGATGGCAAATTGATTCTCTTCGGGAACGTGAACATCGTTCCGGACCACTATGACGACGTATGGCCCTCATTTCTTCTCTATCTTGTTCATGTACTGACGACTACAGTGGCAAGCAGCATACGATGATCTGGCGACTTACGTTTTCGCCAAAGAGCCCAATACTACCACGTATTACTTTGGGCTCCCCCTCGAGTACGCTGACAACCCATCACGGACACCTTACCTCTTCGCCTTCGAGATATACTCCTCACGTGAGGACCTTTACGATGTGCACCTGAAGTCCGAAACGATGACAACATCATTCCTCCCAGCCGCGCTCCCTGTCATGGCGACGGGCCTAGACCTCGTGCACTACGACGTCGCGGGCGGCTTCCTCGACCGCAGCGACCGAAAGGCGGAGTGCGGCATCATGGAAGACACCCAGATACGATGCACAGACTCTGCAGCGCGTGCAGAAGTCCTCGGAGCTTTGAAGATGCTGTGTCGCGCAGCGAAGGATGATGACGACGTGTTCACGTTCTTGGCGCTGCGGGGGCAGGACGACGAGATCAGTGCGAGAATCTTTGCGCGGTTTCGTGACCGAGATTCGATGGAGCGATGGGCAAGGACTGAGGTTGTAAAGGGGTTTTGGGAGATCGTGAAGAACAATGTGAAAGATATGGGTTCCCGTGCGTATGTGCCCAATGGGAAGGGCTGGCTTTGGAAATAGGCATTGTAGAAACCGGGACACGTCTCTTCGACGAGGGGAGAGACTTATCATAGTCTAATCAATGATGTTCGGTCCATGATATTCGGCGCGTACTGACTTGACTCTGAGCCGGCCCCGGCCGGAGTGCGGGGGCTTGTTCTAGAACGCGAGGATGATTGACCACTGTACACTGATGGGCTGCCGGTCGCTTATTGGGCTGTCTCTTGTAACAAATATTGAATCATTTATGTGATCTTTACGGCTGATATGCTGTGCAAGAGTTTCTTTATACAAACTCTTTGCATCTTCACGGTCAGTCGGTCTCGGTGGCCGCATCGTCATTGAGTGCATCGGCACTGGCAAGTTCTCCTGCACCTAAGCTCTTCTGACGTCCTCGCGTCATTGAGAACTTCTCCCCGGATCTGCTCGACTGACCCACAACTGAAAGCCATACAAGGGGCCCTAGATTAAAAACATCAGTTCCAAGCGGTTAAATCACTTTGTCAAGTTTACTACCGTTCGCCGCCGGTCCCTCTTCAGGGCAACTACCCACATGTCTAACTCAACGTTAGTTAGACTTCCGCTTCCTTCCCGGCCTAGATCACCACCCGAAGGGCAGATCGGATCATGTGACTATCTGATTATATGTAGACTGAATGCATGCAGTGCTACTTCATCAGAGGCATCAGGAAGGTTGCTCGAGAGTGGGGCAGCACGTCGAGCGACAATTTTGTTGTGTTCAACAGGGGTCTTAAGATGGGATAGGACTGTGGGGATATGACTACGTTCTTCCTTGCATTCTCTCCGTTGCCTATCTTCTTTTTCATCCATTTGCCTTTAAGTGTTCTCATTCACCCCAGATGAATTCGGCGAATTATGAAGAAGGACCACACCTTGAGCCCGAAACAGCAGTGCTCTACCAAGAATTACACCCAATACCTTCTTCAATCTCCGCCTTCAACTGCCTGGAACACCATTTCTGTTCATCGAGTGACTTGCCAACCTGTGCGGCTCACCTTTTGCCAGCGATCAATGGGCCGCCTTCCTCAAATTTACCAGCAACGGACCCCGCCGTGCAAGAACATAAAGGCCCTGGTCGTCCCAGTTCCGACACGACTCATCGAGCTCCATGTCAAACTCCCAGAGCAACTTAGCGAGGAAGGTCTGGGTGGTGATATGGGCTAGATTTCTCGCAATGCACTTCCTGGGGCCGTAGCCAAAGGGGTTGAAGGCATCGCGGTCGTCGCTCTCAAACTCAGCGGGTCTGTCATCAAGCCAGCGCTCGGGCCGATAAGAGTCGGCGTCGTAGAAGTTGGAGTTCGATCGAGAGGTTGCGAATTGGTTGACGCCGACGATGGTGCCTCCTCGGACAAACTCGCCGCACTGTGGACTTTGGTTAGATACACCGGTGGAAGAAAGAGAGAGGTGAGGTGTAAAGGGACTTACAATTTGGGCTCCAGCTGGAGGAACCTGGCGAGTGAGAGTACCGGGGATGGTTGGACGTCTGCGCAGCGTCTCCCGGAAACAAGCGAGCAGGTAAGGAAGGTTCTGAACATCCTGAGCCGTGATTTCATCCGACGACTTGAAAGCGGCGCGGATCTCTCTCAAGGCTTCGGCATATGCGTAGGGCGTCGTCAACAAGTGGTAGATGGTGCTGATGATGGAAGAGGGCATGGCCTCTGGGGTTCCGAGGATCAAGTGCACACAGTTGATCCAGACCTTGTCATCTTGCAATCCCTCGCTCTTTGCTCTACTCATCAGGTAAGAAGCAAAGTCACCAGAGTTGTCGCCGCCTGCATGCTTCTCATCGGCCATTCGCTTGAGGACCAAGTCATGGACCTCCTTGACCGGCAACACGCAGTCGTAGCCCGTGAATCCAGGCATGCCCTCAATGGCGTTGACCAGGATCTTGGGGCTTCGGCGGAACTGCAGGTAATAGCACTGCACCCAGTCAAAAAGCCTCTTGAAGAGCGCCAATGAAGGGTGAACGGTGCCTTGCGACATAATGGCGTTGAGGTCGCGTCCCACCGTGAGTTGTCCGCCGAGATCGAAGAGCGCATTCTCGGTCCACGCCCCGATGTCAACCACGGCCGAACTGGCATCACCTGAGAGCGAGGGCGACCGAATATGGGCGTTCAGGCCCTCGATCATCCTGTCAATGCATCCCGTGATGATGTGGCCCCGCTCAACCAAGGCCTGATGGGAGAAGGCATAGGCAAGCGTCCGCTTCTGCGGCCGGTGCTCGTCGCCGTCCGAATCAATCAGCGCCTTGTGTTCGGCAAAGACAGCTGAATATAAGATGGGGTCTTTGTTGAAGAGCGTGGTCTCGCCGTTGGCCTGTTTGTTACGTCCATAGATGTCTCTAAAGGCTTCGGCGCAGTTGTATGTCAACTCATCGGGCGCAATTCGCACCACGGGCCCGTATTTGGCGTGCAGGCGCTTCAGGTCGTATGGGATCTGGCCCTGGGTGTAGCGGATGACATAGGGAAACCTCGAGGCTCGCCAAAGGAGAGGTCCCGGGTAAGAGCGAAGCGGGTGGAAGAAGAGGTTGTATGTCGCCTTCAATATCACGGCCAAAATAATGAGTGCCGCTGTCCAGACTGACAAGGGCAGCGACGCCAGCCGCTCACTCAGAAGCCCGAGGACTGTCATGATGGGTTATGTTGTCGATGTTTGGACAAACTTCAAAATGCCCTTCGACCTGGTTGAAACCTCAGACAATGGCAGAGTAGAAGACATTATTTAATAAACCATAGCCTACAATTGGTGACATTTGCCCCCTTCTCCTCCAAAAGCACTCACCGAACCAGCGCTGTTCACGAGTCACGCGTTCGCGAGTCACGGCGGTATTGCCGGTGGAAACGGTCAATCTCGGGCGTCCCGAAGCATTGCCGTCGTGTTAATTTTCGCTTTGGCGAACCCTTCAAGACGGTCTGACTCGAGCTTCAATCAGGCTTCCTTATCTCTGAAGCATGAGTTCCAGGGGTCTGTCGATCGAAACCGATGTCTTCAAGAGACTTAGAAACCACGATGTCTCCTCCTTCGCAATCAGGAGAGGTTATCAGTGTCTTGTTGACCTCTTCTCACGCCTCTCTGCAGACCTCTGTGTCTTTTCAGTATTTAGTACACTACTCTGCTGTTCACCTGTTGGGTTATATCCATTCGGGTTGCGTGGTCCTTTTCCATTTCGGGACCTTGCTGTATCATATTGTACCTCAACCTCCTCCTCCACCGGTCAACTTTGACATTTTTCGTGGTATGCGCCTCGCGACATTTTGTCTCTCCCCCATTCCCCCGCCATGGCCCCAACAATCATGAACTACCAAGACTGCGGTCCGATGCGGTACAAGTCCTCGGTTCCGGTACCTGCATCTTTGCATGAGAACACTGCCTACCCCTCCAAATTCCGTCCGAGAATCAGCAAACACGTGGACGTGGCCGACAAGGCGTGCTGGGAGGCGTGCGACGACTTTGAAAACGCGACTGGGTTAAAGTTGAAGGCCGACAGCGTTGGATGCATCAACCCCATCGGCGGCAATGTCAACGCATTATGGTTTCCAGAGGCCATACCGGAGAGACTCCATATTATTTCCTACCTGTCTGAACTTCTCTTTCGTCATGACGGTCAGTATTTATGATTCTGAGGGGTCCAAACCTTTCTCGACATGCTTCCGAGGTCCGCTAACTCGATGCATGCAGACCTTACCGACGATGCTGTAACACCAGAGCAGGTATACGTCGAGATCCAAATCTCGCTGAATGCCTCCCTTGTGGCCCAAAAACTAACATGTCTGTTTATTACAGTTCGATGAGGTCCACGGACCATTGGCGCGATTCCTTGGTTCTGAGTCAAAGCAGAGCGATCATACCACCAAGCACAACGCAATGAACACAATGCAGGCTCGCGTCGCCATCGAGGCCCTCGAACAGAACGAACAGCTGGGAAAGCTCGTCATCGAGAAGTGGAAGGGAATTGTTAGTGTTCGCGGGCAGGACGCCTTCATGGAGCACAAGACATTGGACTCGTACATGCACGTGCGGCACTACGACGCCGGAGCCTACTCCGTTTGGTCGCAAATCCTATTCTGCTGCGACATTAGCCTCACCGACGAGGAGCTCACAGGTCTGGAGCCCCTCACCTGGCTGGCCTTCACGCAGATGATTCTTTGGCACGATTACTGTTCGTGGGATAAAGAAGCAGCCACGTACCTGGAGCGCGAAGAAGGCGGATCCAACATGAGCGCCGTGCAGGTCTACATGGCCATGTACGATCTCGACCAACATGCCGCCAAGGACTTCCTGCTGTCCGAGATCACGAGAATCGAGGACGAGTACTGCGAGAGGAAGGCGAGCTACATGGTTGAGTACTCGCCAGCACCTCACATCACACACTACATTGGTCTGATAGAAATGTGCATGGCCGGGAACACGCTGTGGCACCTTTCCTCGCGCCGATACGACCCGGCAGCTCCCCTTCCCAGACGAGAAGACATTGGCAAGGTGAACCAACGTCCGCTTGATGTTTCCGAGGTCAGCAGACCTGTAGATGGCCCTGAGTCGGACGGCATTATTCTTACTCCGGTCTCGAGCTGTCTGGGCACACGAAGACTCAGGCCATTCTGGAATAACCAGCGGACCGAGTATACCACCATGACTCCCGCCGATACCAGTTCCGACCAGAAGAAGAAGGCCAAGGCATCACACGAGACAAGGGCCGATCTACTGACGGTCTCGCCCTGCGCTTGGCCTGCCGAGTCGGACGAGAAGGACATTCTGGCGGCCTACCTTTACACGGCGGCAAGACCTGCAAGCGGCGCCCGTGACAAGCTGATGGACGCGCTTGACAATTGGTACCGCGTTCCTCCTGACGCCCTGGCTACAATCCGCACCATTATTCGAATCATGCACAACGCCAGTCTAATGCTCGACGACGTCCAAGACAATTCGCCCGTGAGGAGGGGCAGTCCGAGTGCGCATGTCGTCTTCGGCACGGCTCAGACCACAAATTCGGCAAGCTATCTCATGATCAAGTGCGTGGAGCTGGCTCGGCCGCTGGGCGACGAGGCCTTGTCGTGCCTCCTGTCCGAACTCGGCCAGCTGCACCTCGGCCAAAGCCACGACCTAGCATGGACTTTCTATTGCAAGGCGCCCTCGATCCCCGAGTACTACAGCCATCTAGAGCAAAAGACTGGCGGGCTCTTTCGCATGGCCTCCCGTATGATGCGCGCCTCAGCGACCCAGAACAAGCATCTTGACGCCTGCAAACTGATGAACCTTCTCGGCAGGCTCTACCAGTTGCGCGACGACTACCAGGATATCACGTCGGAATGCCTGTCGACATACGACGATCTGGACGAGGGCAGCTTCACTCTGCCGCTGATCCACGCACTTCACCGCGAGGAAGAACAAGGTGAAGTCCAGCTGCACAGCATTCTTCAAAGCGCACGGGCATCGCGTTCTGCCTCGGCATCGAACAATGATGGAAAATTGTCGGTTGAGACGAAACTGCTGATTCGGGAGATGCTGGAGGAGGCAGGCAGCTTGGAGCATACAAGGGTAGTAATTCGAGACTTGTATGACGAGACGAGAGCCGTGTTGACCGCGATGGAGAACGAAACTGGGTCGGGTGGCAAGAATTGGATGTTACGATTGATTACTTTCCAGTTGAAAGTATAACACAAAAACAGTAGTTAGCACTTTAGTTAGCGGGTCTTGAAATTCAGCGTCGTTGTCTTCACATACGTGGGCAATCCCGATGTTCGACATGTACACGTGACCAAACACGTTGACGAGCAGAATGGTTCATGCCGAGTTCGGTGAAGAGTGTGGAAGAAGAAAATGAAGATGAATAAGAGAGACGAATGCATAGTACACGCATGGTGGACGAATAGATCACAGCGACGGCCTGTTTGTGCTCTGTTGCCAAGAAACAGGGATGCAAACCTAGACCCCCTACGCGTACATGTAGGGGTCGAGATATCAGTCTCTTATCATTGAACAATGTGAGAGGTAACAAACAGATTGGCTCTTTCGTACCGCATCGGGTTAAATGCTCCAAAACTGCACAAGCAGCCTGGCGAGAAAGAGACTGCTCAAGGCCATGAACCTGGGCATTTTAGAACTGGCGCGCACGTGTAAGATTGCTTAAGTTTCTTGACGCCACACAATTCAATATGCATGTGGAACGTCACTCCGAAAGATTGTAGCCAATGTTTATTGTCTTACCGAAGACAAAGGTGCTCGCAGCAATACAGATAACCCTAATCATATCCCATAATCCTTGAGTTTCGAGTGTACTTGGCATGTTAGCTTCCATTATCAGATGACACTACATGTGGCCACTTCGGACTCGGAGGCCAGTTGGGGTTAGATGGGCCACACACACACCGAATCCTCCTCGTAAAACAAGGCTGGGGAGTGTTGAAGTACATATTAGGTTGTCTAGACCCGCGATGTCAGACGTCAATCTATGTCACATTCGAGGAGCCTCACCACCCTCTAGCAAAACAAAAGGATGTGAAATTCAGCCTGGATCCTCCATCATCCCAACCTCAACCAACAAGAGTATGACAGTGGCGGCTGCCTGGGACGCCACAGCCCCCACGCATACCTAGCGCCCGCTGCCGGCGCTAAATGCTGACCGCTTCCTGCATTTCCATTTCCCTGGTCCGAGCCGAGACGCTAGGTTATCAATTCAGCGTGGTTCTGGCGCTGTACTGGTCGACGTTACGGCTTGCACAAACTGGACGTGCTCTCTTTCAGCGTTGAACGGCACAGAAGAAGCAATATTGTCGCATTCTGGCACGCGACAGCAGATAGGACGTGTGAGAATGCAGCCAATCAATACCAAACTGGCGTTATATGCTGTTCACCGCAGGGCTGACATGCGAGGTTGGGCAAGTTGGCGGCCGCCCCGCCATTCCTTGTGTCCTGTGCTACTTCCGTTGCCTTTTATATGTGACCGGTCGCTCTTTTTTTTCCATCGCAATAGATCCTTCTTACTTCACTCTTTTCTCTTCAACTCTCTATAGTGTGGTGCATGAAGCGGATCCAGAGCGCGCAATTACAATGTCGCCGGGTACACATCTAGGAGGCCTTCGTTCTTCCACAACGAGGGCATTTTTTGTTGTTTTTGCGCTCATTATTCTCACCAGAAACGCCGCATACGCCGATGTTTGTAATTACGATGGTGGTTGGTCTATGCGGCGCGAGTCTAGCTGTTCGACTATTGCATCAAAACGTTGCAGTTCCACTTGGGACGGTTCGCAAGTTCTGTGTTGTCCTGATGATTACGTGTGCAGTGGCGAAGATGATTTTGAGAATCAGTACTGCTGCAAAGGTTAGTAAGATTCCAAATGGCACCTAGATTTCTCAATATCCTTCTCTAATAAGCATCTAATGGGGTTTGCTAATCTCTACTCCGAAATAGACAAAAATAGTTGCACGAAACAGGCAATCAACGATCCAAAGGTATATCTTCTTGAGAGCGTTTACCTAAGTTTTCGGAACCCGAGCTTAATCCATGAAAATTAGTGTCCAGATCCAACTATGAGCCTGTGGGGAACCAATGACAGAGACGACGGCCTTTGGTGTTGTGCCTCCGAAGATGTGGGTGTTTACAAGAATACCGGGGAAGTAAATGGGCTGGTGTTTCTATGTACGGGAACTGAGGTGACTGCTCTGGCCACGACTCTTTCCTCGGCCACTCTTTTGTCTCAGTGCTCGATGACTAGCACGCCTACCAGCACCTCTACTACCGCATCCACCAGCGCCAACGCCTCTGGCGAGGAAGATTCACCGGCGGGTGTCCCTGCAGGAGCTATAGCTGGCGGTGTTGTTGGCGGTGTCGCCGGAATTGCACTTGTGGTTGTCGGGATATACTTCTTGAAGAAGAAGAAAAACGTGGACCCGGAAGAGCAGCCTTCAACAGAAGTTCCTGTCCAAGAAGGACAACAGTGGTCTCAACAGCGTCGCACTAACTTTCATGGGAGGCGACCCAGTGAGCTGGAAACAGTAGAGCCACGACTTGAGATGAATGGGGTAAAACCGACCTACGAGCTTGATGCAACTGAGGAGCAAAAAAGAGAGAGGGATGTTTCTCCATTGAGTCCACCGAGATGAAACTACGCAGGGATAGGAACTTATGTTCAACACAACTGTGGAATCTGGATTGGAAGAGTTGCCGGAGATTTGGACCTTCTCCTATCGAATACGACACAGTCTTGCTAAGTTAAGGGCAACGTAACAAGGGGAATTCCACCAAGATGCAGGGCATGTTGCAGAGAACACTTCAAGGCTACAAGTGGGAAGGGCCACAGGCATGACATGTAAATTTGTTTATTTACCTAGGCCATAGAGAGTGACGGCTGCTTCGTGGTCCCCGTGATCCCATAGAAGAGGAATGCTGACATGACTGACTGCTAACAATGAAGATCATATTTTCAGAGGCCAGCATATTGGTGCGGGCTTCAATATCCCCATAAATCAAGGTTCTTCTCCAGGTTATTTCGGGCCTCTCGCTTGATCATTTCAATGCGTTCAGGGGTAGCCTTGGCCCTCCATCGTTCGAGGAAGAACATGTGAGGGCTGATGTTTTGAATGAACCAATACACAGCAGAAAGATAATCGATGCCTTGGATGTCAGACGGTCGCTCCACGCCAGCTTTGGTAAATTCTTCGTCTCTCATGGTGGCGGTCATCCAGTCAATGGATTCTGATTTTCGCTGCACGTCCTCTTGGGTGAAACCGGTCAGAAGACAGTCTCGAAGGTGTTCTTCTTCCGGATCGCCGGTGAAAGGGGGGAATCATAAGTCCGTGGATACTATGGAATGAGTAGAAGTATTCATCTGCCTGTGAGCCGATGTGGCCAAAGTCATAGTCCAGCAAAGCAGTCAGCTTGTTTGTGGCCTCGTCGAACAAGATATTGTTTCCGTCTTAAATAGCAAATCAGAAAAATGATCGAGTCATTCCATCTGGACGTGGAAGAAGTCACGTACCAAAATCACCATGCACCAAGGTACGTCGTGCTTCCAGTCTGCTAACAAGAGATTTCAGACCCTTGGCGCCAAACTGATCCAATCGGGTTCTCAGATCTGAGTCTCCCCAACCCCGGACAATGTCACACTTATCAGCAAACCCAATCTGAGTCTTGAAGTACTCTTGGTAGAGATCAGACAGTGTCGTGCAGGGTCCGCCACCTGCAATAGGTGTGGGACCACCAATTAAGCTTCCATCAGGGCCAAAGTTGAGGCCACCAAAGGTTCTGGCAGACTCAGGTGGCTTGTATTTCTGAAATTCTTCAAGACTTGGGCGATTTGTCGCAACAGATCTCTCTTCTTCTCGCTGTCAAGCGTGGGGAACTTATCGCCTAGAGGAACACCTTGTGTGAACTCGATGAGAGTCCATCCAACCCCTTCGGAAAAGGGGCGCCAGCCACAGACTTCGGGTACGAGGGAAGGATCATACTGCTTCAAAACTTCTCTTGCAAGGGACATTACCGCGACTTCGTTCTGCACGCGGATCTCCTCGTTCAACATCGACGCCGGATCGGAGAAGCGCATGATGACCTTTGTGGCAAAGGGGGGCATGGGAGAGGCACCGAAGCGTTCATTGAATGGCGGCGGAAAGTTTTGCGCTTGGGTTAGGCTGACGCTGTAGACTCTGGCATTATTGTGGCGGAGAGGCACAACTTCAGTGACCTTTCCCGTCAACATTGCCCTGCGTAGGTGCGTGATCAGACGGGTACTCACTTCACGGTTGTACTGCAAGCACAGGATCTCTTTTATATGGGACTCATAGTCATCAGACCCCTGGGAAAGGTTAAAAACTGCGTGCGTTTGGTCCGACATTTTATGTGGTCGTGATGGTCAAGATATTGACTGTTTAGCAAGTTTCATTGTGGGCTTGTGTTCTTAAGTAAGTGTTGACGGTGAGTTTCGGTAGGAAGTGTAGCCGACCCGCGTGTTCGTGATCAGGCAACAGCGCGCCCAGAACTGACAGAGTGTGGCAGTCAGAATGTTGCCATGGCCGAAATCAGCAGGTCCGCGCGAGTTGGGACGACCAGTATCAAAGACGAGGGCTTATGCGCCCCTTGGCTGCAGAAACAACAATCCTCCCAGCTAGAAAAATAAGCCAGCACAAGCCAAACCTTTACCTGATCACGATAAGAAGCGACAGAAATATGCAACTGTGGACTGATAGTGACTCACTTAGTTCAAGACCGATGAGGTTCATCTCAAAATGGGACAGACCCGACAATCTGGAAACCCTTGCTAAATAGTGGACCCTTAATTGACAAGATGCATGTGAGTCTCAAGGCAAGGAGTGTGACGAATGCAACAACACGTGCAGCATCTCAGTGACGTTCCCGTTGCCCCGGATAATCGTTCATCGCAAGCTCACTGAACGGCAAACTTTCATGATTCAGTCACGACCGGGACTCGTACGCCAGTCCAGCTAGTGACCTTGGCGCCAATTGACATATCCAATTGACCAATGGAAGAATCCCCGATATCGAGAGCAGACTCCAATTCCATGATAAGGGTCCACTGCCGGGAAATGAGGTTGCGGGGCCCCGGGATCGGCCTGGAGACAGAACAATAAAAAGAGGCGAACCCGAGATAAATCTCACTCTTCAGCGGATGGTTCATACTTTCTCATTTGGTCAAGCATCACGAAAGTCATCATGAAGACACCCGTCCTGTTCGCAACGGCCCTCGGCGTCTGCGCCGGTGCACAACAGCTCGCTGAGCCACTTGCCTATGCCAACATCACGTCTCTGCTCGACACTATCCTCGCCCGTGGATACATCAATGTCGGAACGACAGGAGATTACAAGCCCTTCACGTATCTTGTCACAAACCAGACCAATCTGCCAAATACCACCGCAATCAACACAACGTACATCGGCGCCGACATCGACGCAGCGCAGTCTCTCTCCAACGCCCTCGGCCTCCCCAGTCCGCCCCGCCTGATCAAGACTATATGGGCCAACATCACGTCCGACCTGGCCGCAGGCAAATTCGACATCGCAATGGGCGGCGTCAGCCTCACCCTCGCACGAGCCAAGACGGCCTTCTTCTCAACGGCGATCCAGGGCGTCGGCAAGACGGCTTGCATCCGCTGCGCCGACGCGGACAAGTACACCGACCTCGCGACTCTGGATCAGGCCGGTGTCAAGGTCGCCGTCAACCCTGGGGGCACCAACGAAGCCTTTGACCGCGCGAACCTGAAGAACGCCGAGATTGTGCTGGTGGAGGACAACAACGCGGTCTACCAAGCCGTGCTGGATGGCACGGCGGACGCGATGATCTCGGATCTCATCGAGGTCGAGTTGCAGGTCAAGCTCCACGAGGGCCAGCTCTGCATCGCCAATCCAGACGCGCCGTTCAACTTTGAGGAGCTGGGCTATGCCATCCCGAGAGACATTGTATGGAAGCACTTTGTGGACGCTTGGGTTCACGTTCAACTCGGCAGCGGAGCGTGGAACTCGACCCTAGAGACGTGGCTGAACTACAAGTGGCCAAGCGTATGATAATTATATTCACCCGAGATACCAACAATATCAAATTCAATGACTTCCAATTCCAAACCTAGACCATTTGAAAAAGAAGCGTTTCCTATAAAATTCCCGCGCGGCATGAACGGACTCGTCCTTGGCCAATTTGGTTTTTGTGACGGAACGCCTTTTGCGACATATCCAAAAAGAGCAACTGCATGAACACGACATGGCCATGGTCGGTCAAGCTTTCTTGTCAAGTTTATCTTTGCCAGGAAGGTGCTCCGCAATTTTTGATGCCTCCAATCCGACCTTCTTCTTGGCCTGCTCCATGGTGGAGGCCATGGAAGGCATCGTGGCCGCATCACCGCTGTGTCTCTGGACAAGCACATTCAGCATGCTGTGGCCACAGGGAAGACACACAGAATCAAACTCACCCTCTCCTCCTCGACCTCAGCATCGTGGATGAAGTCGTGTCCAGCCTCCACAGCGTCATCCGACAGTCCATGCTGCTTTAGACCGTGATCCTTTCTGTTCGACATTGTGAAATTTTCAACAACGGTATTCTTGGTTATAGCTGATGGTGAGCCTCAGAAGTCTTACTGAATGACAGACATATGCGCTGTGGCAAGGCTAGGCAGAGGGCGAACCTCAACTGATATATTCTCATTGAGTTTTCATAATTTGAGGGGCATGTGACAGTCCAACGTCATCCGAATGCCCGACTGAGGGGTTCACGGTCGCCGGCGAAAGTCTCAGGGACACCATCACCAAGTGCACGGTGAGTAGCCCCGCATCGATGATGGCCCCCGAGCCGTGGTGGCAAGGATGACCAGACAACAACGGTAGCATCTCATCGATCAAGAAGGCGGGGTCGGAACCATCGCGACTTGTTCCAGGCCTGGCTGATTGCTTTAGACCACGAGTCTGCGTTCAGTTGCGGATTGGATGAGAGGAGGGATTTACGTGGACGCGGCTTGTATCTGGCGGGGTATGAGGAGAAGCTTCAGTTAGACAAGATTCGTTAGGCGCATGCTTCCAATGCGTTTGATTGATTCACCTCCCGATAGTGAGAGAAGGGCCTGAGATAAAAAGCGACGTTATGACTTGGTTGAATAGCCCCGTTTAGTGCAAGTAACATTGTAATCCCTGAAATGCGGACAAAAGTCGAATCGACTAAGTTCTCCTTCATGTTGAGACATACGAGGTCTTCTCTCATTTAAATGGAGGTCAAGTCACTCATGGGCAACTCATGTGTTGAGAAAGACTCTGATTGCTAGCGGCTCACGACTTCACTATCTTCATCACACAACCGTTGGACCAACCTCATGTCAAGTTTAACTCAATTATATATTACGTTTATCGTTAACAATACTTGAGCTATTAAAATAAGCATCCAATTATCCTTGAAGACGGCATTGGCGCCGCTAGAGCTTGTGACGTTCTTGGCCGACGCTGCATCGGCGGATCTGTCAGGGTCGTCTCCGACCGGCTGAGTGATCCAATCCTTGGGGATTTGCGTGATGAAATCGTACCAATAGTCTCCCATGGTGCGATATCCCTCATCTGAGGGATGGATGCAGTCTGACCGTAGGATGCCGTCGCCTAGCGCCGCGAAATCAACAGCAAGAACGTGCTTGCTAGCATTTTGTCGCTGCTCCACAATATCCGGGATGAGTCCCTGGAAGACCTCGGTTTGGGGCCGCTGGTCTGCAACGCAGGTGTTGATGATCTGCGCGACAAGAACGGTGGCATCCGGGCAGGCCTCCAGCATCTGGTCGATCAAAGCTCCGAGCCGTGCGGCGGCGGCGGTAGGATCGTTGCCTTCGGTGGAGATGTCGGGGTTCGGGTTCATGTCATTGGTGCCGGCGTGGAGCAGAATGACGTTTGGGCGCTGCGTCAGGGATGGAGGGACGTTATCCGCAATGTACTGGATCGTTTTTCCAGACCAAGCAGCCTTGATTATGGTAAGCAAATATGAAAAATCGGTGAAGCGGGAGATGCACTGCTGACTTACAAAGTACGGATCAGTCATGTTGCCAGAGGATTCAGTTCCGGCAAAGACGACGTCATTGGCTGGGGAATGTTAGACTCAGCTCCCATGTGAGTGAGTGAAGAGAATATGAACTCACCAGACAGATTTTCTTGCAATTTCAACCTGTAGCCATTCCCGTCGGTGCTGAGATACCCAACGGTGACAGAGTCGCCGACGGGCAGGATGCGTAGCTCGACGCCGTCCTTGATGACCTGCCCCGCGGCGGCTCCCGTGTAATTGAGAGAGTCAGCGGCGAGGGCCAGCGGGGCAGCGAAGGCGACGGCACTGGCGATGGAGAACCTCATAATGACAGCCGGGAGCAGGACGAAAGACAGACACACAACAACACGAGAGACATCATGGCAACAGACGCCTCAAGAGGGGTGGGTGGCAGCTTCATATAGTATTAGCGGCAGCTGTCGCGCTCGCCATTTCGAATGGACTGGGTGCGGATACGCCCACGAAGGCCGAACGCCAACGGGGTGACAAGGTCATGACAGCCCAGTCTAGCCCAGGGCATGCCTCGGGCTCATACTCAGCCCAGTCGCTCTCCCCACTCGCAACCAACATGAACGGGCAATTTCCAAAGGGTCAATGCCAGGCAGACATCAGCTTCCTCGTGGGAAATGCTGACATGCTGAGGGCAAACCGCCAATGGGAGACGACGGATCCAGCTGGAACGGAGTCGATTGGTCGCATTGAACAAACGAAAAGTCCGCGAGGGACAGAGAAAATGACCCATCGTCTTGGCCCCACCGACGTGCCAAGGAGTTCAAGGACAAGGCCTGTCATGAATGGAACTGCTTCTCGCTCCCACACCACCACGATGAAGCAAATGCTGCGTCGGCCAACGTGATCAGGACGATCAAAAGCCGTTGGACGGGCTGATTCTCCTAGTCTCTCCGTTACCGCGTCGTCCGCCGTAGCTAGCGATGATACCTGCAGAACAACCCTAAGCAGGTAACGGTGCCAATGGCTGCGACGGGCCGCGTAGCGGGCTGCCGGCAGTTTGCCAAGGTGGCTGGACCGAGGCGCCCAGGAGGCACAGGAAGCGCAGTTTAATCCCGCGACTGCCTTCTCGTCTCTTCGTCACGAGGCTGCGGACGAGAGTCGGTGTAGCCGGGCGTAAAGGAGAACATGGGGGATGATGGAGCTTTCTCGCAACTTGCCGCTCCAGTGATATCGGCCATCGGGAATAGTTGATGGCAAAACTTAACATTAAGCGCAATGCTAAGAGCAGAATGTCCAGCGTGCGTGAGTTCACTCGGCCCGCTCCCTGAGTGCCCCTGCGCCCACGCGAACACCATTTCTGTGCGCCGCCCGAAGCCGCTGCCGCTGCCACAATATGGCGCATGAACACCCTGACATGAGATGGAAATGCAGCAGAGCAGCCCTCTACAGGACAGTCCCTTGTTGATTCCTACTCCCTTAATGGGGACTGTTGCCTCTGTCTTTTTTTACATTTCGCCAGCCAGGCAACAGGCATAAACCATGCACCCCCAAGAGCATTTGCCGAGAAAAGGGGGCTCAGCTGTCAGCACTGCATGTTTATTCTAGCGTCCCAGCGCATGAAAGCTTGGGTCTCGTTTGTTCAGGGTTGACCAGATGAACTACAGTTCGGAAAGGAAGAGCTTTTCCTGATGACATCCTCAGTCTGCCCCATGACTTTCTCTCTTCCAACTCTGCAGACTGCAAGAAACCATTTTCGGGCCTTGACATCATGAGATCTGCCGCTAAGGGCGATCAACCCTCCACCGCAACGTAGAGACATACTGACGTCGCCTAAGAAGCCGTCATTCAGTGATCGCCGCGATCAAGCTCATGTCCTCCGCAGAAAAAAACCGACAAGGGCCCCGCCAGCGCATCGGTACCGGCCCACCACCGGCACCCTCTATCCGGCCCTCCCGGTCATCTGACGTCAAACACGCGGGTGACGGTTCAATGATGATTTCTTGGCCATGAGTTGCGATGGCATCTCGTGAGGGTCTATTTTCAACATCACCATGCATCTTTGAGACCACCGGACCGCTCGATTAGAAGTCCGCGTACTCAATTCTCATACGTGCTTCATACTGGTATTGCCGATCGCAAGCGTCGTCATCGGCGTCGTCGCCATGAAACAAAAGCCCCTACTTCTCGAATCAAACACAATGGGGAGAACCGTCGCATGCAACGCCGATGTCACCTCAACCACCTCCTCGATCTCAGGATGCCCCCAATTTAGAGGGGACCAGACCTAGTAAATGTCAAAGCTACAGACATGGTTAATATTTTGCAACCGCGATAGTTCAGACGCCCGTTTAATCTTTTGAGTTCTCTAGCACTGCAACGCGCGTTAAGCGTTCGGTCCTTATCTCCCCGAAGCTACTCCGCAGACATGGAAATTTCTTCTTATTCGGATGGAATTGAGATGAACTCATTGAATCGATTAAAGAATGCAAAGATACAAACCTTTCCATGGCCTACTTGCCCGCGAGGCTTACTTCCAGCACCGAATCAAGTTGTCAACATGAATTATTGACGGCGACGCTTGTTTCTCCCAAAATTACACTTCTCACAACCATTCATGCAAGGGTCTCGAACCACAATGCAATCGTAGATAACCTCGCCATTCTCGGCGACACCAAATGGTTTGGGCTGTGCATCTGAAGAAGATCCCTCACCGTTGTCAGTCTGTGCTTGGTTAGCATCATCATCAACTACATCATTAGCAGGCGACGGAGAAGCCGCGCGCGGGATGTCATATTCAAAATCCATGCCATCCTCTGGATCAACTGCCGGCTCTGAAGGGGTAGGTTGAGGGGCTTGGGGAGGGCGAGGTGCTTGGGTAGGGAAAATAATACCAGTTTGACTTAAGCTAAAGAGAGCGAGAGCAGCTTCCTGCCGAGCCTGCTCTTCAGCTTGTGCGCGCTCTCGGGCAAGTTCGTTCTGTTGCATAGCCGCAATAACAGCGGCGGCACGATACTCACAGAGATTTCCGGGCTGACACTCGCCCTTGGAGCAACAAGTCCACTCACCTCGGATCCAACGATTGCGGACCCCAGTGACGTTCATGGTGATATGAAGCGGCATCGCACCTGTCTGGCCAATTGGTTGCATGTAGGCTGGCTGGATGTTAACCACACCGCCGTGACCGATACCCAAGCAGGCGGCGCAGAGGATGTGGGTTGGGAAGTTGGATCGTGTCATAATATCTCGCGATGCGGTCCATGAGAGGATGTTGTTGGTCTTGGCGTCGGGGGCTGCGCGGTAATCGGGGCATTGATCGGGACGCTGGCTCAAGACCAGGCGGCCTAGGCAGTTGGCGTCTGGGCGGTAGCCCATCTGGGTCGCCTTTTGACAGAGGACGTAGAACGGATTCGGTGTAGGAATGAGGCGGAGGAGGGGAAGGCGGATACCGTGCTCCTCCGAGCGGCAGGCTGAGGAGCAGCAGACGAGGAGCTCTTCTAGCTGTTGGCACATGATTGTTGTTAATGTCAGGTATTGTCTGTTTCTAGGGATACTTAGTCTGATGATCTCCGTCCTACTCGAATATGTAAATCTGTATTCTGTCAGCTGGTTGGTAATGGCCAGAATGTTCCTGTCAGAAGGCGATGCATCCAGGTTCATCCAAGTTTTATACTAGTTTGGGTGTGCAAGCAACTATAAAACATAAAGCATGCATCTTTCCATCATAATACTTGAGAAAGAACAGAGAATCAGTTGCGAGACAACGAGACTTTGGGTTAGACGAGCAAAGCGCACAAAGAGGCATAGATCTCAAAGTCTTTGTTTATGGACGTTGGAATAGTATTGATCATGGAATCATAGAGTTTTGCAAAAGGACGCAATGACTTCACACAAAGAGACCACTCGTCAAGGTGCTATGCATGCACATTGTCCAGAGCTAGAGAGAAGAAAACACAGACTTGCTATCTCCGCGGAATATCTACAGACTTGGTAAACAACAGCTTCCTAGCTAACCAACAACCGAAGGTAGCACCTGATACAGAACCGCCGTCTCCTCGATGAAACACGACAGTACAATCGCTCGGAGCCGGTGCGTCCATCCCGCGCGGACACGACATCAACCAGACATCCTGGCTGGTGTATCTCATAAGATGAGCTGGACCGTGTCCCAGATAGCCGTCAAATGAACCAAAAAGCATCCCGCCTTCGTTGCGACAATGGAACGTCGAATCGATCTCAGCGCAGTAAAAGTCGCCACCAAACGCAGAGTAATCGACCGGCCCTCCTGGCGAAATGCGGGACGCCTTCAGGGCCCGATTCTCCTTGACACGATGAATCTTGAGCTGATCCCCATCAATCTTGGCCACCATGCCAGGCGACTCGGCGTGCTTCGGATCCTTGAGGTTGATCGCCTCCGCGGACCCGGCGTAGGAAATGTTGACCTTGCCCTTCGCGCCATGGGATACGGTGATGGCGAGCTGCGTCTGTTCGTCGAGGAATGTACCGAACCAGCTTGCGTCTGCATCGACCGGGGCAGGTTCAGATTTCTTCAAATCAAGCAGGCCTCGGATGATTTCCTCGGCTGGCGCTGCTGAGCCGCCCTCGTGGTTGAGCAGGACGACAACGGAGATCCGTTCTTCAGGAGCATGGACTCGATAAAGACGGAAACCGCGCAATGCGCCGCTGTGGCCGACTACTTTGACGTTTTCGATCTTGCCGTGGCCCAGCCCTTGAGCATAACCTGCAGGCGTCCCGTCTTTGTACAACGGCTGCTTCAAGGCCGCTTCATACCAACTACCCCGCTCGGTTGAGATGCGGTCCAAGTATTGCTCATAAGCAATCATATCGCTAAGCGACGCAACAACGCCGGCATCGCCAGCCCACTCGATCTTGTTGTCGGCAGGGAAGAATCCGCGCTGCTCATCCCCTTCGTATCCGACACACGGAGGTGGCAGCTGTGCAGTATCGGCCGCGAGCCGTGCGGTCTTCATACCCGCCGGGCCGAAGATGCGCTGTTCAAGCAACGAAGCGATCGAATCTCCGGTCACTTGTTCCACGATTCGGCCCAAAATGTGGAAATTTGTGTTGGCATATGAGTACTCCATACCGGGCTCGAAGTGGAAGGACTGGAGTCGCTCGATCATGAGCTTGCTGTGGTCCGCTATCGAGAAGCGGTCCTCCGGCTGGGCTCCCCATAGCACGCTTAGAGCCCAGTAATCCCGGATGCCTGACTGGTTGTTGGCCAGATGGTCAATCGTCAGGGCTCCCTCACGGGTCAGGTTTGGATGCAGAAGTGCTGTCATCTTGTCCGAGAACTTCGCTTTGACGTCACCCTTGTCGGCCAGGCTGGCGGGTGGATTGTGCTCCAAATCGTACATGAGAGCGCATAGCATCTGCTTTGAGATTGAGCAGATTGGCAGTAGAGTTTCGGCGGTCATGGGGATCTTGCGGACGAGGTCGGCGTAGCCCCAGACCCGTTGCCCGATGAGCTTGCCGTCTTTGAGTACGGCGATTGCGCCGCCCGGCCCCCGCACGCGGGACGGGATGCCGTCAAGCAGTTGTTTTGTGGCTTCTTCGGACATTGGCATTCTTGCGGTATGATAAATACTATGATTAAGCTGTTTCGGAGACTGGGAGTTGACGTGCAGTCAATAGAGTTAAGGCCGCGGTGGGTTGTGTTTGATAAGATTGTCAGAGCGACCCATCGAATCAACGTGTGCTGGCAGTGGTTGTGTTCAATCATGTGACCTTATGCATGACACCGGAATTTCTTGAGATTTCGGCGTGTTCACCACACTATGAGGTTATTGATGATTTGACGGAAAGAGCTGCGAGGCCAAAAATGGGCCAAGATAGTGACTATCTAATATGTGATTCAAATCCCAATTCCTCCAGCGGCTCGTACACACACCCACCGCCTAAGGGGTCAAGGGCAAGGCGCCAAGACATACGTACACCTTAGCGGGGTTCGATTGAAGAGCTCGCCCTCCTTCAACTTGCAAACCTACATCCGACTTTCAACATCCACCACCCAGCATACCGGAAGGAAAAAGGGGAAAATAAAACCAAAAATCAGCCCCCTCCTTTTGCCATTGTCATCCCCACACCACCAAAAAAATAGTCGTCCCGGTATCTCCGACCATGGATGACCCTCCCCTCTTACCAGACCTGCTCACTTCCCTGCTCGAAGTTCCGGATAACCAGATCGACGACCCAGACGAGAGTGAGATTCTAGACTATGAATACAAGGAGTGGGGATTTAATATTCACCGCACCGCCTGCGGCGGCTCCGACTCAGACATGGCTTGGGAGGCACTCGTGGAAGATGTCCGTAAACACGTACGCCTCCAGATCCAAGGCCGATACACCAATGAGAACGAGGAAGAAGTCGAGGCCGCAAAGAAGCTGATGTCGCTGTTCCGTCTCAGCGTCCACTCTGACCCCGAAACGCTCCAAGGAGCCGACTTGGATCAACTCCGTCAAGTCCACACCGAGAATGTCCGCACGGGCAAGGCACTTTCGAACGCGTGCTGGGCTTTAAGACAGATGATCCTCGTCGCCGACGGCGAGGTGCTGACCGACGTCGCCACCGGGGACTTCTGGATCAAATGCGTCGAGGCAGACTATGTGGCCTCGCGACACGTCGGTCGAGACCGCAGCCGTGTGCTCCAGCAGTACTTTGGCTGGTTCAAGATGAGATCGAACCGCTTCATTGAGCTGTGGTTGGACTTGCAATTTCACCATCTGAAAAGCATCTCGCCTCCTACCATTGGCGGGATGCATCTGGAGATATGGCATGGGGACGACCGCCTCTGAAATTCACGTTTGTCTTCTTTCTACTTTCAGAGCCCCCGGCGATACATACGCAGATATACGTATACAAAGCTACCAGTCGGATTGGGATGCTGGAACCGCACCGGAAGAATACGTAAGTTAGACCGTAACCATCGCTATGAAACCTCATCAACCGGCAATTCACAGTTCATTTTTCGACCGGACTGTCAACAGAAGATTTCCGACCTTGGAGGGCCGACCGAGTGGTAATGGCGGATGATCGTGGAGAACCAGATTTGTAGACAGCAGAGGGAAAGATATTTTCGTATTTCGTGTATGGCGGAAAGGAGGGCGGACGTGATCTCAAGTGTTCCCACAGGTAGCGTGAGTTCAAAGTCGGCAAATTAAAGCATCAATGAAACGAAGCTATGCCTCGACCTCCAAGCGCCATACGGAACCTCTTTGCACAAAACAAAGGGGCGATAAATAGTGAAGGGTTCAGAAGTCGATGACAGCATGGATGTCTTCATCGATTTGCTACCTATCCATTGATGCGGCACTTCAAAAAGTACCGCGAGGTAGTACATGCAAGCCGGCCTTGCAATTAGCAAAGCCAGGGTATTATCCAGGGACTTTTGGAACAAAGGGCAGTTATTGGTATTGATACGTTTTCTTGGCCCTATCAATCCCCTTGATAGTTTGATGAACAGATGAGAGAAGACTTCCATGTGGAAATGGCTCGTTTCAAAAGGCGTTGAATTATGTTGATCAATTTTCGAGTGCGTTTGGTAGAGAAGCAAGTAGAAGTTTTATTAAGAAATATGAGGGCCTGATTGATTTCCCATTGGCTTTCATCACTTATGCCCGATCCAGCGCCTTGTAGACGATCTTCGCATATTCCTTGAACGCGTCATTACCTAGTCCCGTCATTGACATCTTGTTCATGACATATGTAATGGTCAGTTTTCTGTCCAGGTCCATGACAGCGAAAGAGCCGCCCATTCCTCCCCAGAAGCAGACACGTCCGTTTGGCAGCCACTCGGCTATGGCTGTGTTGCCGTCACCAGTGATTCCGTACCCAACACCGAAACGAAGAGGCATGTTGGTGACTAAATCAACTCCATTCGACTGCTCCTCGAATATTTTGTCAATCGTATCTTCCGACAAAAACTTCTTCCCGTCGACGCTCCCACCAAGACTGATGGCTGAAAGAATCCGCGCAAGAGCTCGAGCATTGGTGTGTCCACTTGCTGACAGAACATGGCCTTGACGCCAAGATGCGCCATTGGCAAAGGTTGACGGGAAAGGCATTGGATTCATTGTTCTGAAGGTTATTGAGCCAGGTTGGGGGCCAACACCGGGAGGAAGCTTGGGAAGAGGAGCCGGAATGACGTCCGATGTTCGTGGTAGGTCGCGCTCCACAACACCGAACTGGAAGTCCGCCCCAAGAGGCGCCACAATCTCCTCCATCACAAATTCCTGGAGTGTTTTCCCGGTTGCACGACGTACAATTTCGCCGAGAAGATGGCCGAAAGTCCAGGTATGGTAGCCGGAAGCCGAGCCCGGTGTCCACCAAGGCGCTTGTGCGGCAAGTTTGGCGTTGGCCTCGCCCAAGTTGGAGATCTCCTCAAATGAAAGGGGGCGGTCGGCGTCCCAGCCTGAGACTCCAGATGTGTGCGAGAGAATATGGCGGATCTCGATGTTCTCTTTGCCATTCGTGGCGAACTCTGGCCACAGTTTGGAGACTTTGTCGTATATTGAGAAGACTTTGCGGTCGATGAGGATGAGAATGGCGAGACTCAGGATGTTCTTCGTCGTGGAGAAGATGTTGACGATGGTGTCCCTGTTCCAGGGTTGATTGTTCTCTTTGTCGGCGTAACCACCCCAAATATCCACAACATCTTGGCCGTCGAGGTTGACGGCGATCGCGGCGCCGACTTCTTCTCCAGAGTCAACGAGTTGTTTCAGATGAGTGCGAAGTTCTTCGATTCTGGGATCGCAAGTGCCCTGTATTTCAGCCATTTGATGATTGTTGTGTTGTTGAGAGCGTCTCATATGACAGAATGCTGTATTCTAGAATGGGGTTTCTGAACAGACGGTTTGTACTCGCAGTGTGTGCTGATATGTGCTTTTTGATGATGCATCATGGGCAGAGGGACGAGATCTAAATACCAGAACTTGTAGACTCAACCCGGAAAGACTCTCAACTCGCCGGCCGCCAGCTCAAAAAGACATCGGCGGTTTTGACACCGATGCACCGCCGCCCGGATGCCAGAACGCTCGCCCACATCGGCGCCGGGGCTCCAACACACCGTGGAACTTGGGACTAAGACGACCAGCCAGGCTTAGCGTAGCGGATACCGTCTTACAGGCACGGCAGCCTTCCGTTGAATTTTCGCAGGGCGAGTCTTGTGTCTTACAGAAGGATTCGAACCCCGGAGCGGTTCATGGATTAATGCGGCACAGCTGTTCAGCTCACGGAGCTGTTCCTGAGCACATCACCTTCAATCCGACTCGAGTTGACGAAATCATTTCTTCTTGGCCTTTGCACATTGAAATATTCATTTTCCAATCATGCACATGCGCCTTTGCCCCATATCAACCAATGTATGTCAGATTGGAGTGAGCAATTATGAGTCATCATGAACAAGCTGACAAGTGAGTCAATCATAAGCTTGGATGGCTGGGCTGCAGCTGCCTTTTACAGCGTTAGGCCCATTTTCCAGGGTCGAGCCTGCTTGATGTGGTAGCGCCTTCTGGTTGACATCTCAACTGGACTCAGTACAAAACGACTTCACTTCTTTCAACTTCCAACGGTTTGTCTACTTCTGACGCGCATCGCCTCTGGGAAAGCCAGCATCGTCCGGGGTTTTGGCAGATTCCTTTGAATTGGCAGAAGCCGTCCTAATTACAACCACAATCACCACCCAAACCAAGTCCCCAATCATGGACGAGCCGGTCGAGGGCCAGCAGTCAGGGCTCAACATCTACACCCAAATCGCAATCTGCTTTGCAGTCGACGACGACTCTCTGTACCCGAAAATCACCGGAACTCTTGAAGGTGGAGTCAAGAGACTGGCCGAGAACTTCCCATGGATCGCAGGCCAGGTCGTCAACGAAGGCGCCAGCGAAGGCAACACTGGTGTCTTCAAGATTCGACCGTTGAAGGAAACACCACCCCTGGTCATCAAAGACCTTCGGAGCGACCCTTCAGCACCAACCATGCAGGGTCTCAAGGAAGCCAACTTTCCCTTCAGAATGCTCGATGAGAGCGTCGTTGCGCCCCGGCCGACCCTGCCCATCGACCCCGCGCTAGCGTCAGAGCCAGAACCTGTCTTCATCACGCAAGCCACATTCATCCGCGGTGGCGTTATTCTCGCGTTTCTGGGTCAGCATCAGACATTAGATGGTATCGGTCAGACTCAGATCATTCACTTGCTATCGAAGGCATGCCGCAATGAGCCTTTCACCGCCGAGGAGATCACCACCGGCAACATGCCGAAGCACAACATCATTCCCTTGTTTGACCACGACATCCCCGATTCCGAAGTTGCAGCCTTCCGTAAAACTGAACCCATCGGGGGAGCTCCCGCGGACCCGCCAAAGTGTGGATGGGCCTACTTCAACTTCCCAGCCAGCTCGCTCTCATCTCTCAAGAGCCTCGCTATGAAGACGATCAAGTCAGGATTCGTCAGCACTGACGATGCCGTCACCGCCTTCATTTGGCAATCGGTATCACGAATTCGCGCTCCTCGTCTCAATGACGAGGATGAAGTCAAGTTTGCGCGGGCCATCGACATTCGCAAGTTCCTCAATGTGCCGCAGACCTTTCCTGGGCTCTGCCAAAGCATGACCTACAACTCTTTCAATCTCAAGAAGCTCATAGAAGCACCATTAGGCGAGGTCGCATCCGCCTTCCGATCTTCCGCCGACCCACAGATGGTGGTCAACAAATTTCGTGCCTTCGCCACGGTGCTGGACCGATCCGCGGACAAGAGTGTCTTCTCCTTCACGGGATCGTCTGAACCTTACAAGGACATCTTCTTCAGCTCGTGGGTCAAGATGGACTTGTACAAGAACGATTTCGGCCTCGGCCTCGGCAAACCCGAGTGTGTGAAGAGACCGCAGTTCACGCCCGTGGAGAGCCTCATGTACTTGATGCCGAAGACGCCGGATGGCGATGTTGCGCTGGCTATTTGTGTACGAGAGGAGGACATGGAGAAGCTGAGGGCCGACGAAACGTTCACTAATTACGCAACGTATATCCCTTAGTTGGCAGGTAGAATACGATTAAGGGAGACGTCAGTAGGGAGCTAAAAGGGGTTCAAGCCGAATAGAACTTAGAGTCATGATCATTCAAACGATACACCTGGACTTCAAAGAGCGGCATTACGAGACAAGAATAAATGCTCATACATAACTCGTGTCCACTATATGTATTTATGATGTCATGTTATCATATGCCATATTCCCCGGATGGGTAAAGGGTATGTTCATTGATTGCAAGTAGGCTGCCAAAGACTGAAATTATTGCGAAATCTTGTTGAAGAGACTATTCGCTGACAAAGAATGCAGCTGTCGTATTAACGTAGAATGATCTGGTCCGTATTCACTATATCGACAGGTGACGTAACCGGTCGGAAAGGCATAAGCAAGTGGCTTACTACCTAGTTGCTGGCTATGCTCAGTTAGTTCGAATATGAGCCTGGTACTGCTCTGCATGTAAGCAATGTGTTATACGAGAAGTGTGAAATCCCGTTAGCACGATAGGCTCTCCTTCCGCTTATGGCGTTCTCGTACAACGTGTCGTTCATAACTGGGCTCAGAAATACCAACCCCTGGAGCTCACTCAATTCAATGAGCCGAGTCTTACACCTCTCCTGCGGGCTTTATCGTTCTGCAGGAACGATAATACAACGATTGGCGAGATCTCTCCGCCCCTGCTTATGGCTTGCTAGCAGAGGCTTTCCCTTGTTTCAGAAATTCTCGCAAGAGATTTAGTTTACTTGTCAGACACATTTCCCGGCTACTCTAGAAACGTCTTGTGCTCTGGTCGCGATCAGGAAGGTAATGGTCCTGGTGTTTGGCGAAAGCAGTCATCACTTGGACGAGCTTTGTTTAAGCTTGCTTGGCATAGACTACGGCTGAAGGGTGATCTCAAGCCTGGAAAGCTTGGATATCCGCCTCAAAAAAGGTCTGAATCCTGTTGCGGTTGAATAAGGGGTCTTTTACCAGCGGTTTGGTCCGGCCTTAGTGTGTTTTTGGGCTCGCTCGTTGATCCCCGACCGAGCTAAGCCCTTCGCGTCCAAACCTCGAACACGCGATCTTGAGCCACCGACTCACAACTGGGCCCTAGTCTCTGCGCCTTTGAGCACGGGTCAGCCCAAACCTCGTTTACTGGGCGCATGTGGATTACACAGCCGGGGTCGATCACTCTTTCAATACGAATTTTTGAAAGACAAAGTGGCGGTCATGCTAGGAATCTCCGGGGGATGGCGGCTGGAAAGCAACCGGCTCCGGGCAACAGCGAACAGACAGGCGACCCGACAGCTCGTTCCGCGGGATGAATGGGAACAATATAAACAACGTGGAGGATCATCGATATTTTGGGCTTTCTTTGTATCAATCAATCAAGTCTAATAGGGTGCATTCTTTAAAACCCTATATACTATCTTTAATCTACTAACCCACCATGCGGTCCTCAGTCTTTCTCTACTTGGCGACCGCCGCCATTCCCTTGTGCGCAGCCAACCCGCTGCCTCAAGATGTCAGCACCAGTAGCAAAGTATCGAAAAACACCCTCCAAGGGTGTCTCAACGCCGCCAAGGCACCAATCAGCACCCAATCTTCCGGGGATTGGTCTACCCAGTCTTCACCGTACAACACCCGCATCGCCTTCACCCCGGCCATCATCGTGGTCGCGACCGATCCGAGCCACGTCCAGGCGGCCGTGAAATGTGGATCTCAGTACGGGTACAAGGTCACCGGCAGGGGCGGTGGCCACAGCTACTCGTCGTCCGGGTTCGGCGGCGAGAACGGCCACGTCGTGGTGCAGCTCGACATGATGTACGCCGTCACCCTTCAATCCGATAACACCGCCGTCGTCCAGGCTGGTGCCCGTCTCGGTCACGTCGCGACTGAACTGTTCAACCAAGGAGGACGCGCGATCTCGCACGGCAGTTGCCCCGGGTAAGTTTCTCCACATAGAGAGGCCCCTTGGAAGAGGAAAAAGAAAGCTGATGAAAGATTGTCCCGGCCAGCGTCGGAGTTTCCGGACACGCTCTGCACGGCGGATACGGTAAGTCACAAACATTGCTTCTCCCCTATATCATGTCTCGACGTTCACTAATTGGACTGATTAGGACTGGCTTCGCATGGATATGGTTTGGCTCTTGATTGGATCATCGAAGCGACCGTTGTTGTTGCCAGCGGCAAGATCGTAAAGGCCTCGACCACGCAGAACGCCGATCTCTTCTGGGCCCTGCGCGGAGCCGGGTCGTCCTTCGGCATCGTGACCGAGTTCAAGTTCAACACCTTCCAGGCGCCCGATGTCGTCACCACCTTCTCGGTCCCTGTCCCCTACAACAAGAACAACCAGCTCGTCAACATCCTTGTCGCCTTCCAAAAGTACGCCGCCAACGACATGCCCGCCGAGATGAACATGCAGGCCGCCGTGAACCTCGACGGCGTGCACATCAACGGCCTCTACTTCGGCGACGAGGACCAGACCCGCGACGCACTGTCAGTCTTGCTCAATCCTGTCAGCATCGACATTGACACCGCCGACATCCAGCAGACGGACTGGATTGGCCAGTTGGAGCACTACGGCGGCGACCCCCTTGACGTTACGGGTCCACAGAGTGCTGTAAGTTCGGCGTTGCATGTCTTATGCTTCCTTTTAAGGCACAGTGTGCTAACCCATCTTCATTGGATAGACCGACACCTTCTATGCATCAAGCCTAATCACCAAGGAGGTACCAAAGGACGGATTCAAGGCCTTCGTCGACTACCTGTCTAGCAAGGCTAAGTCGGTCAACCGCGGCTGGTTCATATTGATTGACGTCCACGGCGGCAAGAACTCCAAGACTGCTCAGATCGATGCGTCCTCGACAGCTTACCCTCATCGGGATAAGTTGCTCTTGTGGCAGTTCTACGACTCGTCTTCCGGCTCCGCATACCCAACCAACACCGCTCAAGGCGTTGGCTTTATGCAGAACTGGATGGCCGCCGTCTCAAATAAGCTTGCCGCCGGCAGCTGGGGCCGCTACGCCAATTACGCCGATTCCCAGCTCAGCAACGCCGACGCGCAGAACCAGTACTACGGAGCCAATCTGCCTCGCTTGAAGTCTATCAAGGCTCAGTACGACCCCAAAGGTCTGTTCACGTACCCACAGGGTGTGAGCTCATAACGGCAGTGCAGGGCGTAGAGATAGCAGGTGAAGGTTTGCGGGATTGAACAGTTGAAAACTCATAGACATATATCATTATAAACATAATCAGATACTTTGACATCCATATCTCATCATCCTTGCCTACCAACGTGAAAAACCAATTGCTTCTGTCTCGACTTCGATGCGGACTTCCGGGTAGATGGTTGGCCATCGCTTCCAAAAACAACGCCACCCAGAGCCCCTTCCGCATCACTTGTGTTCGAAAATACTATCTCCAGGCCCCCCAAAGTACGGTCGCGCTCTGGCCGCTGTGTGTCATCTACCCACCCAACTCGCAGGTTCACGAGGTCTGCTGCGGACTCCATATCCTGGAGAGCCTGTTCCATGTTCCCTAATAATGTCTTGCATATCACTGTCAGTGGCACCGCATGTGATAACTGACATGTCGGAAAGACTTACGTCGTCGGATATTAGCGCCATCATCTTGGTTATCGTGTCGTCGGGGATGTTCTTATCCCTCATGTTCACCGCCATACACCTCGTGAGATTCTCGCGAAGCGCGATTTTATACATCTCTGCGTGAGTCTCCAATATTTCAGGGTGTGTAGCACCCATTTTGAAGTATATATGCCGACAAGAGAAGAGACACACACTGGCAAACATGCCAATGTCTGTGTTTGCCTGCCGGATCCAGTGCTGAGATACGGCAGTCCAAAACCGCTTGGCCTTTGCAGGGGAAATGTCAAGGCCCATGCCGGGTGCTTGTCCTATCCGGCTTAATACGTTTTCTTCTATGACTGAACAGTGTGAGTTAGCATTCTGTCCTTGCATGAATGGGATGTAAGACAGGCATCCAGGGTGTGTAATATGTGGGATGATGGATAAGGTGCATCTGAAAAAGTACAGACACCTCTCGCGTGTGTGAGAACACCCCTGGACCCAGACTGTCGGTAACCAATCACTTACAAATTTTGCACAGCTCCTTTTCGAAGCTACTGCTCTTTACCTTGGACACGTTGAAGGGGTCTCTGTCCCCAGCGTCCAGCAGCGTGACGGGTCCCGGTGCCCAAAATGGGCCGGCCGATGGCCCTGACCGAGAGGCCAACATGGCATGTCGTGGCTCCAGTGCTCTGAGGACCTGGGTTCCATTATAGAGGTAGCCGTTGCTGCCTCGTGCGAGACGCCTCGCCTGCGGGTTCTTGGCCGCATGGGACCTGACCTTCCTTTTCCAGACGGACGAGTTCTGCTCATCAGGGTGCGAGATCTGGCAAAAAATGAACGGCTTCCCCGGCGCCGCGTCGCTGGCCTTCTGCTTCGGCGACATGTCCGGCGTAACGATGAGGGCCGGTCCCAGTGTTCCGAGGAAACAAAACAAACACGCCCCTTGGAGCAAACCCTGGCTCTTCTGACTCTCCTTCCTCCGTGCGCACGACCTCGTTCACAGAGGCGTCCCCTCGGCAATGAGAGATTTGAGGCCACCTGACTGGACGAGAGGTGGACGAAAGAGGGGTCCCGGTAACGGTCAGCTTCCTTGGGGACCCGAGGGAGCGGGTTCAGGATAACGAGAGTGCTTCCGTGAGAGGACGACAGTCGGAAAGTGACACGCTGTTGGAAGAATCAGGCGACTGCTAGCAGCGCATATGCCTATTCGGGATAATGTGTGTGGTGGCACAGAGGTCCTTGCTTGCTTGGCCTTCGAGGTACGGGTTAAAAAAAACAAAATCCAAGTTCCAACAAGCCCAACACGATAGAACCGGTGAGGAGGGGGCGTGCGGCGAAAGACTGAGATGATGGTCGAGGGGGAAAAAAAAGGGGACTTCTGCGGCAAATTGAGCTCACACTGTTGGGAAAGCAAAAAACACGAAGCTTGCTGCGTTGCCTGGTGTTGTTGGTGGTCGGTGGAAACCAACGACGAGCATCCACATCCCTTACATCCCCTCAATTGTTGCCCCTCCCTTGCTCTCTGGCGCCGTGTCCGACGGAACGGGGCGGCATCTGGACTCAGCGGAGACGAAAACATCAGGCTGGCCAATTGGCGTCTTTTGTCGGTTCTTTGTGCAATCATCCCGACTCCGGACGGTCTTGGCAAACTAGTACTGTTGGATGACGACAAGGGTCAATCATTGGACAACAGCAGTATCCTAAAAGGGCATGGTCGCTATTGACGACAAGGGGTCTGACTGGGCCTCTTGTTCTGGTCTGACCGGCTTGACTGATTACCTGATATCGGAAAGACTTTGTGCCTTTCTCTCCGAGATTGAAAATGCATCTTCAAGAATCCCGACTCACGATGGATCAAGTTGCGCGGCATCAATGGCATTGATGTTACAAGTACTCTGTACAAGAAGAAATAAATATAAAATGATTTTATTTTGCTCAACAGTTTCGATCTTCGGATCACCTTATTCCACCTTTCCTACCTCACTCCACCCCCACAATCGAAGTCCCTGTACTAACCTGATTCACTTTCGCTTCCAACATGCCTGACACGTGGAACCCGTCGATTGACATGCCGGACCTTCAGGGAAAGGTCGTAGTGGTGACTGGCGCGAAGTAAGTTGGTCGACTCATGCGTGTCATTGAGCGTCACGGGATCTGACTTGTCCCAGTTCAGGCATTGGTCTTTCGTCCGTCAAGTACCTTGCTCTCCACGGTGCGAGAGTGTACTTCACGGCAAGGACGGAGGACAAGGCGGAGCAGGCCCGGCAAGCCATCCGAATCAGCAACCCGGAACTCGACCAGGATCAAGTGATATGGCTACCCCTTGACCTGTCAAACTTGAAAAGCGTTAGAGCAGCCGCTGAAGAATTGAAACAGAAGGAGAAGAAGGTGGATATACTGAGTGGGCTGACCCTCCTCCCCTCGCGTGGCCGGGCATATGCCTAAGCTGACAGCGTTTTCACAGTTAATAATGCTGGCGTTTGCACTGCTTCAACGGAGACGGCGGGCGCTGGTTGGGAATGGCACATGGCGGTCTGGTAAGCAACAACCGACAGGTCATCTTTGCCGTTACCATACACTGACACCCGTCAAGCCATGTTGGCCATTTCGTCTTCACAAACAGCATACTGCCGCTCCTCAAGAACGCCACGAAGGAAAAGAATTCTGACGTACGAATCATAACCCTCAGCTCCAACGTCAACTATGCCATGTTCCCGCAAAACTACAAATTTGTCTTCGACTCTTCGTCTTTCCTGAAGGAGCCAGTCCCCTACTACCCACTGCACTGGAGACTCGCTAGCCGGCACATCTTCAAGGTGGACATGATTCGATATGGGGCTGCCAAGGTTGCCAACCTGCTGTTCGCGCAGGAGCTGCAGCGTTTAATGGATGAGCAGGGGGTACCCATCCTCTCCATTTCAGTCCACCCCGGTGGCGTGGACAGCGACGGCTGCAAGGAGATTGGCGGTTCCGTGTTCTCACTCTTCAGAATCTCATCATTCCTGACGGTTGATCAAGGTACCGTGACACCGTTGTTCGCAGCTACTGCGAAGACGGTCCGCGACAACTCCCAAAGCTTCAAGGGGAAATACCTGGAGCCGTTTGGAGAAATTGTGAAGCCTCATCCAGTGTCAAAGGACGAAAAGCAAATCAGGGGAATGTGGGACAACACAACCAGTGAGGTGAACAAATACTTCGCCGATATTGGGCTTTCTCCGCTAGAAAGCTGGTAGTGATGCTCCTTCTCACTTATGTGCGTCTTGATTTAATACACAACCACCAACGTATTAGGACCAATCTCCGTGGAGTTTGATGAAGCAGTATGCCGATCGTGGGCCAGCAACGAGGATAGATATCACAGAATACGATTAGATTGATAGATCAGCATGCTTCGAGATTCATCGCAACTCTGATGACTTCTCAATAGGAGATCTTTCAATGTGCAGGACCAGACTGGCGCGACGTATTCAACATCGCTGCGTCAGAAGCTGGCCCGGCTATGGAATCTTTCCTGATCATCGTCAGAATCGATGTGCATTTGCGGCACTAAAAACACGTCAATGGTGCCTAGGCCAGTCTGGGGACTTTCGTCCAACCCCTGGACATTTCCCTTTCGGCCTTATCATGAGATCTTCGTTTCAAGGATAGTTGTTTCTAAACGGCAAGTTTCATCGTCTCATCGGGAATTTCAGAAACACACCTTGCATCCACCATACACCATGAATTATCCCTATGTAGTCAGAGCCCTACGAGCATGAATTGCCGACGCGTCAAAAGCGCGCCCGTGTAGATCATCATCCTGCGCGGCACTTGTTATCAGCCAAAGCTCATGTAAACGGGCCTTCCACGTGCAAATTTCGTCTCCAAACACCACTTTTAGACGCTCTGGCGTCGTCAGGTGAGCCGTACTTGGGGAAGAAATGCGAGCTAAACCATCAATGCACGCGCCTTAGCCAGGTACTAGCCTAGGATCCCCCACGACTAAGTGATTTTAGAGTTCAATCTCGCCGAGCTACAAGCAGCCGTTTCTTTAAAATTGCTAATTTCAGACCGAGTCTCTCTGTGGCACTTCATCTGAGCTGACCGGCGTCTTCCACGATGTGAACGGTCATCGCTTGCGCTGGCATCTGTCTAGGCGAGATGCAGCGGCCGTCATCGCGATCTCGCGTTTGCATCTTGCATAACGAGCTCGCAGCCGCAAGGAAATACAAAAACATGGAAAGATAAGAGCCCAGACCACTCTGAGGGCATTCGGAAAGCTCCCATGGCGCGAAGGATTCACGAGAACGCACGCGCATCTGCAGCTGTTCGGAATCATAGCTTCAGTGCTACGACTAGCTCCCGTTGACGCGGCGACTCGGCGGTATATCCTTCATGGCGCGTCAAGGAGCATATGCACTTTTTCATCACTCGTGAAACCGCGTGGCTTCTGTTGTTTGATGTCATATCAAAACCCGAGAAAACAAGAAGTCTAGAAATGCCGGCGCCCTCCCGTCACGCGGCGTACTTTCGCTCGGTGAACACGTTTTCCTTGACTCTGGAATCTTCTTTTGTTTCGTAATTCTATTCCATTTCCTTTCGCTATTACTAACAGATATTGACTATCGATTATTATTCAACTCTACCGACGACTTGGCTTATACGACGATGAACATTTGCCTACGCCCAGCATGAAACTCGAATACGGAAACGGGCCGCAGCTAGTCCACTTATCCAACATCACTTTCAACGGCACCACGCCGATCAACACGAATGGGGAGGTTACTGACAAGTCGAATTTGGTGACGGTAATATGGGCAGTGAACTTGACGGCGTTTGTTCTTGTTGGCTTGTTCCTACCGGTTCGAGTCATCGTCCGCTGCACGGTCACAAGGAACTTCTTTAGCGACGATGTGCTGGTTATCATCGCGGCACTCTTTACCTTCGGCATTTGCTCGCTTTTACCCATAGGTATGTCGCTGGTGTGCCACGGGAAACCTTCAACGCTAACGATCATACCGTCAGCGATGGATTGGGGATTGGGACAACACTATTGGAATCTTGATCTCGAGGCTCTCCCAGAGAACACAAGAAATCTCACGATGGTAAATGCCTCAACTTAGCTGTCAATATTTACGGGCCCATGAAGCTGACCTGTCTTAGATTATGTTCATCGAGAATACGTTGTATCCTTGTGCAATCGCCTTCGCCAGACTTTCAGCTATATGTTCCTTTCTCAAATACATCACCAACAACACCATGCGATATGCGATGTACGGCGCCGCAGGTCTCACTGGCGGCTTCGCTGTTGCGTCCGTGTTTGCCGTAATCTTTCAATGCAAGCCGATCTCAGCGGCTTGGGACACCACAATCGGCGGCGCGTCTTGCTACCCCTTCTTCGACTTCTTAAAAGTCAGCACGGCGATCGGTATTGCCATTGATGTTTTGCTTTGCACCGCACCTTTGCCGTATTTCTGGAGGTTGAAAAAATTGTCAACGACGATGAAAATTGCGCTCACTATTCTCTTTGTCTTTGCTGGACTGTAAGTTGCTCATCGTAAACCTTAATGTGACAGACGCTGACGGATTCTCAGTGCGTGTGCTGCCATTATAGTTAAGCTTGTTTTCTTACAAACTCTCGAAGAGGTGGATGTCACGTGTAAGTGGTTTGCCTAGACCCTGAGTCAACTGCATCGCACCTTCAGATACTGACTCCCAATTCTCATAGACAACTGGGTCAGCTGGGTTCTGTGCTCCATTGCCGAGTGCACCATCGCCATCGTCTGTATTTCGATACCGCCGATCGTCCCTCTCTTCACAAGATGCGCCCATCGAAGGAAGAACTTCGACGATGACCTCGTAAAGCCTCGCAAGAAACGCGGAAGGTCGGCAAGATATACCGTGTGGCCCGGCAAGCCCACTCACAACCGTGCCGTAGCTCCCCGAGTCATCCGGCCGATGGCCACGCCGTGGAAGGACCAGCCGGTAGAGACGACGACGGTATCGGAATTCCACTGGCTCAAGCTCGAGCAGGCCGAACGCGGCCTCAGGGAGAAGAAGGAACGCCACGAACGCCAGAGTCAAGCCCGCCTTCCCGTTGCCCCGCCTGGTCCATTGCCTTTCAGCATGCCGGGCTTCATGCCTCCACCCCCCGTTAAACAATACCATCGGCGCCATGACATGAGTTTCAACAGCTCTCGCGTTGACATGTATGGGCGTACTTTCAATAGGGGTCCACAGTCGTCCAAGGCAGATCAAGTTCTAGGAATCGCCATGTAATCATGGTGTGCGCCTATTTCCTACGTTTCCACGCGGTATTAGATTTCCGAATGATTTAGCGATGGAGTTTAAAGGAATGTTGGTAATGGACGAACATGTAAGTCCAGATGGATCAACGAAGCGGAATGTTTAGAATGGGATACTAGAAAACAAATACCACTTCCAACGGCCTCATCGATCGAGCTTTGGGTGCAACATCAGCAATAAAATGAGTCAGACAGCACTGCAGACCTTGTCTCGCCATGGTATACATCCGGGCGCTTCCATGTAGGTGATCGGCTCGCCGGCCGAGAGGCAACCGGCGCCGAAGACTTCCCGTTGTGGAGCTCACGGACCACACCATGAATGTGATGTCTATGAGCCGGGGAAAGTTCCGGTGGGACGTCCGGTGGAACACGGTATGGCCTTCTATGCATCCGTTGGTAAAACTTCACCCGCTTTATCCGCGTGCCAACGGAAGTAGTCCGTGAAGGGCAACACGTTTCCGAACAAAACCCATCGGGCGCTTCAGGACCCCGAGGACGTCAAAGTTTGCTTCTCAGATCAGGCCTGAGATCAGTCGTGGGGTGATCTTCGAAGCTTCTCGATCTCGAGGGGGGCGGCACGTTCCCACGCGCGGTCTGGCCTCCTGCTGAAGTGGTCCAACGCCCGGCCTTTTTGGGTCGTGTGTCTGACCATCTTGTGGTCGGGGCGTTTTGCGGGTGATGCTGAACCGCGGAATGTCAGGCGGGATAGGAGTAGGGATAGGGATAGCGGACGAACAAGCTTGAGTTTGCGATGACTCTGTTGCCTGCTTAACCGTTGCGGATCCGCGGACTCCGACTAGCAAGAATTGTCTGGAGACATTTGACAGGTTGAGAAACGAGGGTCATCTGAGTATCTTGAATCGCCAGGCGTGATTGGTAGGGCTGCGGCTGAAACTAAGGCTGCAGGTGAGGTGAAAGAAATCAGCAATATTACAGTATGGCATGTTGATAGCTCAAGAAACATTTCGCGAGACCAGCTTGGAGCAATCTTTGGTGCCGCTTCGTTCAAGCCGCATGATGGAATACTGCCGATACAGCATTTGTGGTGTTAAGCAAGCAGGAAGTCCCTCGTTTCTCTCAGCCCGGAAAGATTTCCGCGGCCGCTCGACGATCAAACAATCTCGTAGCAAGGAGTCCGCAGCTTATTTACGAAGAAGCTCAGCTGCATGGGGAAAATTCTGGGAAGAAGACTGGCCTGGACCTCGCTGACAGAGACATCTTCCGTCAGACGCGGAGTTTCCGCCGCCTCGTTATGGGAGGTTTCTGAAACCCCATGCTTCATCTATCACACTGGTCAAAGGTTAAATGGAACGGTTCAGCCAAAGAGAGGATGTAAATGGACAGTCGAAGCGCGGACGGATTACTATTCAGCCTTTTTCGGCTGCGAATGCCCTCGAGGAGACAACCCGGTATCCGATCCTCCTGTCGTGACGTGCATTTGCGCCCGGCACGACGGGAATGACGACTCGAAGAATCAAGGTATGCTGCACTTTGAGGGGGCGAAAAACACGGAACGGGAGAAGCTTCTTGGAAGCAGAGAAAAACTCTATCCTGCCGTTTGTCTCTTAGTGTTCCTGCGACACCTGGGCATTCTAGCGCGCGGATGGAACATGCAGGCACGATGCGGATGCTGAACGCCCCCAGGACTAATTCCGGAAATTCTTCAACGACCATTGCGTCGTCGGCTGATCCAGGCGGCGGGAGACCCTTACGCTAGTAGTTTTGTAGCGCCGGTGTGCCGTCGAACGAACAGAGTTCGGCCATGGTTTGATGTCGTTCGGCTCATTTTTAGAGCGTCTTGGAGGGTCGGGGAGAGAGCCACGCAGAGAAGATGCGCGCCTCGCTTGCGCTGTTGTTTGACTTTAAGCCCAAGGGGGGTTTCTGGAATGAATGGAACACGTAGAGGAGGTCAGCCCTTCCCGTCCTCGCGGGAAACCTTCGAAAAGCTCATTTTCTGCATTGTCCATGGCCTGGGCTGCGCTGCTTGATAATGGATTTTGCATCATCCAACGCATGTAGAATATGGAGAATTAAGTCCAGGGATCCGAATCCTGAAGGGGTTTGATGGACGATCCTACGCGCCTTTTGTTTCCTCTTTTTGACCCAACATGACAATGACAGACCAGGCTGTCGCTCCAGACCTGGGTATTTTGCCCTCCCCCCCGGGCCTCCGAGTCATGTGGATTGTTCTTCAGCACCTCGGTCAGACCTCGTGCAGTTCAGACTTGGCTCGATCCGTAGCCGTTGCCGATGTGGCGTTGATGGTTCTAGTCTCAAGTCGGCGGCCAGTCAGCAACGAGCTGCCCCTGGCTGAGATGAGATAGCAAATGCGCAAGGACCCGAGCAGATCGCTCTTATTCCAGCACCACACTGACCAGGAAGCAGAGCAGAGCAGGGAGGGCGGGAAAAAAGAGAGATAGAGAAGGGTGGAACGCCTATTTTGGCATGTCGTTAGTGATTGATCGGCCCCCGCACTGACAGGGCCCTATTCCCGCCCATCACCGGGAACATCTTCCCGATTCATCGCCCCCAACCCGACCCCAATACCACCTCCCGTCCCTTAGCCGACACATTTTCGTATCCCAAGGTTGCAGTTGAGGTCGTTTGAAGCAGCCTCTTCGGCTGGTCTTCCTCGTCTACAGACAATTAGAGCAGGTCGACATGCGGGAGGGGGACACCACCAGTCGAGCAGCGTCCCACATCCAATAGAACACAGCTGTTTCTAGACGCACTGACAGCTTGCTTCTTGGTCCTAAACCATCGCCGGTACAGGGTTCATGCAGAAGCGTGTGTCAGGGAGAGCTGGCGCCATGTGGATTCCCTGCATGTTCCTCCTGGTGGTCCTTCGGCCGACTAGCCCTGTTGGCTAATATCGCCCGGAAGTCTGCCGCGTCGGTGTTAGATGGTGCACTGCAGGAGCAGAGAAGACGCACAGCACGATGCTGGCAGCTGGTTGGTGTAAGTGTGTGTGTGGGTAATTGTGGAATGCGGTATGCCTGTGTGTGTGCCATATCACACAGCTGCTGCACATTGCGCCGGTGGGCGGTGCGTCTCGTCTACTTGCCTACGGTCTTGGCTACACACCATGGACACCATAGACCAAGTCGGAGGGGCACAATGCTGCCCACTGCGTTGCGTTTCTTCTTCGTCGTTCAGCGGCAGCCGGGCAGACAAGGTGTGGTTCGTTCATTTCCAGCAGAGTCGTTGCGGGCGGAATTTCGACCCCCCCTGGGCCGTCGTCGTGGGAAGTGGATTCCATTACTTCTTGACTGCCATCCCCCCCCCCGTCTCTTCACTTTGGACCTTTCGCGGTTTTTGATGTTTCCCCATGTCGATTTGTTGTTCTTCGCGCATGCTTTCACTCGAGATATCTAGGCGATGATCAGAAATGCGAGACAGCGGCAGCATGGCCGATGGCTGCTGCTGTCACTGTCTCTTTTATGGTTCTTGATCTCGGTAGTTGAGGCGCAGAGCATTACGGGTTTGCTCTCCCAGGTCCCCAGTTGTTCTGTAAGTGCCTGTTTGCTTGCTTCCCTGCATCGTTCCCTGCATTCCCGCCGTGGACCACGACCAATATTCTCCGATCAAATGGTAGGGCTGACCAGAACCACGATAGCTTCCATGCCTCACCCAAACCATCACGAAGGGAAATTGCAACTTGACTTCGGTTGCGACCGTCTCGGAGTGCCTATGTCCGAATGTTGATCTTCAGTCGGATTTATCGACGTGCGTGCAACTTAGCTGCAACTTCAAGGACCAGATATGTTAGTTAACCCGGCTCAAGAGATGATCTGTACATGAATGATGAATTAACTTGCTTAGCCGCTGCGGAACTTCTGGGCAGTCTCTGCGCCGCGTACCCGAAAGAGTCGAGAAGTCAAGAAGTCAAGACCATCGCCATCGCCCTGTCGGTTATTACCTTCCCAGCTGTTGCGCTACGATGCTTTTCGAGATGGATGATCACTCGTCGCCTGTGGTGGGATGACTGGACGGCGATATTCGCAACGGTGAGTTCGTAGAAGAATTCATCATTAACTGGACGAACTTGAGGCTGACGAGGGGTCAGATTCTTCTAGCTGCCCTAGCCGGGATCGAGATTGCGAGCGCCGATCTAGGGTTCGGAACCCATTACTGGAACGTCGACCCCGTCTCCGGCGAGAAACTCATCAAGCTGTTCTACGCCGTCCAGCAGATCTACATCCTCATCCAGGTCTTTGCGAAGATCTCGATCCTTCTCTTCTTCTCGCGCATCTTCCCGGCGAAATGGTTCCAACTCACGGTCCGGTACTTTATCATGTTTCTGCTACTGCACGGCCTGATCTTTTTGCTCACTATCGTCTTTCAATGCACGCCAATTTCTTCCATATGGGACAGAAGCAACTCGAACCGTAAATGCTTGGATGTCACAGCCATTGGGTACGCGGGGGCGGTATTCAGCATCGTTGAGGATCTCGTAATTTTGGTTCTACCGATACCCGAGCTGTACAAGCTTCAGCTCAATATCCGCAAGAAAATTGCGTTAGGCTTAATGTTCAGTCTGGGCTCTTTGTAAGTTGAGAGGACGCACCATGCTGGAAGCTGAACGCCGACTAACAACGCACAGTGCATGCATCACGACCATGGTTAGACTCAAATATCTCGTCATGTTTTCCAGCACATTTGATACCACTTGGGACAATGTCGACATCGTCATTTGGTCCATCATTGAAGAATTCTGCGCCATTCTTTGCGCGAGTCTCCCGGCACTCCGGCCGTTGTTACAGAAGGTGCCGCGACTCTTCACCACGAACAGGGCTACTACGAAGACCATCAGCACTTCGCCCTCAAAGCGATCCATCTTGCACCACAACAAAGACAAGTTCCACGAAATTCCCGAAACACCGATGGGGCCGGAGCTTCCGTCAACGCCCATTGCCATCGAAGACGAAATGGCCGCACAGGCCGACGGGAAGCGCCCATTCCTAATAACGAGGGGGAACGAAGTGGACGTACGGGCTGACGTGGAACTACAAAACGTAAAATGTGTGAAGAAAAAGTGGCAGAAGAACGTGAATGGCAGGATATAATTGGCTGCTACGGATCATGAGAGCATATCGCAACATCATTCTTGACTCTGATAGGCATGTAAGCGTCGGCGAATCGGGACTTCATTAGATCTGGGCGGCAATATCAGCCCGATCCGTCAAATACCAGTTGTTTCAGCTTTGGCGTATTATAGAAACAACATCAACGAAAACTCAAACAGAGTTAATGAGTAATGAACTTGACCCCACGAAATCTCAGCTTCCGCCTCGCGCCTTGTCCAGCTCCTCGCCCGCGGCCTGGTCCCAGTCGTCATCCAACTGCCGACGATACTCTGCCGCCGCCAAGCCCGTCGTGACTATCAGGTCCAGGTCCAGGTCCGCAAGCTTCGTCGCATGCAGCTCGAAGCCGGGTCCCCACCCGGGCTTGTGCCCCGGACTACTCCGGCCGCTCTTCTCGTCTTCCCCGCCCCCGCCCCCACCGCCGGCGGCTGAGGCGGTATTAACGTGGCTGGCCACGTTAATTCTCGGACGGAAATGGGCCTGGATTTTGCCGTTGAAGTCGACGAGCCGCATGCCCCTGCCCTTCTTGTTCTGCTCCCAGCACATCTCGCCGGCGCCCAGGAAGCGGAACCCGAGCGTGCTCGACAGGGGGTGTTTGCGGGCCATTTTGAAGGCGACGCCACGGACGGTGAGGTCGATTCGAGGTGGTATCGTGCGAAGCTTAACGGTGCCGATGGGTCGGTGCTCGGTGGAGATGGCGTCGCATTTTATTCTCCGAATCTCCATCTTTGTCATTTTGGAATTGTGGCTGATGCTGTAGAGCGGGGTTATATCGCCGCGTTTTGCGAGATTGACTATAATGGCGTCTTCTACATGGTCCCGGTCGAGCAGGAGAAAGTGCTGAGGCTCCGTCGTCGGTTCCATCGCTCTTCTTCGGCAACCAATTGTCTTTGACGTTCAGCAACTTGATGTTCCAGGCATGATCGATAGTCCAGCGGGGAAGTTCTTTGTCTCGCGCGAGGGGAAGATGGGGAGCTTTAATTTTCCCCGGCATGTAGTCAAACGCCCGCGGAATCACAGCTTTCATGTTCAGTGACGTACGCCAGCGAGGTGTTCTGCGCCCCAGAAGCTTAGTTGTGAGTGGCTCGGCGATTCACTCAGCCCCTTCAAGAATCCTCTAGACCGAAGACGGGACGACGCGAGCCATACGAGACGGTTCGTCTAGGGTGTTGCGGCTCAATGGTGAGACGGACCAGCGAATTAATGTCTGTTTGCCTGCTTGCCATCCCAACGGAGAAAGGACCCTTGGCGCATCTTCTTTTCCCCGAATGGTTGAGCAGTAAGGTTTATCGATGACGTGGAATTGGGATAGCTTGTTTTCTTCGCACATAAGCTAGTGAAACAACAAGGACACCCCAACTGCGACGCTCAGACACTTTCAAGCTCCGGGCGGGGTGATCGGAGGCGGAGGTTGACGGGGCCGCTTGGCCAGGGATCAGCCGAGTTGTTGGGGTCCGGAGCGGGGATTAGATGCGGGACGGAGTCAAACAACCAGAGATCAGTTTTGTCTTCGTGGTCTTATCTTTACACAGTAGACCTTCAAAATTTCGACCGTCCGTGGTTGAGTTGAGTTGATGTATGCTGAAAGCTTGTTCTCCCTTTCAGCAGGACTTCATGCTCTGCATGGAGCACTACAGGATCTAAATAATGGTTTCCAACTGTACGTTTCCGTCCTTTGGAACACCTCCAGGTTGCGGAGACCATCCGCGCCGTCACCCGCGTTCTGGGGGAGCTCTCTGCCATTATTTCATTGGGAGTGCCCTCGTCTGTATTCGACATCATCACTTCAATTGAGGAATGTTCTGCTTCATCAGAAACTTCATCTGATATGCCGGGGATATTGCCTCCATCTACTGAAGACTCCTCTACTTCGTCAGAGATTCCATCGACTACATCGGAGGTTTCAGCTATCCTGACGGAAACTTCATCTACTGCGGCCGAAACCTCCCCTTCTTCATCAAATATCTCAAACACCTTGTCGGAAACTACAGCAGCCACACCGGAAGCCGTGATTCCCTCATCGGAAATCTCACAGATCTCATCCGAAGTTTCGCCTACCTATTTGAGGCATTCCCATCATCTGAAATATAGTCAACCTTGTCCGTGGCTACAGTATCATAAATGTCGTCTGCCTCAACCTCGTCCCCTGAGCTGAAATATCCTCCACCGTATCTGAAGCGCATACTTCGTCGGACTTCTCTTCATCTGAGGTATCCCCAACGGTGAAATTCTCTGCCGAAGACCCGTCTTCTGTGGAATCGTCTACCGTAGAATCGACTACCGTGGCTTCCGCTTATACACCTGAGTGAGCATCTACTTCGTTTAACGACATTCTCACATCGACGTCCTCGAACATCTCTGACTTGCCCTCTACTCTACCAATTCCCTCAGATGAAACATTGATATCTACAACAGACCCATCGACGACTACAGATTATCAACATTGTCAACGGATTCCTCGTCTTCACCCACAGTGCCGCTTGATGACCTAGCGACCCTTTCTTCCTCGACAATTTCGATAACAGCTACCTCGACGTCGTTCATTTCGTCCGAAACACTGTCACCAATTCTCACTTCAGATTCACAATCAGAAGGATCAATTCCAGCCTCGAGTGATAGCTCCCTTCTCCTCTCCACGCTCATCGATTCAACAAGCTTCACTGTGTCCGACCTCAATGTTTACAAAATGTGTCAGCTTTTACATAACTACATTAGATATCGACGGTGTGTTTATGAGGCGTCTTATTTCACTGGTGGGTGAGTTGCAGTTTGGGACCTGAACTTATTTGAGAAACAGAATTAAAAATTTGAAAGCCTGACACTTATAAGTTGTATGAGGAATCGACAGAATCAAAATTGAATGATCTGTGGCTTAGACAGTTCATAAGTACTGTTCGTTCTGCTGGGCTCTTCGATTATATAATCCGGTTCATGAGCGATGACGATGCTGTGGTGGGGCGGGGGGACGAAGCCAATTTGAGTCCAAGCGTCAGGAGCTCCTGCACCCAACTGGGGCAAGTGCCCGTGCTCCTGCTCCTGCTGCTTCTGCTGCTCCTGCTGCTACCCGTTTGTGTTGTCAGCAGTGACCACGGGCAGCTAGCTCTCTGTAACCTCCATTGTCGTCAGTTCACCTGAAATCTCCAAACAATCACCACGTCACGATACCTTCGGTGAGCACGGCTTGCCTTTGTTCACAGCACAACCCTGTCTGGCGGCTATTCCAAGTATCCCTGCGACACATGAGCTCGCCAAAGAAACGACGCCCACCCCTGCCTCCTCAAAGAAGCGCCATGAATTGAGCCAAGCCATTCCCTCACGATGCCTCCGCCCGAATCTCGCCCCCTCCTCCTCTCCCAGAACCGCAAGCTTCGTCACCTCCGCGGCATCTATCTCCGAAACCTCAGCTTCGTCCGACCCCGAGGCCGTACTATCGACGACACCCTTCTAAATGCGACGCCCGCCAAGATCGAAGCTCTTCGCGATACCCCTCATCTCCACCATGCTCTCTCGAGCGACAACATTCGCCCCAAGGCGCCACGGCGCAGGAGCACCGCCCTCGCTCAGGCCAGTCCTCTGACGAGGCAGCGCATGTTGCAATTGACTGTCGACGGTAGAGCTGCCGACGTGTTCTTTTCCCTGCACTGCGAGGACGAGGAGGAGCCTGTCTACATCTCTGAGCTGAAGGAGCACGCGACTGTGAGCAGCCTCGGAACCACGCCTACGTCGTCAAGCTAACGTGAGCACACAGAATTTCAATTTTCAATTCTTCGATTTGAACCATCATGGAGCCTCTGTGACCAGAGCACCAGTCTTTACGATAAAGATTTGGGCCAAGCGAACCTCGTGGACGTTGCTTCTCGAAGATATTATCGACCTCCGAAGTCTACACTTCATCGGCAGCCTTCAGAACCACAAATTCCCTCCCAATGCCCTTATCTTTCACCTGGCCGACGGCGTGTACTCGTTGGATGTCTTGGGAAAGCCGGCGCATCCCAAAGACCTTCCGCCGCTCCATACATCTTCCTACAATGCCCTCATGAAGCTCGCGACGCTCGACAACTCCATCCAGGATGCTATTGCCACTCAGGAACAGATCACCTCCCAGATTAACGATATACTCGAAACAATACCCCACGATGAGGCTCCCGCGGCCGAAGAGAAGGTGAAATTGGCGCGCAAATACGTGGCGGCAGAGCAGCGTGCCCTCAAAGCGTCCGAGAAGCGCCGCGAAGAGCTACGGGAGTCGCTAAAGGCGCGCAGAGAAGCCATTGCGAACGGGCGTTCCCTCCAGGATAAGGCAGAGAAGGACGTGGCCAACGCGACGGAGCACCTTGCCGCCTCCAAGGCCCTGCTTTCTGACACCCAAGGCCAGATACGCGGGCAGCGACGTCGCATATGCTCCGACCTGGCACACATCTATCAGATCCTTCCAACCCCCTCCGGCGGTCCTCTCAACTTCCAAGTCGCGGGTTTGCCGCTCCCTAATTCAGAGTACGACACATCTGCGTCCCGGGGCGCGGATGATGATCTTTTGTCCGCCGCCCTCGGCTACGTTGCAAGCCTCACAGACCACTTGCAGTACTACCTCTGCGTCCCTTTGCCGTACCCCATCACACCCTTCGCCTCGCGCTCCTCCATCCGAGACGACATCTCCCTCCTGACCGACCTCAACTCCGCTCAAGCCGCCAGACAGCGCGACTTCCCACTCTACATTCCGCGCGGAGGGTCAACAGCAGCCCACTACCGCTTCGACTATGGCTGGTTCCTCCTCAACAAGAACATCGAAGCCCTCTGCGCCAGCCAGGGCCTCAAAGTCCCAGACATACGCCAGACGCTGCCCAACCTCAAATACCTCCTTTACGTATGCAGCGCCGGCACCGACGAGCTGCCCGGTCGCAAGGTAGGCGGCGTTCGCGGCCTCTGGGCTGGCCGCTTTTCAGGACGCACGGCATCCTCCGTCAGGGGAGGCGACGGGGACACGAGCAGCATTGGCGACGGGAGTCGCCGCGGTAGCAACGACAGCGAGTATCTCAGCCGCCAACGCGATGAGCTCCGGAAGGCCCTGGCTGCGAGGGATGACGCCGCCTCGCCGGAGCTTCCCTCTTTTTCACCTGCAGGTCTACCGTTTGATGAGGGACAGATGAAATTGTCACTTCGTACCAAGGGTATGAGAGAAAACGTTGGGACTTGAAATGATGGAGGAAACCAAAAGTTACAACACCAGAAAAGAAAGGAGGGTGGGATAATTACCTAGTTTCAATTGTCGAGATACCCGGCGTCGTTCGCCTTAATAATATGTTTAATACTCGTACATGACCCTCTTCTACGTCTGCGGCAAATCATCTTCTTTCATCGTCCCGTTTCCAAAGATGGGAACCCGACGCCAGTGCTCCGAAAGACGCAACGCTGTAACTCTCAAAACACTTCGCTAAACACACCATCGTACAGTATCTTCACATAACCCCCTACAAGGAGCGAAAAACTCGCAGATCGACGCGCCACTAGCGCTCCGTCGGGACGAATTTGACGCTCTTCCGCCTCTCCCTCTCGCCCTGCCTCGTCCCGGGGCTCGAGCTCAGAATGCCAGCCCCAGGCGGCCCCCCCGCCAACGCCTCGCGCACACTCTCGACGGCCCGGCTCTGCGGCACCTCATCCTTGTCTCCGCGCACGTTGGGCTGGATCACGGGGCTCTGCGGTTTGCTCCCCGCGACGCTGCCGCCGCCTCCACCACCGACGCCGCCCAGCCGCGCCTTCTCGACGGCCGCGCGACCGACCTCGTCCGCGCGCGCGGCGGACTTCTCGTCGCCCCATTTTCCGGGAAGACAGGCGTGGCCGCAGCCGTCGAGGGGACAGCAGCCGTCGCTGAGCTCGTAGCGGGTGCTCCCGTCGTCGGAGGGCGCGTGCCAGGACTGCAGACAGGTGGCGTGGCCGCCGTGGGCGCAGCCGGGGCAGTACCACCACGTGCTCATGACGGGGTCCTGTTGCTTCTGGGGGGAGGCGCTGTCGGGGATGGGGAGGACGGTGGCGGTGGTCTCGCGGTGGCCGCAGACGGCGCAGGGAGCCATGGCGACGCGGCAGCGTTCGCATTTCCAGAGGGCCTTGGAGCCGAGCTTGGGGTCGAGCTCGCGGGGCTTGCGGCACGAGGGGCAGATGAAGCCGCCTTTGACGCCCTGCTGGGCGGTGCCGAAGATGGAGGTGTAGTTTGCGCCCCAGTCCGGGATACCTTCGGGCCAGCCCCGGACGCAGAGTTTGCGGAGGAGGGCTGCTTCGATGAAGAGTTTCATGCCCATGAGGCGGGAGTGGTGTTGGCGGAGGATCGAGGTTGCGCGGAAGGGGTCGATGACGGAGTCTGGCATGAGAGGCTTGAGGAGGAGAACCATTGCCGACGCGTTGAGGGCCGATGTGCGGGTTTCGAAGTCGAGCGCGCGGGTGAGGAGTGTATAGGCGTTGAGGGGCGGTGAGGTTTCGGGGGTTTCTTTGGAGGCGAGGGGGTGCGGGTACGAAGGGTCCTCTGGCCAGGGTAGGTAGTCGGATTCGAGGATCGACGGGGTCGGGTCGTGTTGGAGGGTTGGATTAGGTTTTGGCGGGGTTGAAGAAGAAACACCGACATGGAGAGGGGCGAGGTCCTCATATGTTGGTGGGAGGGAGTTGACTTGGGATTGTGATAGGTCGTCAGTAGCGGTGTCGGATGCCAGAGTGGTCTGGGAGATCATGAATATCTCCTCTGGCGAGTCTTTCGGCGTACTCTCTACAGGCGCATTTAGCTCTGCCAACGCGCCATGTTCTGGTGAGTCCTCAATCTCCTTCCCACGGATACGACTTTCATATTCGCCCTGCTCGTCAACAGTCTGCTTCTGCATTTGCACGGGGTAACTTGTGATAGATTTAGCCGAGACGCCCCCCTCAGAAGACGACGCGAGCCCCGATGTCTGCCTGCTGCTCTCAGACATGGAGAACATCTGGGCAAAGCTGTCGTCCGAGTTGTGCCTCAGGGCGGTTCGGCGGCTATTTGGGGTGCGGGGGCCGTAGTCCAAGGGCATTTGCTCCTTTTGTTTTGGCTCGGGCACATCTATAGCTTGAGCGAGGGCGTCAGTATCATAAAAGTCGTATCCATCTGTGCTAGAGACCTGTGTCTGGTCGCTGTGATGGCTTGTGACAGACAAAGGGACCGAATCCAGTCGCCTGCGAGGACTGTTGTGGAACGTACTGTGAGCAGCAGGGGGCAAAGCAAAGCCATCCGACTCCATGACGGGCGGTAGACGTGAATCCGATCGAGATGCCCCCTGTTCTGCGTTCTCTTCGTTAATGGCCCGGGCGATGGGCGTAGTGACGTTGGATGTACTCTCGATTTCCTCAGACAGCAGCGATCGTGGGCCCAGCGACCTGCTATCAACGCTATTTGAGATGACGGCGCTGGAAGGCCGTCTGGGCGTGTCCTCGCCGTTCATCTCCACGACGACGCCCAACGATCTTGGGACCTTGACCTTTGGGATGTCTTTGATCTTTGGCAAGGATGGCCTCTTCTGGAAATGGCCCAGTCGAAGCTGTAGATGATACTCCGCTCTCCTGTTCAATAGCAGATTCACCGAGTATGCGAGGATTCTCCATGTCTGTGCCAGACGGAATTGGTTGACTTGTTCTGCTGCACGGGCATAATGCTCCATGATGGAGGAGACCCTCTTCGCCAAAGACTTCCCCCCCGTAACGTAAGGAAGCTCCCGCTCAATGGTCTCCAGGTAGTAACTCGAGAGAAACTGGTACACGTCAACTCTGGCTGCTGCCGGAATGTGACCGACGGCCATTGACTGCTGTGTCTTGTAGGTGCCCGTGACTTTGATCGCTGCTTCCAAGCCCAGGATCGCGTCGTCGCCCAGGCTTGGACCAGAGGGCGGCGTGGTACTCAGAACAGGAATTGACCTTAGGCTGTGTCTTCGCTTCCTGCCTATCCCTCGTCGAGGACCCAGAAAGCTTCCGACGACGTCCTCTTCCGAGTCGCTGCGACTGATGCTGAGCATGGGAGTGGTAGGACTCGAACTATAGGAAGTTCTCGGCGCCACAATGCTCTGCTGTTGATGGTGGATGACTGGTGGTCGAGGGCGATGATGTGGTCGCTCGTCGAGAAACATGACCGCATCGCCTCGCGCAGACAAAGCCATGCTGGATACGGACTGTCGCTCCAGCACCTTGGGGGCGAATGCGACGTCGCATTGGTTGAATAAACCATCATTACCGACAGTCCACAGGAGATCTTGATTCTGCCACAATAGGCATGATGGCGAGTAATCAAAGCGATCGATCTCCTTGTACGGCATTGAGGGTCTCGCCAGGTCCCAGATGTGAACGCTGTTGATTCCGTATCGCTTGTGGCTGCCGTCATCATATGACACAGCGACTTGAGCGGCACGTTTCCCTTGGGCGCTCGCAGACCAGAGACCAGGTCTCCAGGCCACGGCAGACACAGGCGCAGGGGTATAAATGAGCCAGCGAGGCTTTTGTCTCTTGTCCGCGTTCTTGGACATGTCCCAGACGGCGCATTTGCTGTCCCAGCCGCCGCTGATCAGATGGTTGCCGTCGGGATGCCAGGATATCGAAGTGCAGGCCTTGTCGTGTGCAGGAATCTTGAGCAGAGGCTGCGCGATCTTGCGCACATCCCACTTCAGAACCACACCAGACTCTGTTCCGCAGGCGAAGTAGAAGCCGTCCTTGGGCGACCACTTGACCTGGCGAACGCCATCTGCGTTGCACTTGTAGGCGCCTCTAGGACTGTAGGTGAAGCCGCCGGAGCGACTCTGGACCGGGGCGCGAATGTCGAAATAGCGCACCATTCCATCCTGGCTCCCCGATAGTAAAGTCGTCCGGCGATGTGGATTAATGTCCAGCGAGTTCACCTGACGCGAATCCTCCCTCGTCTGGACAAACTCCAGGGGAGTGCCGCCCGTCGCAATTCGCGCCAGATCGTAGGAAAAGATGTTGCCGTTGGCGCAAGCTGTGAATATCGTGGAATCGCCATGCCATTTCACGTCTCGTATCGAAAGCTGGTCGGCCATCAGGGAGCTCGAAGCACCTTTGCTCGAGGCCGACTGAGCCGTGATGGCGCCGCGGACATCGACGCCCTCGCTAATGGACAGGCCGTCCAAGACGACGGTCTTGAGAACATGTCGGCCGGCGATAATGGCAGTCCGATGGTCGGGAGAAGTATCGAGGCATAGAATGGGCACACCGGCGGAGTAGACGGCGTTCTGGGAGGCGCTGGGGCGGTAGGAGGTCTGGAACTGAGGCGCGCTGGTGATGCCGATGGTATGGCTTGTGTCGGTGCTGCTGTCGGCAGTGACTTTGCCGAGGAGTTTGCGCATGATCTTGTTTTCGCGGCTATACATGGAGCTCGAGCTCGCACGGCGCCATGGGCATGGCGGTGGTGTCGCGGTCGGGGGACGAGGGAGGCGGCTTGCGACCGTCGACGATGCTTCGTTGCGTGGGGTGGAAACGAAGCTGCGATTGACCAGTGGTGAAGGTACCTCGAGGCAACCCAATGGCTCTAGGCTGGCAGCGACAACAGGCGATAAGAGATAGCCGCTGCTCGGCCGATAAGGTGTTGATAAGCAGCCCGACTACGATAGGCGAGCTCTTTTAAAGTTCAGTTGGTGGGGTACCTGAACAGTGCCCAGGTGCTCCTTCCCAGGAAGGGGCCTCCTGAAGAACAAGCTCCTGCCCCAGCTTAATTGCATTCAACGGACTTCAACTCTTGTTTTGCACCATATCACATCTCTTCCTAATGTCGATTTTGATTCAATTTGTCGCGTTCTTCGATGGATTCCTTGGCTTCTCATGATTTCTTCTGGATAAATTTCACATCCCCGGTGTTTCATCAAACTTCATTACCCATGTCTCCAGTAGGAGCTGCCTCCAGCGCCGGCACCCCCAAGCAGCGCCGCGCACCAAATGCCGCCATTCCTCGCCAGTTACCACACGTCATTCTCGAGCTCGTAACCTCTTTTTTCTTTCGACTCGAGCTCTAGGCATTCGAGGCATCTCATGGGATCTAATCATATTCGCCTCTCGGGCTCTGCGGTTTGCCGCCCTGCACAGAGTTAGCATGGGATCAATCGTTGCCAAGGACTGGGAACTAACAGTCGAGCGTAGATCTCGCTCGCCTCCATGTCTTCCACGCCCGAGTCACCGCCGGGACCTTGATCTGAATCAACAGATATTGGTCTATCCCATCGGTCTGCAAAATGATCCCATTGTTCTTCCGGTGGATTGGCAATCGCTTCCTCTCCGGAGAGTGCAGGAGCTAACGCCGGACTGTTTGGAACCGGGTCAACTGGAGCAGGTTCGATTACGGCTGGTTCGACTATGGCTGGTTCGACTATGGCTGGCTCAGCTGGGTCTCTTTCGACTGGATGTGGTTCATTCCCTGTTGCAGGAACAGCTTGCAGAGGCTCTGAGGAGTCCCCTTCGATGTCCGATGGACCCAGGCGATCTACTAAACCCTTTTGCGAGATTGGCCTGGCTACTTCAGTCGGGTCTTGGACTGGCTGACCCTCATCAGAGGCTGTCGATGCAAGGTACCGTTCCAGGGCATGCGGCATGCCTGGCGACTTTGGCCTGGGTATGCCGAATATTGGCGAATGACTTCTCTTTCGTGCTCTATGGACTCCGGGAAGCGTCTTCAATCCTATGAGAACAGAGCCTTCGCAATCGGAAACGTCCTCAGCGTCGTCATCCACACGCAAGGATAAGGCTCTTTTCTCATGGGCCTCTGGTCGTGTCAAATACGAGCTCATTGGCCCAGCGCACGTTGGTGATGTTGATATATCACTGCTAGGGTCGGCCAGAGGTGTTCTTGGCATTGCTGCGTCCTCTTGTTCGACATCGCCCACCTGCTTCTGCAGTCCCGCAATGTCGTCAGTCATCGACCTAATGCTACGAGGAGACTCAGGCGATGGTGCCCCTGACCGACGGAATGGAGACGATTTTGCTTCGATTTCGGGGCTGAATCATGATCAGCACACGTCAGTAGAGTGATCTGGCAGTTCCAGGCCTACCGTGGAGAGGCCACGACTGCCTCTTTAGTCTCAAGGCTGATACTTGACCGTCCTGGGGAGCGGCTCCCACATCGACGGCAGTCCGACCCATCTTCCTCAAATAATACTCCGATACCCCAGTGGTCGACGTCTGGGTTGGGCAGAATGTCTGGAACTGCCGTTGCCATTGAAGCCACGAATAACTGCGCCCGACCGAGCCTCAGGAATGACAATGTTGAAGAAACAATCACCGCACGAAGGTAGTTGCGAAGGAGACTCGGGCAAGGACACGAGGCTCGAGGTCGAAAGGAAAAGAAACAATCGCACAAAGACCGCAGTGGCACAATCTTGTGGAACGAGGGAGGATCTTGTGCATTCTTCTGGCTTTTCACAACAGCCCGTCGCCCGCGACCCAGGAAGGCGACCACGCTGGGGAAATCCAAACCACACCTCTGGGATCCCGCTTCCCGGCGTCAGGGAAGCGCATGCAAGAAACGACACCAGCGAAGAAAAAGCAACATTGTCTCCTTTATCTGCCATCCAGTGTGAGCCTCCTGCATCCCTCGGCAAGACAGCAATGATACGACGGGGGTGGGTCCCTGGGGATCCAACAGCCCGGAACCAATTGTTGGGCGGTAGGATGCAGCTACGGTTCCATGCGGCTTGCATCGCGGAACAGCGGCTACAGGACTAGACCTGGCACCCCGGCTGAATCTTTGCTGCATCTTTGCTTTTCTCGTCATAGCGAGCCTTTCTGTCCATTTTTAGGCCGGTTGCCTTGCCCTGGAGGTTGCCATTTGGCTGAGAATCGCTCCCAGCGCCACGGCTACCTGCTGCTGGACCCCAGCAAACATTCGAGAAACCTGCTCGCTTGCGTCTTCTTGCTCGCGAAGAAGTAATTTTGGGAAGAAGAACCAAAATTTTCGAGGGCAACTTGACAGAGTGATGCGAAGACGGGGCTCGAGTGTCACCTCGCAGGCAATCATTTCCCTTTCCTGGACCACCATGCATCTATCACAACGCATGCTGCCGACAATTTATTGGGGCCCTAATTTCCGGCTGCATGTTTCTGGGCTCGAGGTGACAGCCAACTCATCCAAGACACCTTTCGGGATTTGAACCTGTTCATTCCCTCGTTCCCGACCGCTGCATCTGGGTATAACAATCTGCGCCCGGGATTTGTGCAGCGATTCGGTTGGTAACCCTTACGCCTATGGAGCCGGGATCATGATCCCAGATTCCTCCCGTCGTGCCCGCTCCTCCGAACCATCCAGCTGGGTCATCAATCCTGACGTTGGCAGATATTCCCGTCCCTACAACCATACCTTCGGGTCTTCACCGCTGATAGACTGGTTGCCTTACCAGAGCCAAGGAACTTCAACCTCCACTGTGAAGGATCTCTCTGACGACCGGCCACACTCTCAATTGCTTCGCGCTACCGACCTCCCCCTGTGGGCGATACCGTGAAAGGTGACAACCCTCTCCTTTTTGAAACGCATCCAATAACCGGTTCCTATGATAATCCCCAGTGGACTGCCTTGGCATCAGCAAAATCATACGGTATCGGGACGCGGTTGATTCACAGAAGCAGTATGCGGAATACACCGCCTGTCGTCACCATCCGTAATCCGCTCCAACAGGTATCAACAGACATGAGGTACTCATCGCAGGAGCCCTTGTCCACGTTGGTTCTGGTTACTGCAACGACATATGCCCCGCTTCCAAACCCTTCCAGGCAGACGAAAAGAACGAAAAATTCCCAAATATGGGGAATGCATATTGACAGACACGGTACGACTGTAACGAGTGCAAAGACATACGACAGGGTTATGATCATGGCTATCTGACTTCTCTTTTCGTGAGCATATGCCCCTCCAGCCATTACAACAGCCGGGCTTAGATCACTCACCCGGCAGCCTTTGCATTGGGGCTCAGGTCAACTGACTCCAACCTGTTCGCGCCCTCGCCGCAAAGAACGGCGGACACAATCCCGAACCCTAGCAGGCACAAAAGACCGGTGAACAACATGTTATCGCCTATTCTTTGGTGGTGTGGCATTCTCCGCCGCTCTTCTCGGACGGCTGAACGTGTCTCTGCCTCGAAGGTAAAGAGATTGCTCCCTTGCACCATGCGCCATGACGATGACGGCACCACTGCTCGCCGAGCATCCCGTAGGGAGGATATTGTGTTCAGAGAAGCTTCGAGTTGTTCCGCCCATTGAGACGGGGAATCGAGGGCATTGGGAGAGCCTGCATAATCATCTTGGAGGCTCCATTTCTCCCGCGGGGCATCGGCATACCCTTTTGGACCGTCCAGGTCCGAATCCCAGTCATCGTGCATCACACCGACCCTTGAAGTGATGATGTCCCTCTCACTCATATGTACCCGTCGGTGCCTGTCCGTGAAGGGGCCGTGAAAAGAATACACGGCGGTCGGCGAATTGCTTGGAGAGTGTCCACGCCACTCCCTAGTGATGCATACTCTGTGCCAACAGAGGTTCTTTACCCCAATGAATGCTCAACTGTTTCAAAATTCACGGAGACCTTTCAAGTTTTATGGCTCTCATACTTGTCTTATGGCTTACAACAGGCTATTCATCATTTTTGTCAGCCGACTGTTAAGGTCAGGCGCTGCTTCCCCTCAGGTGCCAGACGCCAAGCGTGATTCCGCCTTGCTGATCAACAAATGCACTAATTCGTCTTGTCTTGTGCTCACCGAGCCGCGCGGCCGTCATTAGCCGGGGCGTATGGCATCGCCTACCGCGCTCACGTTCTGCGACCGTTGCGTTGAATGGCTCCCGCGCTCAAGATTCAATCACCCGTAAGCTAGGACCGGGACGCCCGTGTTCCACTGACTGGTGTTTGAAGAGGACACGGCATCGCTCAGCCTGGCCACTTTATTCCATACGTAAACTACTAGCATGCCCTGCTCCGTGGGCACCTCCCAATGGCACCCGAGCCTCATTTCCTGAGGATTTCCACCGGGAACTTATTGGCCAGCTCTTGGTACCCAGGTACATTAGGGTGCAAATGATCGCCTCCATCAAACTGCGCCTTCAGATGGTCACCGTCCCCGATGAACGAAGCAAAGTCCACGACATGGTCAAACGTCCCGTTCTCCAGAATCCACTCGTTGACCCTTTGCCGCGTCTGCTCCCGCGCCGGGTTCGAGTACGACTGCCCGCTACCCGCAAACGGCGTGATCGTCGCACCGATGGTCACGAGGCCCGCCTTCTTACAGTCGGCGACAATCTGCTTGTACGCGCTGATTAGGCTGTCGCCGAGCCGCTGCTGGGTCGCAGAGTCCGTCGCGCTGGGTCCGATGTCGTTTACGCCTTCAAAGATGAAGACGTACTTCACCCCTTGCTGGGAGAGGGCGTCGCGGTTGTAGCGCGTGAGGAGCGGAGGTCCCAGACCGCCTTGGAGCACCGCGTTGCCGCCTGCTGCTTGGTTTGCGACGGCGATGTTGGCTAGGCCCTCCTTTTGCAGGCGCGCAAGGACGAGGTCGGGCCATCTGGGCTGGTGTCAGTCACGCACTCATATTCCAATGGGGAGATGTAAGTTACCGGTTGTTCCTGTCGTCATCGCTCCCTCGTCCGTCAGAGATGCTATCTCCGAGGATGATCATTGCCGAAGTGTTCTTCGGCGCCCATGCTTCCACTGCGCTGGCGAAGTACCAGTGCTTCGTACTCGCGCCCGTCACCGAAGACGCATTCACCTGGTTCCCGCTCTGCATCCACGACGTCGTGCGGCTGCCCGGATGTCCTGTGATCTTGCTCCCGGACTGGCCCTGCTGGGTGTACAAGCTCAGAGCGATGTTAGTCTGCGCCGCAACAGTGAAGTCGATGGGGTCTGAGTAGACCACTGCTCCCTGCTTAATCGTCACCGACGGCGAGCCGGAGAAGGTAAGACCTTTGAGAGTCTTGGTGTCGATGCCGGGAACCCCCGCAGCGCCATCTAGAGGCACGGCCAGCGATGCTGCTGTGATGGGGAGATCTGAGCCTCCAAAGGTATTGGACAGCTGGACGCGCAGCCGCGATGCACCGATGGAGGTGTGAAAGGTCTGGCGGAGAGTTGCATCGCGAAATTGTGCGCTTCCCCCATTCTGATCTCGTCAGTACATCCATTTTGTGACTTCGGAGGCGATGATATGCTTCTCACAAATGGCGAAGGCGGCAGGTTGCCTGGTTCAACCTCCTGCGTCATGGACGTCCATGTCACAACCCAGTGGTTATCATCCTGCCGTTCTCGCAAACCCTCGCCCGTCGGGACGGCGAGAGCAGACGCCGCCCACACGATGGCCAGCAAGATAGACCTCATGATTGCATACGTGCACGTAACTGAGTCTCTCGTCTCAACTCCCGCAAAGCCAAGAGCGGGAGCATCGTAGCCTTTTTATGATGAAACGGAACAAAGTCGTCCGAACGGTTTGTCCGCTTGGGCCATACCCTTTCACCCGCGCTGCGGTTTTAGCCAAATGGAAACCCCTGATCCCATATTACCTATCTAGCCTGCTGAGCCGCGAGCGGGATTAATCGTGTTTGAGGTAGAGATGTCCAATAGGAGTGCGCGAGTACGAGATACCCGGCATCTCGGGATATTGGGTCCGGCGGGGACGTGTGCCAGGAGGGGTGGGATCCCCGGCTTTTTGGACGACAAGGTTCGGCTTAGAGGGTCATGGTCTGGAGAAGCTTGAATATCCATGCGCTGGTCCCTTCATTTCATCTGATCTACATGTGTCTTTCTTTCTCAGCTAAGGATTGCAGACACAAATAAAGGGAGACTTATTTGGAAGTACGAGGAAACCGAGAAGCGTTTCAATCAATGCAGTACTATTCAAGGTATGATTTCTAGTAATACCAAATGACATGCGTTTGCAGCCGTACTTGTAGTTGTGAAAGCCCTACTGCTCGGTACTCAAACAGCATGGCAGCGGGAGAGGACGTGAGAAAGTAGCTGGTCCTTCTCCCGAGAAGGAAATGAACAACGACCAGACCACCCGCGAGGTCATGTCAGAGTTTAGCAGGCGAACTCGCACTGGAACTGCCTCGACTATACCCAAACGTTAGCACACCTCCCATGTCATTTCGGCCCTTCAGAGTCCACGACTTACATCAGTTCGGCAGTGGCTGCCCCCCTTGTTCCAGTCATCAGCCGTCACACCTCTACACTTGGCGAACCCCGACGTCGACTCCGTCGTCCAGGTCAAGAGGCCATATTTGAACTCAACGTCGTCCTTGTCAAGGCGACCGGTGATTTTCAGAATGTACTGCATGCCTGCCTCCTTCAGCTCGAGGGGTTTTGAGGGGTTGATCGATAGGCCTGGAGCCGATAGTTGGGGCGTCTCGTGCCAGAGGACTTGGTTGGGGCCTTCGAGTCTGAAGCGCGTGTAGAGGTTTCGGTCTTGCGGTTCGCAGGTTCTAATCTCCGTGATGTCGAGCTTGCAGGTATCTGTTTGGGGGTGATATATAAGTTAGGACATGGTCAGAAGCAGCACGGAGACGCCTCTTGGGATAGTGCCGGATTTATCTTAGTGATAGAGTTTGAGAAAAGAAACAAATCAACTAACTGTACGGAACGCGTCTGGCGATGTCTTCCAAGCCGGATGACAATGGGGTCGGGGAAGCGGAAACAGCAGCGCTAAGGGTTAGAACCAGGGTGGCCAGCGAGAGATACATTGCAAAGGACAGAGATGCGCGATGGATAGAACACAATCAGGAATCGAGTCATTGAGCTGTAAGTGCCTTTTAAGTATACTCGGCGGATGGAATTCACTGTATCGAACGGACTTTGAACAGGTTCATGTCACAACTTGAAAGAGCTACGACATCCCTTTGGTGTGACTTGTGTGTTTGTTGGGCTGACGAAGGTCTGAGTTGGTGCCTTGGACAGCCCCCTTGCAACGAGCATTATTACATTTACCCGGACGGTGAGCTGTGGAACAGTGCAAACTTCCCATTACAATAAAATATTTCCTATTCGAACTGATACTGCAGGCTATTCAGGTGGATAGTAATGGTATGATAAAGTAGTAATGCGTGGAGAGACGACGGGGAGGAAGACGACAATAAGGATCACAAGAAGAATAATAATCGTGTCAACATTAACCGCATACGTCCTTTCGGATATCCTCATTCGTAGCTTCTGATGGACGCATGTCTCAATGTGCGAGTGACCAGAATGACTACGAAGTACCCTCAACTTCCGGTAAAACAAACTCCTTGCTGCCCCAAAGCACCCAATACGCAATGATGTAAAGCCCGATCAGGACCAAGATGACAGAAGTGTAGTTCATCTCCGCAGCGCTGACGGGCAGATAGTAAGGGAAACAGTACACGACAAGAGCGACCGCGGTCCAAGCCAGGGTAACGAAGTTTGCAAGACAACCAAGCTTGGAAAACCAGAAGGGACCGTGGGCAAAGTTTGGCCGCCCATGACAAAGGAGCAAGACGAGGGGAACAGCATAGCTGAGGTATTGCAGTAAAATTCCGCACGAAATAAGGGAAGAAAAGGCCGTTTCGGACGCAAGGTACACGAAGCTCAGCAGCGCCGTCCAGCATGCTGACCACAAGATAGCCCAGACCGGGGTGTTGAATGGTGACGGTACCACCCTGCGGAGGTAAGACTGAAAAGGAAACCCTCTGTTTCGTGCGAAAGCCCACGCCAGCCTAGATTGCCAAGTCTGAATGCCAAACATGGCCCCTGTGGTAGAAACAAGAACAAGGGACTGGAGACCGAATGCGGCGTGTTTGTTCTGCCGGAAGATGTAATACACGACTGTCAGAAAATCTGTTTGGGTCTCCATGTCGGTGATGTTGATGTACAGTGCCAGGATAGTAAGCATGCCGGTAGTGAAGCCCACGACAATCGTCCACATCAGTGCCTTAGGGATATTTTTGCTTGGCTGAGGGATTTCCTCGGCAATGTGGACCACTGCGTCCAGACAGGAGAAGCTCCAGTTCAGGCCGTTGATACCAATGAGGAATGCAACGCCTTTGGGCCAGCCAGAAATGTTGTAGTAGTCTGTGAAGAATTGCTCCGAGGTCACTCGTTTCGTCGAACCTGCAAAAAGGCTGACCACGATAGCCAGGATCGAGAGGACCGTGAAGATGAGACACCCGCTTCCTAGCTGGGGAAGAATCCGCTCGAAACAGCTGACAGAGGCTGTCAGAATGTTGACGATGTGGTACCCTACAAATCCCATCCAAGGCTTGTATTCGAAGTCAGGCCTGGTCATCGCTACCATGGCCAGCGTGACCTGAGGTACAGTAAGACAGACTGATGCCCCTGTGCAGACCGCGCCGGCCCAGCTTGCTATTGCGGTCGCATACGACAGGAACCTTCGTGGACTTGCTGGAGACAGACGGGCCACCCAGACGTACTGCCCACCAGGATATGGAATGGCGGAAGCAAGCTCCGCTAGGCTGGTGGCTGTGCTCAATCCTACCAAGGCCATGAGAATGAAGCCGAAGAAGGATAACGGGGCGCCGCCAAATGGGATAGTCGTTCCCACAGTGAGAAGTATTCCCATGGCCGTGTTGGTGATTGAATGGGCGATTCCGATAGCGGTCCATGTCGTGAAAGGCCTGTCTATGTGGCCGTCCTCAGCAACTGGGAGGTCGATGGACTGCGACTCTCCGGTCACTTCAATACCACTCTGAGTTCGGGCTGCCTTCTCCATGTCTTTGAGGGTTGACATATTGATGTCCTGAATGTCCTTGGGAACCTGTGTGGTGAAGTTAGTGTGGATCGGCTTGCCATACCAAAGTGATATGAAAAGTGCGGAAAAGAAGTCTGAGAATGTTTGAGCCCGAGTGAACGAGAGATGGCTTGGCTTTGGCTTTAACATTGCCGCAGTATTATTGGTGTGCTACGCGTTCTCTAGGGACAAATTTAGCAACAATATCAAGCTACCATGATCACTTGTGATAACGTCAGCTATCAAATGCCATGGGCTGCCCACTGGGCTATCATATCTTACGTAGTCCTATCTTGTGCCATACTTGCCCGATCCAGACTTTTTCCGAGGTGATAAGCGCGGACATATCATCAATAGTATGTAATGTTGCAAGTTCCAGGAAAGCGAAACCGAGCTTGTGTGGGGTAGATAGAAACAGTCAGTAATGGCTGATGTTGTTCATCGAATACGCGCTTAACTCCATGCCCAAAATGGACGAAGAGCGAGAAACCCGAGGTTTTCCGGCATTCCGCTTTCCACTCATGCGTGCTAGATGCAGATCATGTTTAACGCGCGGATTTTGACATCTCGGGACGGAGGCAACATGATGAGGCCAGACGGTTTGGATGGAAGAATACAGTGATGTAACCAAGCAAGACTTGGATTCCTGTTGAAAGCTTCTTAAATCTACAAACAGGAGACATGAGTATAAGTACGCAGCGCAGCACAGCTTCATTATCAACATTCCGTACATTACACACTGCTTCTGACTCTATCATAAACAACAAACCCGCCAACAAAATGGTCATCACGAACACCCTGGGCGCGAATGAGGTCGAATACGATTTCGTGATTGTCGGTGGCGGCACGGCTGGCTGTGTTATTGCGTCTAGACTCGCAGAAGAGCTCCCTAACGAGCGAATCATTGTTATCGAAGCTGGTCCCAGCGACTGGCAGGACGAGAACATCCTGCAGCTCAAGAATCTGCTCAACCTGCTAGGTGGCGATTATGACTATAACTACACTTCGACAGAACAAGAATTTGGTGAGAATGCCCCCTTGCTAACCTCAAAACGTGGAATTGATTTCTGACTTGCGCTCCACAGGCAATAGTCACATTGTTCACTCGCGAGCGAAGGTCCTGGGCGGTTGCTCGAGCCACAACGGCGGTATCGCAATGCACCCTTGGGAGTACGATTGCAAAAAATGGGCCGAAGCAGGCGCGGAAGGCTGGTCTTTCGAGACTTTCACGCGACTTGTCAAGAAACTGCGAAACACCATCAACCGGATCCCAGACGGTCAGCGTAACCCCCTTGTCAACGACTGGATCGAGTCCGCCTCAAAGGCCCTGGGCATTCCTGTAACTGAAGACTTCAACTCGGAAGTTGTGTCATCTGCCAGAATGACCGCCGGAGCTGTTGGATACCTGCCAGTCACTTACGACCCCGACAATGGCCATAGGTCCAGCGCGAGTGTGGCATACATCCATCCGATCATCAAAGAAGACGAGAAGCGACCTAATTTGAAGATCCTGACCAATGCATGGGTTAACAAGATCAATGTCGTGAAGGATACTGCTGCTGGAGTTGATGTTACACTGCAGTCAGAGCAGCGAATCACCGTCTCCGCGAAGGGCGAGACGATCCTCTGCGCTGGAAGCATCGATACGCCCAGACTCATGCTCTTATCCGGCCTCGGGCCAAGGGAGGACCTAGAAACGGTGGGTATCCCCGTTGTGAGAGATATCCCCGGCGTTGGCAAGAACCTCATGGACCACCCGGAGACGATCATCGCCTGGGAGATGAATGAGGAGATCCCCCCGCAGACAGCGATGCATTCCGATGCCGCCGTTCTTGTCCGCCGCGAGCCGGCAAACGCTGCAGGGGACGATGGCACGTTGCCAGACATGATGATGCACATCTTCACCGTTTCTTTTGACACCAATCTGAAGCGGCTGGGTTATACTTCAGAGCAGCCCAAGACGCTGTTCAGCGTCGTCCCTAACATTCCGCGGTCTCGATCGCGAGGTAAGATTTACCTCAAGTCCGCGGATCCGAAGGAGAAGCCGGCTATCGACTTCCGATACTTCACGGACCCAGAGGGCTACGATGAGGCGTCCGTTGTGTGGGGGTTGAAGGCTGCACGGAAGATTGCGGAGGAGTCGCCATTTAAGGGGTGGATCAAGCGGGAGTTTGCGCCTGGCCCGGCTATTCAGAGCGACAAGGAACTTTCGGAATATGGTCGAAAGGCGGGAAACACGGTTTTCCATCCGTGTGGCACGACCAAGATGGGAAACATTCAAACGGATCCGTTGGCAGTAGTTGATTCGGAGCTCAGGGTCAAGAGCATTCAGATGCTCCGGATTGCAGATGCGGGAGTTTTCCCGCTTATTCCCACGATTAATCTCATGTTGACGGTTCTGGCTATGGGGGAGAGAGCGGCGGAGATGATCGTGGCGGATACCATCATGCAAACTGGAGATGTTCCTCATGATTCACGCTTGTAACTAGTTGGAGGGTAGCAGGGATCGTTTTAGGTCATTTATTTGTGGAGGAAACGACGATATTATAAAATCCATCTCATTAACGTGACTCAACCCGCGGCACAACTTCAAATGAATAACAGCTCGACAGCAGCGGTGGTATTTTATTCGATGTCAATTTGTGCCATCTTGGTGACGTCCCTGTCCCAACGCAATAGCAACCACAGGCGAACCGGCGTGCAGTGTTTTGGTGGCATATTCCTTGAGTCCATCATCGTTGCTAGAAGTACTCAGTAAACATGCAATACACATTGCCATTAGAGACGGAAGCACTTCGCCTACATTCTGAAATTGGGAACTCCGCGTCTAAGCCCCTTCGTATCTCAATTTGCAGCTGTTTTTCACAACGGTTCGGCAGCGAAAAGGGTGAATGTAACCCACACATATCTCGCGTATTGTCCCAAACGGGCAACACGCCATTATGCCACTTGATTCAATTGATAGTCTTGTGAGACACGAAGCCATGTTTATCTATCCTCTTCGATTGGATGGCCGAGAAATCCAGATTAGGCTCGTTTGCGATAACCCGACATCGACACGGGGTCCGAGGATCCTGAACGTTGATTGAGCTGAATAGCCCGTGTAGCTGAAAGCATGTCGGATATCGCATGTGATGATTGAGGCGGGTAACGGAAGATCCCATGAGATCATTGAATCTAGGGTACAAATATGCGTGCAAGGAGTTACCTCACGAATTGAAGTTGAAGTACCTCTGCCCGATAACCTCTTTGCATCTCTCCTGCTACATATTTTGCGTGCTCCACTGTAACAAGACCCCTAAGGAGTCAACTTTAACTCATCATGCCGAAACAACAAGTCGACGCGCTTATCATCGGGGCCGGATTGGGCGGCATTCATAGCCTCTATCATCTGCGCGCCATTGGCCTCTCCAACCTCAAGCTCATCGATCTTGCCAGCGATGTTGGCGGCACCTGGCATTTCAACACCTATCCTGGGGCCATGTCGGATACGGAAAGCTATTTGTATCGCTTCCCATGGGATAAGGAAGACTTGATGACGTACCCTTGGCCGAACCACTACGTTACCCAGCCGGAGATCCTAGCGTACCTCCGCCACGTGGTCTTGAAGCATGACCTCCGCAGATATATGCAATTCAATACCGAGATGCGTTCTGCCACCTTCGATGAGACCAAGAATGTCTGGCTGGTGGAAGTCAGCACCGGCGAGACGTTCGAAGCTCGCTACCTTGTTACCGCCTTGGGACTCTTATCCCGTCCAAATTTTCCCGACATCCCTGGAACCGACACATTCAAAGGCACTACAGTGCATTCCCATGATTGGGATGCCGATGCAGAATACAGAAACAAACGTGTTGCAGTCGTTGGGACTGGATCAACGGGAACTCAGATCGTAACCGCTGTTGCGCCCCAAGCTGCATCCCTCACCGTATTCCAGCGCACGCCTCAGTATTCTGTGCCTGCGGGAAATAAGCCTGTAAGTCCCGAGTACCGCCAACGCATCAACCAGAATTACGACGACATCTGGGCGCAGACACGAGAGTCTAGCACCGCTTTCGGGTTCCAGGAGTCGACAGTACCTTGTTTGTCCGTAAGCCCTGAAGATCGCGAGAGGGTCTTTGAGAAGCTCTGGCAGCAAGGAAACGGCTTCCGATTCATGTTTGGCGGTTTCGGTGACATCACCACAAATGTCGAGGCAAACGAGGAAGCGTGTCGCTTCGTACGGAAGAAGATTGCGGAAATTGTCAAGGATCCCGTCAAGGCTCGGAAGCTGACGCCTACGAACCGGTACGCTCGACGGCCGCTTTGTGACTCTGGATACTACGAACAATTCAATCGTGAGAATGTGGACGTGGTCGATCTGAGAGAAACGGAGATTGTGGCTCTCACGCCAAAGGGTATTCGTACATCTGACGATGTCGAACATGAGGTGGATTTGATCGTCTTCGCGACCGGTTTCGATGCTATCGATGGTAGCTACACCAGGCTTCTTATACGTGGCCGTAACGGTCGGACCATGAAGGATCATTGGGTTGGCGGTGCTCACAGCTACATGAGCGTTTGCTGTTCTCACTTCCCGAACATGTTCATGATCAATGGCCCACAAGGACCGTTCTGCAACATTCCATCCGCCGTAGAAGCGTCTGGTGAACTGATGCTTGGTGTGATCAAGCGTGCTGAGGAGGCTAGAAAGGCCAATGGTAATAGTGGCTCTGTGGCCATAGAGGTGAAAGAGGAGGCAGAAGATGAGTGGGGGTTCAAGTGTTAAGAAGTCTCAGAGGGGAGCTTATTCAAAGAGACCAATTCTTGGATCTTCGGTGCGAACATCCCAGGAAAGCCTGTCGCATCTAGATTTTGGTTTGGCGGACTCAAATCATATCGGGAGCAAGTGGCAAAGTCCTTCAGCGACAATCTGTCAGATTTCAGGATCATTTGATTGATACAGAGCTAGCCTTTCAGTCGAATGAAGCATCCCACGTATCGCAGCATGTCCCGCCCGTTGAGGTACTATCCTAAGGTGAACTTGTGGAGACAATTCTTTTGCAAGAGAAGTGCCACCCATGACATCTTTATTCCGGCGGCGCGAAGTGTCCACAGCTCCTCCAGTAACTCGATGGCCCTCAAGTTAGCTGGTATGCGATTTAACGAGTAGATAGCCTTGAAACGTTGTTTTACTTCGTTTCGTAACTCCACCTTCTCCATGCCTAACTCCGACCCTGCTGTCATCAGCGGGATGGACTGAAGGTTCAGATAAGGATTAGTGATGGGCATTTGTCCCAGACTGTGCACGATGTCGGAGGCATAACGGGAAATGGTGTGCTCAGTTTCGTCGGTGCAATCCGCCGCCTGGTCCACGTGGCTGCAAGCGCTGATGACTCGACGGTGACAAATGCGGTAAAGCATTATGCGCGCGTGTTTCCTAAAAGCATCCGCCATACTATATAGCATCGGGCTGTCTTGCCGTGGAGTCCAACTGATCATTTGCTCTTCCAAGGTGGCCTCTAAAACGAGATCTCGACCTTGACTGTCGATAACGCCTCGACAGTAACGACCCAAGGTCCCGATCAGATAGAACAGTTCGATCGCGTAGCCGGCAATGCAATGATATGTGTCTCCGAGCGATTGGATTGCGTTGAATATTTGCGGTGTATTCAAGGGCTGCTGCTCCTGAGGGTCCAAGGGGAACGAACATGCCATATCCCAGTAGATGAAAGCGCCAAACACGAACTGGGATAGTTCGTCTTTCAAGCCGTCTGAAGCTAGCAGTATCTCAATCATAGCACGACCGCCTGCTAAATGTTCCTTTCCCATGCAGTTCTCGATCCATGGGGAAGAAATGCCGAGTGTGTAGACTGTCAGGAAGGCGGAAACTGGAGGCCTTCGAGAGCTATGAAGTTCTTGTTGGAAGAGACTAAGCGCGGCTTGTCGTTCCAGGAGACTCTCTTCCATACTCTGGGACCGGTAGTAGTTCTCGTGAGCCGCGCTCAGGCTTTGGATGGCGTGCAGAAGAGATGGCGTCTCATTGAGATATTTCAAGATTGGAAGACCCATGGGATTCATCTCCGGGTCCAACACCATGATATGACAAGCCTGTTCGAACCAGTATTGAAGTTGCCTGGAGTGATTGTTACTGTAGATTGTTGACCTGCAATGGCTCGCAGTCATTTCGCCTGCCCTTGAACTGCTTGGTGTGACGAGCCAAGGAAGCTCCATAGTCCATGTCTTCTTCCTGGTCGGCATCAAACATACCGCGCCTCGGTTCTGACATCGCCGGCAGACAGGATAGGTCTCGTCACATTTGACATGTCGTGGTTTGCATTCTTGGCACCCGAATCGACTTTTCGGTTGCCCTTTCCCATTGCAGGTCTTCGCAACCCCTGAAGAGAAACGAGGTGGTTTCTGGTCCCGGCGGTCAAGGGAGAAATCCAAGCGAATCTTCGGATGCGAAATTTGGGTAAATCTTATGCGAGAGTAGTTGGCGCTCGTCTCAGTCGATATGTGAGATGATTCGGGCGAGAATCATCTGTGAACGACTACAAGCGCGAGTTAAACCAAGTGAAATGTGACGGTTAGCTCCGCTGGGTATTTCAGTGGGATAAAAGGGGTTTGCAGATTATCCCCTTTTACCCGCGACAAAGACCGAGTGACCTGCTTGATATGATGATACTCAAAATGGCGGGGTTTTTCCCATCTTCAAGACCCCATACAACGTCAAGATCGCATCGACATCACTGTAGCGGACCAATCGAAGACGCAACTGGATGTCCATATCTGATAAACACCAAGATGACAGTCGCATGGGAGTGGATTCGATTGCATGGTATCCTGACCTAGCATTCTGCAGATAACGCACCTCGGCAAATGACCAAAAGCGGCAAGATTGAGACCATCCTCCTCCCGGCTTATGGCTTGTCAATATTGGACTGATACTATGGCTGCACACCCAAAACAAGGTTCATTTGCTGTATTAGAACGACATCAATTATGTAACTTTTGAATGCCCGTTGCAGTTCTTGGGGCGTTCTATACAATTTCCACTCGGCTCCTGCGATGGTCTGCTTCCACTTGACCCTAGTCCTTCACAACTTGAAACTATGCGAGCACACCTGACCGCCACCAACGATGCTTCGCAGTCCTCGACTGAGATTCTGAGACTAGACTAGCAATATGACCTATGATCCTAACGATGCTTGTAACTTTTAGAGCAATGCCTTGAGATGCATTTGGGAACCCTTCACCTTCTCCAGCTTCTCTTGCAATCGTCCCATCCTCTCGGAACTCATGACATATTCACCGGGAAACCAATCCCGCACATCCTCGCCTAAGAACATCTTCACCACAGCTCGTCCACAAAGCCACGCGTTGACCATGCCATATCCTCCGTAACCAGCACAAATCCACTCCGCGGAGTTTCTATCGCCCGCAGTACGGTCCAGAGCTGCCTGAGGAAGCATTCCTACTAGCGGTACGCCGTCCAGTGTATTAGCCATTATACCGGTCCACGAAGCACGCATCTTTGGCGGATCCCCCGTATTCTCCTGGCCAAACACAACACCAAGAACGCCTGCGAGATGGGCCTTCGCGGTAATGATCTCCTCTGCGTCCGAGCCCATACCAAGAGGTTGCATCAAGGCCTCTTCCCCTCCGACATCGCCGCCGCCCACGAATAACTCTCCAGATCGGGCATTTTGGGTGAGGTAATCGAAACCATGGGGAAAATAAAAGCTCCAAGAATAGGCTCCGTCCTTCTGATGAAATTGGCTGCCGGGAGTCTGGACCGTCATCTCCCCTCTACGCGGAACAATGATACCACGAAGACCAGGTATCAAGTGACTAGCGTGGCCTTCGGTACAGTGAAAGATATGCCGCGCGCGGACTATGCCGCGAGGGGTGCTGATGGCGTACGGGTGATCCGCGTTCGCTTCGACTCTTCGGATATTCATGGCCGGAGTGTTGGATTCGATGGTCAGGCTGATGCTATGGCTCGTCAAGAGAGACGCCCAGATGCTCGTGATAAGCCGGTAAGGCCATGCAGCTCCAGCTCGGCCGACGAGAGCTCCTTTTGCGTTGGGGATTTTAAACGTCTACCGAGAATTTAGCAGTGTTATTACTGGAATGAAAAATTGACAACAGAAATCTCACCTCTATGGCTTCCTTCTGTTCTGCGATTCTCCATCGCCCTTGAAGATCCGGAAATGCTGCTTCAAAGTTGGCCAGCTTCTGCTTGAGATCTGCCAACTGCTCATCTTCGAACACAGCCGCACAAGTTCCGACTTCCCTGACCTCAGACTTTTCGAAGTCCTCGAGCCCAAGCTCTTTTGCTGCTGCCAGAATTCCATCAAGTTGAGCGAGCTCAAACCGAACAATCTTCGCCGCGGCTTCCTTGCCGAACTTCTGGTAATACTTGTCGTAGTCCAAGACTGCTACGCAGTTAATTCGCCCACCATTGCGACCCGTTGCGCCAGAACAAACCTCGCGGGCTTCGAGAACCGTCAAAGTAAGACCTCTCTGAGATTGAAGTAGTTCGCGCGCGACGCTACAGGCGGTGATGCCGGACCCGATGATAACGACATCTCGGTTTGTGGGGAGCGAGGTGGATTGTATGCCGCTGAGGCCGCTGTGAAGCGGCTGTTGCCAGTATGAAGCCGTGGGTTGACGGGCCGGGAGTCCGGGGTCTTGCAAGACACGATTCGACATCGCGCAGTGAATCTTTTCTGAACAGGTTACAAAGCGTCAAAAGCACTCGCGATCATGTCCAAAACAGAAGTTACGAAAAACTACTGGATATGAGTAGATAAGAACCGATCGCCCCAAAGTGCGACCCCGCAGCCCGCTGATAAGACGGCTCCGTGGACCGGATGCACGGTTTGGCGCTGCTGTCATAAGCGAAGATCTAGATGCCTAAAACAGAATGCACGCGAGGTACACTGCTTGGAGAACATTTCATCACAGTCTTCGTGATACTATATTCAAGTAAGCTAGTAACGAATGATGTGATTGTTCGTTCACATGGGCCCATAACAGCAGTTTGGGTTGAATACATGTATGCACGCCCGCTAAAGTTCCCAATGGCCATGTTTTCCGTGCTCCGTCGCTAAACTTTAGTTAGGACACGGTTCGTCCCCATCGGTTCAGCGTGGATACGAGGTTGATGTTGATAACGAACCTGTGTGATAATGACAAGTGCGCATCGCTGGAGCCACAGCTTTGAGTACATGTACAAGACCTCGTACAGATAAACATACTAAGTAAACATTTCTATTGACCGACCTGACTACAGGAAGCTCGTCGCCACCCAAATGGCTACCAAAAACGATGTCCAGAGATGTTATTTCTTTGCGTCGTACACAATCGGCGACAATGTCAGATGGTCTTCAAGTAGCAGGCGCGTGGTCATCGATGGAGTTCCGGAGGGTTACGAGGCCTTGCTTTGTTAGCGGTTTGTCGGGTGGGGGATTAGCATGAAAAGCTCACTTAGCAATTGAAATCTCCGGGGTTCTTGCAACAGTCTCCGCTCTTAGCATAGCCAGCGCAGCATGTAGCTACTTTAATGTTACTGCACTTATCGATGTTGATAGGGGCAGGCGTAGCCAGTGCGAACATCGATGCGAACGAAGCCACCACGACGAAGGTAGAAAGGAGCTGCATTTTGAGTTGATTTCTAGGGAGTTTGCTTAGATGAAAAGGAATCTTGAATAGTGAAAAGTAGGTGCGGAGGACAAATTCTGATGAGCAGCCTGGTCATTTATTTATGCAGTTGGCACTGGTGCAAAGAAGACTTTTCTTGTTAAACAGGGTCAGCTCGAGCAGCATGCATACGAGGATCTAAGCGATGCTTGCGTAGCCAGTAAATCAGCGAGACAAACTAACCGACAGTGTGGACTTAGGCGCGTTGGCGGCTCATATTTGCTAAGCCCGCTGAAATAGAGGGCTGATCCCTCCACAGTCAAGGTTCCCAGAAGCTTCAATCACCCGATTTATCTACTTCTAGAAAGAAGTAAAATAAGATACGGAAAAGACTTTCCAAACTACCATCAAATTTCCGTGAAAGACATGGTTACGCCTCTTAAGGTATCTCCTACGGCCGCGCAAATGTTGGCTTCAGGATAAGTACAGGCAGTCGCATTAGAGTCAACACAATTGACGGAGTGAGCTTCAGCGTAGTGCCGCAGTTATCCCCTTACCATCTGTGGCACTACCAGCGACCAATCCTTCCTGTCACCTAGATATGGATCACAGAAAATAATACTTCAGACGTCGCGCAGCTATGGGAGTTCTGATCACGAAATATACAGACAAATAACTGATAGCATCTAGCTGAAGACGGCAGTGTTCTGCCCAATGGAACTTTCTACCTAAAACAAGCCGACTAAGCTTTTCAAAGAGGCCGTTTTGAATTTGTTCTCGGAAATCTAAGACGAGCTAAGTGGGTATTACTTTTAGCCGCAGGCTTATTATATTAACCATGGGAGTGAGTAAAAGCCCCTGAGCTGGTATTGTAGGGACTAAAAGCCCACGAGATGCTCCCTGCCCGACCGCTGACTCGCTGAACTCGCGCCTGTAAGCCATGATATATGGCGGTCGGATTGAGCGAGATGTACCCAATATAGCGCAGTTACTTTGCCCTAGCATCGCCATCCCTTCACAACTGGATACTTGCTGTCTTGCGTCTCATACTTAAACTCCCACATTGCTGCTGCACCAAAGAACGTGAATGATTTCCCTGCACTAAACTCCAACATGTATTCTCTGTGTGAGTTCACGCTAGACCAGAAACTCGAATGCCCACGCAGTTTTCCAATTTTCCTCCGTCTGGTAAATCGCTATGGTGATCTCGTCGTTCGTGTAAGAGTGGGTGGCAATGCCGCGGTCCGTAGGAGCATCCAACTCGGCTTCGGGGATCTCGTAGGTAAACCCCCAAGTCTGGATCTTCAGTTCCCCGGCCGGGGGCAGGCCCACAGCACTGAGGTTCTTAAAAGTCAGGGCCCAGGTGCCCGTCTTGACCCGCACCCCAGCAAGGGCACGTACTTTGTCATTCCCGACCGTGGCGTAAACATCGAATATTCGGTCTTCAGAACCAGTTGTACCGGCTCGATAACCGGTCATTTTAAGGTTGTAGTACTTCAGTGCCTGCCAGTCACCGTTTGTGTGGTACGGGAGGTTCTCATTGTCTCGCCATATGAGACTGGCCAGGAAATCACGTAGATGAGAACCATCTGGACCTCCACGCCAATTGGAGCGCAGACCCGAAGTATCGTATCTTTCAAATCGGGACAGGTGCCACACTGTTGTCGCTGGGTTGAGTTCATCGGCAAGGTTGAGGTACTCGTTGATGTTGATGGGTTTCTCTGGAGCACCGGCGGCAGATCGCATGTTGCTGAAAGTGACCAAGCTGTTCTGAAGGTCATTGGCGGGGTTATCAAGTGCCTCAATGTGGTGCCAGGTGTATAAGTCCGGCACGGAGTCGTTCGCAGCGACATAAGATAGGAAGTTAGACCACCATGTGTTTTCTTCTGTGGGTGGCAGTGAAAGAGAGGGACCAATCATTTGGACTCCTCCGAGACGGGCATCCGACCTTTCCGTGTGAGCTATTAACCAATGACTTGAAAGATCTGTGCTAACATACCGAAATCTGTTTGTAGTCCGACCGAACAAGTGAAGCCACTGCGCTTGAGGTCTCTTCCAGAAGCCCCATTCAGGCTCATTCCAGATGTCGATGTACAATCCCGGCAGCATATCGTTGTCAACGATCCTGCTAATAATAGTGTCCAGAAAGCGGTCAAAGTCGGTCCAGTCGCCGTTGTCACCGGCCACTCCATAGACTCGTCGGTAAAGTCAGTGCCCCAGAGGTCATGAAGCAGAAGCTGAAACTTTCCGTTGTACTTGCGGACAGTTCTGTAGTTGCTGAGCGTCGATTCCCATCTCTTTTCCATCTCAGCATCGCCCCAGGACCAGCCACGGTTGGGCTCAGTCATTTGACCACCACCAGCCCGGAACCAGTGAAGGCCAATGTCCGTATAAAAATGATCAGGAATTTGATTGGGGACATCGGATATTCCATAGATAATACCGCTTGCGAGATGCTGCGGTGAGCCCCTGTTGATGGCAAGGTCAACGGTGGCAACTGCATCTGCTGACCATCTTCGTTCAACGGCTGCACAGTTGACGAGGCCCACCAGTGTAACCACCAGAGAGAAAAGTCTAGACATGGCAATGACTTCCAAGAAGAGATGCTGGTAAACGTAAGCGGATCGTTTGGCAAGCCACCTGTTGTGGCAATGCTAGTCTCGAAAATGTTGCGGTTGCGTGCAGCATTAATATGCTAATATAGTCATGGCCTGGCCAAGACATCATGAGAAAGACAGATTTTCAAAAGGTCGGCTGACTCTCGATAGCCTCCCGGGCCGTAGTCAAACGCACCAATACCAATGTGGCGGTTGTTGCATTCGATGACAACGGCCGGCCGCCCACCCCCACCGGAGCAATGTCGATCAGCCGTCCGGGGTAACCGGCCCCCGGAAGAGCAATATCGGATCGGGTCCCGGTGATGACGCCACAATTATCAGCGAATAGGCTTGCAACCTTCTTGATCATTCCAACACCGATCGATGAGTTTCTGATGAAGCCTGCGTATGCCGAGAACTTGTCCACCGGATAGGGCCTGTCAGATCGCGCGTACTATGCGTTATTGATAGCATCTCCACCGGACCTTTTCTTCACGTCGACTACTACTACCGTAGCAGTCACCGTAACATCCCCGATATTGTCAGCTACAGGAATCACGAGAGTATTTGAATAGGCAATAGACAAATCCAAACTTTCATTCACGTATAAATCATAAAGTCGATACCCTGAATATGGAGGTCCGTATCGAATGGCACAAGCACTATTTTCCTTCATAGTCTCACAATGTGGCTGCACTTGGTTCTCGGTCTCTTTTGCTTTTGGGTCTTCGCTCAGACAAATTACACCAATCCCATTATCTGGCAGGATCTCCCAGATATTGACCTCATTCGGATTGGCGATGCTTATTACTACTCGGCCTCGACCTTTCAGTACTCTCCCGGAGCAGTCATTCTTCGGTCATACGATCTAGTGAATTGGGAATATCTCTCTCACTCCGTTCCAAACCTCGACTTTCAAACTACTGAGGCCTTCAATCTGGAATCCGGCTCACGTTACAACCAAGGCATCTTTGCATCATTTTTCAACTATCGAAAGAGCACAGACACTTTCTACTGGGGTGGCTGTATTGTGGGCGACGGCAATACCTACGTCTACACAGCTCCTACAGTTGAAGGACCATGGACTCAGAGCTCTACCATCAACCAGTGTCTTTACGATGCTGGTACGCTGATCGATGATGACGACAACATGTATGTGGCGCACGGCCATACGAACATTTCTGTGGCTCAACGGAGCGACGATGGTCTCCAAGTCGTCCGGGATGAAGTTGTCTTCGAATCAACCGAGGAACTGGGATACATCGAAGGAGCTCGATTCTACAAGCGGAACGGAGCTTGGTACCTATGGATCGTCAAACCAGTCCCAAGCCAGATCGTCCTCAAGTCTACAGTTGGACCGTTTGGGCCTTACGAGTGGAGATGGGTTCTCCAAAGCAACGGAAATCCCGTTCCTGGCGCCGGCAACCCCCATCAAGGCGCCATTGTGAGCACGCCTGACGGTGCTTGGCACTACATTGCCCATCTCGAAGCATATCCCGGCGGGCGTATTCCAGTTCTTGCTCC